CCGGGGTTCGCCCGCCGCCCCGACGCCGCCGCTCGTAACAATGGATCGATCGTGCCCGTGACGCGGAGAAGGAAATTTTGTTCGGCGCGAGTACTCTGCTATCTGCTCGTAGTACGTACGGAAATAATGACGTCGTCGTGACTGACTTCCGTACGAATCTCGACCGACCGCCGAATCCCCGCGTGTGATTGGCCGATGACGCGGCTGAGAGAATGCCGGACACACAGGCTCGCTCCCGGCGCTTCGCGGTGAACGCTCGCGGCGAGTCGACGCCGTCGCGCGCGCAGAGATCGCGCGCCCTCACGACCGCACCAAAGGTACGCCACGTCCCGCGCTCGATGACAATCGCGCGCGGCGATGTGAACGAAGCCGCGCGTCCGCGCACGCGGCGCGGCGGGCGCGTCGTCGCGCGTCGCCGCGCGTCGCGCGCGCCGGCGCCGCGGCCTCGCGCTCTACGCTTCGGTCCCCTCTGCCGTCGTCGTCGTCGACGCGCGCGCGCGTCGGCGCGGCGTCGCCCGCGCGCGCTCGCGATCGATCGTTCGCGTTCGAGACGTCCTCGACGCGATCGACGTCGCCGCGACGCGCGACGCCGCGGCCGTCGCGCCCGCGCGGCGCCCGCGCGCGGTCGAACGAATCGCGCCAGTCTCGCGACCGCGCCGGCGCGGCCGCGCTCGTCTCATCGATCGTTCATCACTAATCCACCGCCTCCCCGCCGTCGCGTCCTCCCTCTCTCCCAGGTCGCGATGGCCGAAGTCACGCAGACGACCGGGTCGCCGTTCATGGCGGCGCTCGGGAAGATCAAGGAGACCACGATGCACGTCGTGGGTCAGGTGCGCGTCGCCCCCGCGCGCGGGCGTCCTCCGCGGACGCGCCCTCCCCGAGGCGACTGGAAGAGCGCGCGTTCGCTTCGAAGAAGCCGTTTGAACGATTTTTGGATTTCCCCACCCCGCGCGCGCGCGTCGGACCGACGAAACGCATACCATCAAACCGTTTCTCGTATTCACCACACACGTCACCCCCCCTACCCCCGCACGATACGCGCGCGCAACAGAGAAAGCCGATGAGCGAGATCTTAGACCGCACCGCGTACCAGAGGCCCGCGTCGTTCAGCGAGGCGACGGGCCGAATGCAGAAAAACTTGAACTACTTCAAGATCAACTACATCCTCTTCACCGCGGTCGTCCTCGCGGCCTTCATCATGTACCACCCGTCGAGCCTCGTGATGCTCGGCGCGATCTCCGCGGCGTGGGGGTACGTCTACATGGTGCGAACGGAACCGTTGAAGATCGGCGAGCGGCCGGTGTCCGATCGCGAAAAGTTTCTCGGCATGTCGGGCGCGTCCATTCTCGCCGTGTTCTTCATGTCTTCGGCGGGGAGCGTGATGTTGTCCGCGATGGGCGTCGCGCTGCTGTGCATCGGCGCGCACAGCGCGGTGCGGGTGCCGGACGATCTCTTCATCGACGACAGCGCGAACGAGAACGGTTTCTTCTCGTTTTTGCAGCCGCCCAGACCGGGGCTCACGGGTGGCCCCGCGTGACGCGACGGCGGGCGAAGGACGGATGGATGGATGAATACTACTACTACTACGATTTTAAGCACGGGTTGAGCCGCGGGGTTGGGTTGTAAGGGTGACGTACGTCGACGCATCGGGGAAGGGAACGGACGGCGGCGGCGCGTTCGCGTGTATAGTGTAGGATTGTCGACGCACCCTCGCGTTTATTGCATCGCCTAGTACTCGCAGACGCGCGCGCCACCCCCTCTCTCTCTCTCTCCACGCTCTCTACCACCCCCGCTGCCGCTGCGACAGCATCTTCGGCAAGAACCTCGCCGCGGAGATCTGGTAGTTGGAGTAGTCCATAACCTGCCCCACCGTGAGGAGAAACTGCGCGCCGAGAAACGCCATAGAGATGGAGTTCATGACGAGATCCGCGCGGAGAACGAACGCCTGCGCGACGATGTAGTAGACGTGAAGGAACAGCGAGAACCCGGCGAGGGTGAGCGAGAATAGTAACGGTTTTGTCGTGAGCGTTTTGTTTCCTTTGCTCCCCAGAAACAGCCGCGTCGGCTCCGTGAGCAGCCACAGGAACAGAAACGAAAACTCGTATTCGAACACCTCGTCCGCGTAGGGCAGCTTGTTTCCCTTCCAGCAGAATAAAATGAACGTGAGGACCCAGAACACGACGTCCCACAGCTTGCCAAAGTACAGAGACACCTCGAGGGCGAGGGAAGGCGCTGCGGGCGCGAGCGCGGACGGAGCGGGGACGGCGCGGGGGGAGGGGGAGGGCGGTCAGAGATTCGATTCGTTCGACGCGAACGACGACGGAGGGAAAAATAAAATTCGGAGAAGAGCCGCGGCAACAACCGCCGCGGCGACGCGGCCGCGGACGACGCGCGGGAGCCGCATCGCGCACCCGCCATCCCGTCCGAGCTCTTCCCGCGCGTGCGAAGGCTACTCGCGATGCGCGATGTCCGCGCGCGCGACGGTGTGCGAGACGCGCCGTCGGTTGTGCGACCGCGAGACCCCGCCCCGCGGACGCGTCCCCCGTGTTTTGAACGGGTCGATGCTGTGCGATGCGCGCTCGCGAACTTTTTCGCGAGCCGCCCGCGACGTGTCGCTCCTTCCGTCCCACCCCCCGCCGCTCCCGCCCACCCTCTCTCACACCGAGCCCGCGCTCCGACGCGCGTCAACGATGCCCGTCATCGCGTCGTCCTCGCTCGCGCGCGCCGCGCCCGTCGCGGCGTCCGCGCGCGCGTCCCAAACCCGACCGCCGCGCGCGCCCCCGCGCGTCGCCGCCGCTTCGAGATCGTCGCGCGTCGTCGTCGGGTTTCTTCGATCCCCGCGAAAACGCGGCCCGATCCTCCCGCCGCTCGCGCACCGCGCGGTCGTCCAGGAGGACTGCGACGCCGACTGCGTCGCGGAGACGTGGGAGGAGCTCGAGGCGGAGGTCGCGAACGAGGTCGTCGGGAACGTCATGACGCCGCGCGCGAACGTCTCGTGCGCGCGCGCGTCGGACAACGTCCTCGACGCGCTGGAGGTGCTGGTGTCCAATCGACACAGCGGCGTGCCCGTGCTCGACGACGACGAGCGCGTCGTCGGCGTCATCTCGGAGTACGACCTCATGGTGCGGATCGGCCGCGAGGGGAAGAAGCAGAGCGAGAAGGATGACGGGATGTTCCCGAAGATTGGGCGCTGCGACGAGTTCGGAGGCGCGTCGTCTCCCCCCGAGCCGCCCTCGAAAAACCCCAGCCAGATATTTCCTTCACCCGTCGTTTTCGCCTTTCGACGAAATCCTTCACCGGAACAGAACCGCTCGAGGCTCGTTCGACCGACGACTGACGCCCTTTCAAAACCGACCAAATCCTTTCACTTCACTCCACTCCTACAGGGAGCGTGAAAGACATGTGGAGCCGGTTCATCGACCTTCAAGACCGCATGGAGAAGGCGCAGGTGACGACCGTGCGCGAGGCGATGCACGACGCGATGACGTGCACGCCGGAGACGCTGCTCGTGGACGCGACGGACGCGATGTTGAACGAGCGCCGGCACAGGATATGCGTCGTCGACGAAGACGACAAGGTCCGTTCTATCTTACACTGTTCCCCGTACGACCGCGTCGGCGTGGTGAACGCCGTTCCTTAAGGACTTTGCCCGGCGTGTCTCTCCGCCCACCCCTAGCTTTCAATCCCCGCCCGCGACGCCTTTCAACTCCAACTGACGCCTTTCAACTCCACCCCGACATTCTCTCGTATGGAACGACCCTAAGCTCCTCGGGATCTTAACCAGAGGGGACATCATCCGGAAGTCGTACGAGGCGTTTTCGCGCGGACGAGCGTCCCAGGCGGGGATGTGACGGGACGTTTGGGACGCGCGCGAGAGAGAGGGCGTGCGATACTAGCAGAGGCACGCGGCGGGAGGTGGTCCGGTTTTAATACTCAAACTACGACACGAGCGACGCGAGTGACGAGCGTACACGTACTCGCAGCCCGAAAACCACAGTGACACGTGCCAAAACTCCGAAAGTTACGGCGCGTTGCGCGCTCGCGCCGCCGTAATTCCTTCCGCGAACGAACGTCGCGCCGAGGCGTCACAGCGTCAGCGCGCGTCCGCTCGGCCTCGAGACGTCTCGCCTCGCGACCGCGCTCCTCGCGACCGCGCTCCTCGCGACCGCGCCGAGAAGACACTCCTCGACGACGACGCGATGGCGCGCGCGGTGAAGGGCGCGGGGAAGGGCGCCGCGCTGAAGCGAAAAGATCGCCGCCAGGCTAAGTTCAACCCGGGCGTCGGGCCGCACTCGGTGAAGCCCGTCGGCGGCGCGAGCGCGACCGACGACGCGACCGCGACCGCGACCGCGACCGCGAAGAAGAAGGCTTCGAAGTTCCCGGGGAAGGTGGGCAAGAAGCGCAGGGCGGAGGAGAGAGGCGGCGGCGGCGGCGAGCCGTTCGTGGCGGTGGCGGGGATGGACGCGCCGAGCGAGGGCGGCGGCGGCGGCGACGGCCGAAAGCGCGCGAAGACGGCGGGACCCCCGGGAGGCTCGGTGAAGACGCTCGGCCTGAGCAAGAAGCACGGCGACAAGGAGAGGCACGCGTTCGCGTCCAAGAGGGAGCAGAGGCAGTGGGCGGAGGAGCAAAAGACGGCGCACAAGCCGAACCACGCGACGATCGTCGCCGTGGTCGCGCTGTGGGAGAAGATGCGAAGCGAGAAGAGATCGAAATCGACGTCCAAGGAGGAGAGACGAAGGATCGTGTCGGATATTTTCCGACAGTGCAAGGGCAAGATCGTGGACCTCGCGAATAATCACAAAGGTTCGAGGGTGATTCAGGCGATCCTGAAGCACGGCGCGAAGGAGGACGTCGACGCCGTGTACGCGGAGTGTAAGGCGCACGTCTCGCCTTTGGCCAAGTCGCTCTACGGGCACTTTCTCGTGAAGCGACTCGTGGACGCGACGCCGAAGGAGAAGCTCCCGGAGCTCCTGAAGAGCGTGAAAGGGACCGTGCGAGCGCTCGCGAGGCACCCGATCGGGAGCCAGGTCCTGGAGTCGCTGTACTGGCCCGCGCCGAACGCGATCAAGCGATCGATGGAGTGCGAATTTTACGGCGCCGAGTTCGCGCTCTTCGGCCCCGGCGGCGACGGCGCGTCCGCCGCGGGGGACGCCGCGGTGACGTCGCTTCGCGACGCGATGCTTCGCAAGCCGCCGGCGCAGAGGCAAGGGATGCTGCGGCAGATGAACAAGTGGCTCCTGCCCGTGCTCGAGAAGGGCTTGGTGTCTCCGTCGCTGATACACAAGGTGTTGGCAGAGTATCTGGACGTCGCGGGGCCGGGGACGAAGGCGCGTTCTATACACTGGTCCCCATACGACCGCGTTGGCGATGTGGACGCCGATCCTTGAAGACTTTTCCCGTCGTCTCTCTCTGCCCAGGGTCCCTCGCTTTCAATCCCCGCCATCGACGCCTTTCAACTCCATCTGACGCCTTTCAACTCCACCCCGACGTCGCTTTGTATGGAACGACCCTAAGTTCGAGGCGGCGCACTCCGTGAGCGGGCCCGCGTGCCTTCGCATGATCCACACGAGGGAGGGCGCGCACGCGTTCAACATGATGCTCACGCACGCGGGCGCGAGGCAGAGGAAGGTGGTCGTGAAGGCGCTGAAAGGTCAGGTGGGGCGGATCGTGAGGGACGATCACGCGTCCATCGCCGTCGCGTGTCTGCTGGACTGCGTCGACGACACGCGGTTGTCCTCGAAGGTGATCATCGCGGAGCTTCGGAACGAGGGGATCTTCGAGCTCGCGTGCGACCGCGCCGCGCGGAGGGTTCTGTTGCACGCGTTGCGACCGCGAAGCACGCGGTACATTCACCCGCACGCGCTCGCGACGTTGCCGGACCCGGCGGAAGTGCGGCGAGCGGTGGAGGAGAATAAGAAGGCGCTCGCGCTCGGCGGCCACGGCGTCGGCGGCGAAGAAGACCGGGACGCTGACGTGGAGGATGCTGACGTGGAAGAAGACGAAGCGGACGGCGACGACGAGATGATGGACGACGAGATGATGGACGACGAGTTCGGAGAGGAGGAGGAGGAGGAGGAGCCGCGGATGACGAAACGTCGGTCGCGCGCCGCGGAGGCGGGCGGCGACGACGACGACGACGACGACGACGACGCCCCCGCGGGCGGCGGCGACGACTCCGTCGACTTTGGCATCTCGCGCAAGGACGCCGAGACGAGGCGCCGCGAGCTGTTCGGCAAGGAGGGTCACCTCGCGCGGAGTTTGGTCGCGGCGTGCGCGACGAACGCGAGCGCGATGTTGCGATCGCCCGAGGCGTGCGACGTCTTGTTCGAAACGTGCTCCGGCGGCGCCGGCGGCGTCGTCGTCGACGGCGTCGGCGTGGAGCAGCTCGCGGAGCTGCACGACGCCGTCGCAGAGGCTGCGCGCGCGTCCGTCGCGGGGGAGGAGCCGGAGGAGGAGGAGGAGGAGGAAGGGGAGGGCGGCGGCGGCGGCGACGAAAAGCCGCGGCTGCCTCTCCACGAGGATTACTTCTCCACGCGGACGCTCCGCCGCATGGTCCTGGAAATCCCCGGGGCGGCGTCCCCAATCCCCGGGACGGCGTCCGCCGGCGGCTCGGCCGCGGCCGCGGCCGCGGGGACGGGCACGCCGCCGCCGGTCTTCGCGACGTCGCTGTGGGAGAGCGCGGTGTCGCGCGACCCGAACGCGTGGATCGACGGCCACGGCGCGAAAGTCGTCGCCGCGTTGGCGCGTCAAGTCGCGGACGACGCCGTCGCGGCCGAGGCGAAGAAGGCGATCGGCGCGCGCGTGAAGAACAAGACCCCGGAGGAGTGGATCGCGGGGTTTTTTAAGCGCTTCGACAAGAGCAAGAGCAGCAAGGGCGAGGGCGAGGGCGGCGCGAAGAAGAAGGCTGCGGAGAAGAAGGCGGCGGAGAAGCCGGCGACGGAGAAGAAGAAGGACGGAGGAGGAGGACTCGCGCCGGTGAAGACGAAGAAGACCGCGAAGAAGGACGGCGGCGGCGACGACGACGCCGACGCCGCGAAGGCGCCGAAGTCTCCGAAGGAGCTCAAGTTCTCCCCGCGCGCGACGCGCGCGCAGAGGGCGGAGAAGCTCGCGAAAGCCGGCGGGAAGAAGAAGTGAAGCGCGCGGCGGGGTACCGTACGTGTACACGTAGACCTTCGACCTTCGTTAAAAATATGATGAGCACAGCAGTTCGGCGCTCCCGAGGTCGCTTCGCCAACCTCCCTCCCTCGCGCTGTCATATCATATCGCCCCCCCCTCCTCCTCCGAGCGCGCGCGCGTCTCTCGCATCGCCCGCGCGCGTCATGGACGACCGCGGCCGCGCGCACGGCCCGTGGATCCTGAAAGCCCCCGCGGAGCCGCCGCGCGCTCCCGCTCCCGCCGCCGCCGCTCCCTCGGACGACGACGCCTCGTCTCCACCGCCCCCGCCCCCACCCCTTCCCGTCGCGCTGCGCCTCTTCTGCGTCCCGCAGGCTGGCTGCGGCGCGTGGTCGTTCCACGCGTGGGACGCGCTGCTCTCGAGCGTCGCGCCGCGCGTCGAGGTGATGCCGCTCGAGCTTCCGGGGAGGAACTCGCGCCACGGCGAGCGAGGCGACGAGTTTCCGACGCTGGAAGGTGCGTTCTATACACTGGTCCCCATACGACCCCGTCGGCGTGGTGAACGCCGATCCTTAAGGACTTTTCCCGGCGTGTCTCTCCGCCCACTCCTCGGTTTCAATCCCCGCCCTCGGCGCCTTTCAACTCCACCTGACGCCTTTCAACTCCACCCCGACAATCACTTGTATGGAACGGCCCTGGAAGCGCTCGCGGAGGCGGCGGCGGCGGGGATCGAGCACTTGCTTCCGGGCGGCGAACGGAGCGACGACGACGCGCCGAACCCGCCGTACGCGATATTCGGGCACAGCATGGGCGCGTGGATCGCGTTCGAGATGACGCGCGCGATCGAGCGGCGGCGGAGCGCGCGCGCGGCGGCGGCGGCGGCGACGGCGGCGACGACGGCGGCGGTGAGACTGCTTCCCATACGACCCCGTTCGCGTGGTGAACGCCGTTCCTTAAGGACTTTTCCCGTCGTCACTCTTCACCCGCGCTTCCCTTTCAACGTTTGACCGGTAAGACGTTCGACTGACCGATCGCTTCACACACGCAGCCGGCGAAACTTTTGGCGCTCCCGTTGAAGCTCTACGCGTCGGGAAACAGCGCGCCGTGCCTCGGCGGCGTCGAAAACGACCCGGATTCGATAACGCCCTTGATATCGACGTTACCGAGCGACGAATTCTGGACCGCGTTCGATCGGCGGTACGGCGTCAACCCCGCGCTTCAGAGCGAGGAATTGAAACGCTACGTCGAGCCGTCGCTGCGACGCGACTTCGCGCTCGTGGAGAAGTACCGCGGCGTGCTTCCAAACGATAATAACGCTCGTTACGAGGGCGTTAAGCCGAGAAAACTCCCTCGAGGCGTGCCCTTGGTCGCCATAGGCGCGAACGGCGACGAGAGGTACGCGAGAGAGCAGGTCACCGCGTGGTGCATGCACGTCGACGGCGGTTGCGGCGGGAGCGTGTTCGACGAGCGATGGTTCGACGGCGCGGCGCCGGAGACGCCGTCGGGGCCCGGGTCGGCGGGGCTGGGTCCCAGCGCGTCCCGCGGCGGCGCGCGGTGGGCGACGCCGCACCGGATCGTGATCGAGTACCCGGACGAGCTCTTGGCGTACTTGGGGGAGGACGTGAACGCGTTGGTGGCGGCGATGGGGGAGGCGCCGGTGGCGGCGGCGGCGGCGGCGTGAGCGAACTGATCAATAATAATGATTTTTTTTGATCAGATCTTCTCAAGCAGCTTCTCGGAGAGCGCGAAAGCGTCTGTGAATCTGACGCGTCCGAGCGCGGCTCGCGTGCTCACACCCTCCCGCGCGCGACATGACGACGTCCGGGGGCTCGGTGTCGTGGCCCGGCGTCGGCTGCGTCGCCGTCGGCTACCTGTTCGGCCGCCAGGAGCGCGAGTGCAAGCGGTGCGTCCCGACGCGTCGTTCAGTTCCTCCGAGAAACCGACGCGACGACAGAAGCGGACGAATTCCCTCTGACGACCCGACCCTCCCTCCTCCGTCCCTCCCTCCTCCCCGTCCACCAGCGAGGTCGACCGCCTGCGGAACATCCCGCGCTACACCGACTTCGCCGCGCTCGAGCGCGACGTCTCCGAGCTCGCCGCCGGCGCCGGCGACCCGAACGCTGGGCTCCTCGTCGCGCTCAGCGGCGTCGCGCGCGCGGACGACGCGGACCTCGTGCGATGCGACCGCGCGAAGGACGAGCGCGGGAACCCGCGCCGGTGCATCTACCTCGAGTCCACGGACGACCATCACGTCGCGCGGCAAGCCCCGCGAGGCGGCGAGTGGCTCCGCGAGTCGCAGACCGTGAGCGCGACGCAGCGAGAGGCAGCCGCGTGGCGACTGGAAGACGCGCGCGGCGATCGCGTCAACATGCACCGCGCGTCGTCGTTCGACCAGCGAAGCGACGCCGCCGTCGCGGGGGACTGGCACCTCGCCGTCGCGCACGACTCGTTCGAGCAGGCGCGGAGAGACCCGGTCGCGGATAACGGCTCCCCGGGGAACGTTTTAACCAACATCGGCGCGAGCGTCTTAAGGCGCGTTCTATACACTGGTCCCCATACGACCGCGTCGGCGTGGTGAACGCCGATCCTTAAGGACTTTGCCCGGCGTGTCTCTGCGCCCACCCCTCGGTTTCAATCCCCGCCCTCGGCGCCTTTCAACGCCAACTGACGCCTTTCAACTCCACCCCGACATTCGCTCGTATGGAACGACCTTAAGCGGGATCTACGACGCCAACATGGGCATACACATGCTCGGCGTGCGAAGGAGAGAGAAGATCCTGCCGCCGGGCGCGAAGCTCACCGCCGTCGGCGAGGTCACGCTCGCGGACGTGGGCGGCGACGACGGCGGACCGGGCGCCAACGGCGGCGGCGGCGTCGCGTCGAGGGAGCCGCGGTCGAGGGAGCTTCAAATGCGTCGGCCGCGACGGCGGTCGAGACGCGAGCGCGGCGGCGGCGGCGAGACGAAGACGAAGACGACGACGACGAAGCCGGCGTTCACCGTGACGCAGCGAGACTTCGACGAGTACGTCGACGGCCTCGGCACGGTGGGGGATTTTTTTCACGTCACGAAGACGGCGTTCATGCTCGCCGGGGTGGGGCTGCTGTTGAACAGATTCGTCCGCGCCAAAATCGTGGAGTGGCGCGAGCGGAGGTTTAAGAGGCGGCTCGCGGAGGCGGAGAAGGCGCGGCGGGAGCGCGAGGGCGGCGGCGGCGCGGACGGCGGCGCGACGGTTGACGATCCGTCTTCCACTTCCTCGCGAGGCGGCGGCGGCGGCGGCGGCGGCGGCGGCGGCGGCGAGCGCGCGCCCGGGGAGACGTGCGTCGTGTGCTTATACGAAGCCGCGTCCGTGGTGTACAAGGAATGCGGGCATTTAGTGTGCTGCGAGCTGTGCGCGCGGCGGATGACGCGGTGCCCGCTGTGTCGTCGGAAGAGCGCGTGGATGAAGGTGTTCAGGGCGGGGGGGTGACGTGATGAGGGGCTGATGCAGGGCTGGGCGACCGCGGCGAGCGACGGCGACTTGTCATAGCACGCGAAAATCGACGGATGCGAACAGAACGTCCGATGTAATACCACGACGCGCGCGCGAAGCTTCACGCGCGTCATCGAACACAGTCGGTCGCATACGGTATCGTATCATATTACGTATTCACAAGTAGGTAGTGTACGGAAGTACTAAACGCTCGCTCACATTTGCAGCACGGGCTCCTCTCCCGGGAGGAGCTGGAACGACGGCGTGCTCTTCGCAATCTCGAGCTCGGCCTCGTCCATGTCCGCGGCGATGTTCTCGTACAGCGGCGTGGACATGTACCGCTCGCTCGTGTCCGGAAGCATCGTGAGAATCACGGACCCCTTCGGCGCGTTCGCGGCCACCTTCAGCGCGCCCGCCATGGACGCGCCGCCGGAGATGCCGGTGAAGATGCCCTCCATCCTCGCGAGCTTCTGCGCCGTCTCGATCGACTCCGGGCCGGTGATCGGGACGAGCTCGTCGTACAGGTTCATCGCCTGCGCGTCCTCGAGCACCTTCGGGATGAAGTCCGGGGTCCACCCCTGGATCGGATGCGGGGTGAACGCCGGGTGCGAGCCCTTCGGCGCCCCCGTGGGCTTGCGCTCCGTCTTCGTCCCGGACGCGATGAGCCCCGCCGCCTCGGGCTCGAGAAGGACGATATTCACGTCCGGGCGCGCGGCTTTCAGGACTCTGCCGACGCCCTGGAACGTCCCGCCGGTGCCGTACCCGGTGACGAAGTAATCGAGCCGCTTCCCGGCGAAGTCGCTCAGGATCTCCGGTCCGGTGGTGGACGCGTGAAACGCCGGGTTGGCGTCGTTCTCAAACTGCGAGCACAGGAACCACCCGTGCTTCTCGCACAGCTCCTCCGCTTTCGCGACCATCCCGGTGCCCTTGCCCGCTTTCGGCGTCACGATCACCTTCGCGCCGAGCATGCGCATGATCTTGCGGCGTTCCACGGAGAAGGGCTCGGCCATGCAGATGACGCACTCGTACCCGCGTTGCGCGCACACCATCGCGACGGCGATGCCGGTGTTGCCGGAGGTCGCCTCGACGACGGTGTCGCCGGGTTTGAGGACGCCGCGGCGCTCCGCGTCCGTGATGACCGCGAGCGCGAGGCTGTTTGTTTTTAGGGAGGGTCACGAGAGAGGAGGAGGAGGAGGCGGTCGTCAGCGAGCGAGCGATCGTCGCGGAATAATTCTCGTCATCAGATATTTCCGGACGGACGGGCCGAATCGGCGTCGGCGTCGAGCGCGCGCTCGATCGACGACGCGCGCGCGTCGCGCGCGGCGACGATGTGAACCCCCCCGCGCGCGCGTTGATTGTTATCTCTTCACGCACCGATCCTTCACGGACGAGCACGGGTTGAAGAACTCCGCCTTGGCGTACATCGTCACGCCCTCGGGCGCGAGCTTGTTGATCTTGATGATGGGCGTGCTTCCGATCGTCTCGAGGATGTTTTCGTACAGTTTCGCGGACGTCCGCAGCGCGGCGGCGCGGGGGCGCGATCGCGGCGGCGCGACGCGCGACGGCGACGGCTTCACCGCGCGGCCGCGCAAGGACGCGCGCTGCGTGGCGAGCGCGGGGGTGAACGAGGCGAGCATCGTCGTCGTGTGCGGATGGAATGAACGCCGCGCGATTCGATTCGGTCCTGTCGTCGCGCTTTTCGTCATCTGTCTGGGATCGCGTCGCGTCGCGTCGTCGCGTCGGACCCCTCCGCAGTACCGACGCGCGCGTCGGCCGCGTCGTCCGGTCGCCAACCATGGCGTTCGCGGTGGGCCGGAGACGCGCGCTCGACGTCGTCTCCAGCGCGTTCGCGTCGTCCGCGAGGGGCCTCGCCGCGACGCGCGTCGCGCGACGCGCCGCGGCGACGACCGCGGCGGGGCGCGGCGACGCCGGCGGCGATCCGGACGCGCTCTGCGCGCAGATCGTCTCCTACGCGCGCTCCGAGCTCCGGCGCGGGCGACGCGACGTCGCGCGCGGCGTCCTCGAGCACGGCGCGTCGCTCGTCGCGAAAGCCGCGGGCGGGGACGCGCCCGCGGGCGCGATCGCGGCCGCGGAGTCGAGGGCGCACCTGGCGTGGGCGGCCGTGCAGTCGGTGCGCGCGCGGTCGTCGTCGTGGCTCCGTCGCGTCGTCCGATGCGATGCCGCGCGAGAAGAATCTAACAACACGTTCTGTTCTTCCTCCTCCTCCTCCTCCTCCTCCTCGCGCGACGCAGGACGCCGGCGAGCTCGCGCGCGCGCGCGACACCCTCGCGGCCGCGTGCGACGCCGCCGCGCGCGCGGGCCCGCCGCACTTCCGCGATCGCCTCGCCGCGCACGCCTTCGCCGCCGTCAACGCCGCGCGATTAGGCGCGTTCTGTTCGCGCGCGCGTTTCCTCGTGTTTCAACCACCCCTCGGGTTCAACATTCGATCGCGTCCCCTTTCAACTGATGATTTAACTGACCGATGAAAAATCTATGCGTCGCCCCGACCAGACGCGATCGGCCCGGGGGGCGCCGAAGACCTCCTCCCCGCGCGAGCGAACCTCGACGCGCACCTCGACGCCGTCGACGCCGCCGCCGCGGAGGCGATCGCGGAGGCGCTCGGGCACGTCGAGGACGGCGAGCGAACGCGCGCGTCGATGTCCCTCGCCGCGCGCGGGGTTCGCGCGCTGACGGCGTTGGCGACTGGCGACGCCGCCGCCGCGTCGAGAGCGGTCGACGACGCGACGGCGCTGCTGCTCGACGACGACGACGACGCCTCGCGCCTCGACGCGGCGCGCGCGTTCGACGCGCCGCACGGCGCGGTCGTCGCGATGGCGCTCAAGACGCTCGCGCACTGGTCCGCGCTGACGGGGGAGGGGGACGGCAAATCGCGCGGCGCGATCGCGCGGTATCGCCGCGCCGCCGCCGCGGCGGAGGAGGCTGCGGACGCGCCGTCGAACGACGCGTGCGTCTCCGCGATGTTCGCCGACGCGCTGCTCGCGGACGTGCAGCTCGCGCGCGCGCAGCATCTCGTGCGCGTCGCCGCGTCCGGCGGCGACCTGGAGGACGAGGAGGAGGAGGAGGAGGGAGAGGAGCGACCCCGAGATGAAGACGCGGCGCTCGCGGCGGCGGAGGCGGCGGCGGCGGCGGCGGTGACCTCCGCGGAAGCCCTCGGCGATCCCGCGCACCCGCGCGTCGGCCTCGCGATCGCGTGCAGCGGCGACGTGTACGTGTGCAAGGCCACGGCGGCGGCGAGGCGAGGCGGCGGAGCGGGCGGCGGCGCGACGGGCGACGGCGCCGGCGTCTTATTCGCCGAGGGTGCGTTCTATACACTGGTCCCCATACGACCGCGTTGGCGAGGTGGACGCCGATCTTTAAGGACTTTTGCCGTCGTCTCTCTCCGCCCACCCCTCCCTTTCAATACCCGCCCTCGGCGCCTTTCAACTCCACTTGACGCCTTTCAACTCCACCCGAGCGGCGCGAACAGGGCTCTACCGTGGCGCCTTGAAACTGCTCGGCACGCCGCGGCCGCCGACGGCGCTCGCGCACGACCCGGACGCCGCGTCCGGCGGCGCCGCGAGCGCGCACCTGCGCCTCGTCGCGTCGCTCGTGCACGCGAGGTACTCCGTCATCTTGCGCGCGAGCGGCGCGAACAGGCGCGTTCTATCTCACACTGGTCCCCGTACGACCGCGTCGGCGCGGTGGACGCCCATCCTTAAGGACTTTTGCCGGCGTCTCTCTCCGCCCACTACCCCTCGGTTTCAATCCAGGCACACCTCGACGCCTTTCAACTCCACCTGACGCCTTTCAACTCCACCCGAGCGGCGCGAACAGGGCGTCCGAGGCGAAGGAGTGGGCGGACGCCGCCGCGAAGGAGGTGGGACCGCCGGGGCGACACGGCGGGTGCGGCGGCGCGATTCGCGCGGCGATCGACGGGTTCGCGTCGCTCGGCGCGGACGTCGGGACCGCGGGGGCGGTGATCGTGGACGCGCAGACGATGACGCCGATGACGACGGGGGCGTGGGGGGATGGCGACGAGTGGAGGCCGCCGTTTAAGTGAGGAGAAGACTTGAGCAGGAGGGAACCAGAACCAGAACCAGAACGACGACGACGACGACGACGACGACGACGAGGATAGCGCGCGACGCGAACGCACACATAGCACGCACTAGCGGCGCGGAGCGCCTTCCGTGGAACGATAGAAGAAGCGTAGACTACACAGACGTCAGTACCCGAGCAGCGTCGACGAAAAGCGCGCAATGCGCGCGCCCGACCGCGTCGTGAACTTCCTCGCGAACAGCCAACACGGCTTCCGCGTCCCGATCCTTCCCAAGACGTCGGGTGATCCCCCGTAGGCGTACCCGCACGACCGCGCGCGGCCGCCGCTCGCGTCGTCGTCGCCCTCTGCGGGGTCGATGGTTCCATCGGTCAATAATCGAAAGGGTTCGCGATCGATCAAATTTTGAAACCGAGCCGAGGGTGGGCGGGTGAGAACCGCGATCAAGGAACGTTCGCACCTAAGATGACGTCCAGCTCGCGCTTCCCGAGGATGTTCGCGATCGCTTCGCGAGACTCTTGCACGGCGTAGAGCTTCGGATGCGCGCGCGTCGTCGGCCACCAGTTCGTGTACGTGACGCCCCGGCCCTCGAGCTCGCGCTCTATCCCTCGAAGCGCGAATAACGTCGGGATGTAGTGCTCGTCCGGGGCGCAGAACGTGCTCCATCCGTTCGCGCCGGTGTGAGCTGAGGTCGCCGCGTCGTCGTCGCCGCCGCCGCCGCCGCCGCCGCCGGCGGCCCGCCTCGCGGTCACGTTGCAGTGCTTCTCGAACGCTTCGAACACTTCGACGTCCTCCGCGACGATCGTCGCGTGCTCGCGCGTCATCGCGAACCACTGCGACCCTTTCCTCCACGCCCTCCTCGGGACGCCGTCCTTCGCCATCGCGACGCCGGGGTATCGATCGTTATGGTCCAGCGACGCCTCGACGTAACTCTTCGCCGGCTGCTTTTGGGTCGAGGGAGGGTGTTTGCCCATACGAGGCGACGTCGGGGTGGGTGGCGTTCAAAGGGCGTCAGTCGTAGTCGAAAGGCGTCGCGGTGTGTCGAGGACTGAAACCACGAGGGACCCTGGGCGCAGAGAAACGTAGAGCAAAGTCCTTAAGGAACGGCGTTCACCGCGCGAACGGGGTCGTATGGGGACCAGTGTCTGGTGGTAAAAAAAAGAACGCGCCAGCCCCGTGCCTCTCTCGTCCAACAGGTACGCGCGGACGAACGCGAAGCTTCGCAGCGGCACGCACGACTCGCTCAGCAACACGAACCTCATCGCGCTCGGCGACGCCTCGAGCGCGCGTCGCAGCAGCTTCTTCTCCGCGCGCACGAGCGCGGCGTCGCCCCACCTCGAGCGATGATATCGGGGTGGAGTTGAAAGGCGTCAGGTGGAGTTGAAAGGCGTCGAGGGCGGGGATTGAAACCGTGGGGTGGGCGGAGAGAGACGACGGCAAAAGTCCTTAAGGATCGGCGTTCACCACGCCGACGCGGTCGTATGGGGACCAGTGTGAGACAGAACGCACCTCGACGCCGCGACCGGGTTCGGGAGTAAGACGCGCGCGTTGAAGAGCCACGGGACGCGCGTGGTGGTCTCGTCGAAGACGAAGCCCGGCGGCGCGTGGACGTGGATCGCGTACGCGCTTCGGTCTTGGCGCGCGAAGAACTTGCCCCAGAGGTGGTCGTGCGGCAGCGCGCCGCGCGTGAGGAACAAGAACGCGATCGACGGCGGCGCGGCGGGGTCGTCGCGCGCGTCGCTCTCGCGCGACGACGACGACGACGGCGACGACGGCGACGGCGACGCGCGGCGGTCGAGGTAGACCGCGAGCGCGACGCCGAGGACGAACCCGATCGCGAGGCGGCGCGCGGTGTCGCGCCTCCGCCGCGCGCGCGCCGTCGCCGTCGTCGCCGTCGCCGTCGCCGTCGCCGTCGCCGTCGCCGTCGCCGCCGTCGCCGTCGTCGGCTCGTCCCCTAATAAACCCTGGCGCGACGCCGACGCCTTCAGCGACCGCGCGCGTCGACGCCGCGACGACGGCGGGCGCGCGCGCGAGGGGTGCCACGGCGGCGGCGACGACGACGACGGCGGCGGCGGCGGCGGCCAGTCCGCGGACATGACGCGAGACGACGCGCCGCGGCGTTTGCGCGCCGCGGCGGACGGAGGAAGGAGCGAAGCAGCGGAGGAGACGAACCGCGCGCGGGCCAGACAGGACTCAGGAAAAAGCGAGTGGACGGCGCGGCGTCTGGTAATCTGGTCGCGCGTGCGTTTTCTTACGAGTCTTCTGTTCACTAAAACGTTCGCTTCTATCACATAGCACCGCTCACCGCCTCGCGCGCGTCAGCGGCGACGTGTCCGCGTGAAGCCGCGCGTGCAGCAGCGCGCCCTTCGTCATCCCCTGCCGCCTCGCCTCCGCCTTCAGGTCGACGTCCTTGGGCCTTCCGCCGATCGGAGAGTTTGCAATCTTGGAGCCGCCGCCAAACGCGAGGCCGCCGCCGCGCTCAGCCGCCGCCATCGCCGCCGCGAGCCGCGCCTCGAAGTCGTCCGCGGCGGACGCGGACGCGCGCGCGTCGGCGCCTTCGCCGCCGCCACCGCGCGGCGATCGCGGTTTCAGCTCCGGCGGCGTCAGCTCCGGGCCCGAACTCGACGGGGGCTCGGCGTCTTCGGGCGGCGCGGCGGCGACGACGACGCGCGGCGCCTCGACGTTCTCCTTCTCCGCCACCGCCGCGGGTTCCTCCTCCTCCTCCTTCTCTTCCTCCTCCTCCTCCTTCTCTTCCTCTTCCTCTTCCTCTTCCTCCTCTTCCTTCTCCGCGGCGGCGGCCCGCGCCTCTTCGACGCGCGCGACCAAATCCGCTTTCAACCCGGTCGTGTCCAAGCCGAGCGATTTGAGCTCGGCGCGGAGTTTCACGACGGTCATCTTCGCCGCCGTCGTCGGCGGCGGCTTCTTCCCGGCGGTGCTGGATCCCGATCCGCCGCCGCCGCCGCCGCCCCTGGTGGAGCGTCTCGGCGGCGACGGCGCCGCAACTGGCTCCGGCGTCGGCGCCGGCGGCGGCGCCGCCGCGACGAACGGTTCGACGACGACGGGAATCGCGATCGGAATCGGCGCGCACGTCGTCGTCGGCGGGAACGGAATCCGCGTCGCCGGTCGCGCCGTCGCCGCCGCCGCGCGCGCGAGGAACGACGGTGGCGGCGGCGGCATCGAGCGCAGCGCGTTGTCGAGCATGAAGCTCGGCGGCGGCGGCGGCGGCGGCGGCGACGGCGCCGCGATCGGCGCGCGCGGCGCCGGCGCCGGCGAGTTCACGACAGGCTGGCGCGTCGACACCGGCGGCGGGCCGAAGCCAAAGTCAACGGGCGGCGGCGGGGGGGAGTTCATCACGGGCGCGCGTCGCGCCTGCGGCGGCGGCTGCGGAGAGTTCTGCACCGGCTGTCGCGACGCCGGAATCGCCACGGGCGAGTTCTGCACCGGCTGTCGCGACGCCGGAATCGCCACGGGTGAGTTCTGCACCGGCTGTCGCGACGCCGGAATCGCCACCGGAGAATTTTGAACCGGCTGTCGCGACGCCGGCGGCGGGTTGTTCGCGACCGCGCCGCCCGCCGGTCGCGTCGCCGCCGCCGCCGCTTCCCGCGGCGACCACGCGACGGGCGCGGGCGCGGGGCGCGACCCCGGGGGCGAATTTTGCATCCCACCCCCGCCTTGCGCGCCGAGAACAGCGCCGAGGTCTCCGCCGCTCTCCGCGGCGGCCATCGCCTTGGCGAGCATCGCTTCGAAGTCCACTTTTGGCGGGACCGGGCCGTCTTCGTCCTCGTCCGCGGCGGCGGCGTCGGCGGCGACGGCGGGCGTCTCCTCGGGCGCGGGCGCGGCTTTTTTCTTCGCCTTTTTCGCGCTGAGCGGCGGCAACCCGGGAGCCGGGGCGCGTCGCTTCATCGCGGGCGGCGCCGGAGCTGCCGCCGCCGCCGCCGCTTTTTCTTCTTCTTCTTCTTCTTCTTCTTCCATGACGACGTCCTCGACGTCTTTGGGTTCCTCCGGCGCGGGTCCCCCGGGCCCGGGCGGCTTCGACGTCGCCGTCGCGGCGCCCGGAGGCGAGTTCGCGACGCCGCCGGCGAGCGCGGATAACCCGCCCCCTCGCTCCGCGGCCTCCATCGCGGCGAGGAGCTTCGCCTCGAATTCGTCATTCGCGTTCGCGTTCGCGTTCGCGTTCGCCGCGGGGCGCGCGGGCTCGGACGCGGGCTCGGGCTCGGGCGCGGGCGCCGTCGCCGGCGCCGGCGCCGAGGCGAGAGCCGCCGTCTTTTTCTTCACCCGCCTCGCCGGGACGACGACGACGACGTCCGCGTCCATCATCGCCGCCGCCTCCGCCGCCGCCTGCCTCGCGGCGTTCACCCTCGCCTTCGGCTCGGGCTCCGGCTCGGGCTCCGGCTCCGGCGCGCGCGGCGGCGGCGGCGGCGGCGGCGAGTTTTGAACCGCCGCCGCGCGCGGCGGCGCCGCCCCGGGAGACGAGTTGGCGACGCCGCCTCCGAGCGCGGCTAACCCGCCGCCTCTCTCCGCAGCCGCCATCGCGGCGAGGAGTTTCGCCTCGAAATCGTCCGCGGGCGCGGGCGCGGGCTCGGGCGCGGGCGCGGGCGCGGGCTCGACGACCGTCTCTTCCGCCGCCGCCGCCGCCGCCGCCTCCGGGCCGGGGCTGGGCGCCGCCGCCGCCGCCTCCTCGTCGACGTCCATCATGCTCACGTCGCCGTCGCCGTCCACGACGATCGTCTCGTCGTTCTCGTCCACCTCCACGACGACGGTCTCGTCCGCTTCGTCGACGGCGCCGTCGAAGGATTGGACGCTCGGCGACGGCACGACGACGACTTCGATCGCGGGGGACGCCGCCGCCGCCGCCTCCTCCTCCTCCACCTCCTCCTCCGGCTCTTCCATCACGGGCGACGGCGCGAACGCGTGCGCCGCGCCGGCGCCCTTCCCCTTCGGCGTCATCGCGGGCACCAACCCGAAGTCTTCGCAATCGTCGCCGCCCAAGAAGTCGTCGTCCGCCGCGGCGGCGAACGCGTCCAGGCCGAGCGACGCGCGTCGGTTCCCGCGCCCGCCGACGCAGGCGGGGGATCTGATGACCGCCGCCGCCGCGAGCGAAGCCGCGGCGGCGGACGCGACCGGCTCCTCCGGCGCGGTCTTCGCCGCCGCGACGGCGGTGCGGACGTACCCGGGGGCTTTGAACACCGGCGACGGCGGCTCCCGCGGCGTCGTCGTCGTCGCGTCGACGGCGTCGCGGGGCTTCTTCGGCGCCGACGACGCCTCCGCGACCTGTACTACGACGCGCGGCCGCGGCGCCGCGACGACGGGCGCGGCGATCTTGATCGCGGGCATCGCGCTCTTCTTCGCGCCGCCGCCGCCGTCCTTCGTCTCCGGGGACCACGCGCGCGCGCGGATCTTCGACGCGTCGGCGGCGAAGGACGCGGGCGGCGGCCTCGGGAGCCTCGACGCGCGCGGCGAGGCGGCGAGAAACGCATCCGCGTCCTTCGCCGCGCGCTTCCCCCCGTACGGCGACGGCCTCGTCTTGATCTCGCCGAGGTTCATCAGCCGCGCGTTCTCCACGAGCGGCGCGGACGTCATCGGGGACGTCGGCAGCGATGTCGGTTTCGCCGCGGGGGAGCCCTCGGTGAGCCACGCGTCGTCCATGCCGGCGAGCGCGCGGGCGGGATCTGAGAGAATTTCGTTCCCCCGCGAGCGTTTTGCTGCGTGAGGGCGATTTCGTACAAAAGTTCATCGGTCGGTTGAAAGTAGGCGCGATCAAATGTTGAAACCGATGGATGGGTGAACGAACGATGCACGTGACCAGACGTGACTCGTGAGATGATCGATCGTCGAATGCGATTTTCCACGCGCAGGAGCAGAGCGAGATCGCGGCTGCGTCCGCGGCGCATTCGCGCTCGCGCGTGAACGCGTCACACCCCCCGCGCGTCACGTACGGAATGGCCATCGCGGGCATGCTCGCGACGCGCGCCGGCGGCGTCGCCGTCCCTCGCGTCGGCGCGACGAACAAGGCGCGTCGACCGCGCGCGCCGTCTCTCTTCGAAAAGCGAATCGAATCCGTCCGATCGCTCGGACGACGCGACGCGCTTTTGGGGTTTTTCTTCCGCCGCGTCCGGCGAGCGATCCGATCCGATCCCTCCCTCCTCCGCCCGCGCGTCTGTCTCCTCCTCCCCGTGATCCGCCGCCGACCGACGCCCTCGCCCTCTCCCACCACTCCAGATCTCCTCTCGTCGCGACGCGTCGTCCGTCGCGCATCGCGCGGGGCCCTCCGAGCCCGCGGCGCGCGCGGCGGCCGCCGCGCGCTTCGATTCGACCGCGCGCGCCGGATCCTCGCGCCGCGCCCTCGCCGTCGTCGCCGCCGCCGCCGCCGCGTCCGTCCCCTCCCCCACGCCGCCCGCCCCGAAGGAAGAGGTGGGCGTCTACGGCGGCCCCGCGCGACTCAAGGAGGGCCTGCGGCGACAGACGATGCTCATCTACGTCGCGGACGTGACGGGGATGATCAACCGCGTCGCCGGCGTCTTCGCCAGGCGCGGGTACAACATCGAATCCCTCGCCGTCGGGCTCAACATCGACAAGGCCATCTTCACCGTCGTCGTCATCGCGTCAAACGACGACGCGACGAAGCTCATCAAGCAGATCAACAAGCTCGCGAAGGTGAGAAAGGTGGAGAACGTCACGGACAAGCAGTGCGTGGAACGAGGACTGATGCTCGTCAAGGTTGCGTGCACGCCGGAGCAACGGGCGGAGGTGATCGAGATGGGGAAGATCTTCCGCGCGTCCGTCGTGGACGTCTCGAACTCGTCGCTGACGATGACCACGACGGGGGACCCGGGGAAGAACCGCGCGTTCCAGCAGGCGTGCTTGAAGTTTGGGATTTTGCAAGTCGCGAGAACGGGTAAGCTCGCGTTGAAGCGAGAGCCGGTGTTCTCCGAGACGCGCCGCCGCCGCGTCAAGCTCATGGCGGCGATGAAGGAAGCGAAAGCCGCGGTGCAAGGCCTCGGCTTGGACGCGGACAAGGAGTACGAGAACGCGCTCGCGTCGCGGATCGTGAGGGTGGTGTCGAACGTGAACAATCTCGGGGACACGTACGCGGCGATGGAGGGTGAAGACGGCGTCGGCGTCTGGGACGTCCCCGTGTTGTCGTCCGACTTCGCGGGCGGCGCAGGCTCGCAGCAGGACAACAACATCGATAAGGAGTACCCGGACGACATCCCGAAGATGGACCCGAACGCGAAGTACACGCCGCACACGATAAGCATCGTGGTCATGAATAAGCCGGGCGTGTTGGACGTCGTCACCGGCGTGTTCGCGCGTCGCGGGTACAACGTGCAGTCTCTGGGCGTCGGACCGGAGAAGACGTTCGACGTCTCGCGGATATCGACCGTCGTCCCGGGGACGTACGACGACGTCACGAAGCTTCTGAAGCAAATCCTGAAGGTGCCGTACGTTATATCCGCGGAGGATATCACGAAGACGCCGTACGTGGAGCGCGAGTTGATGTTGATCAAAGTCGTGTGCCCGCGAAGCGGCCGCGGCGAACTCGTCGACCTGTGCGACATCTTCCGCTGCAAAGTCGCGGACGTCTCCGAGGACACGGTGACGATCGAGGTCAGCGGGAAGGTGTCGAAGATCACCGCGATGCAGTCGCTTCTGGAGCCGTACGGGATCTTAGAGGTGGCGAGGAGCGGCCGCGTGGCGTTGCCGCGCGACAGCGGCGTGGACTCGAAGCTTCTCGCCGCCATCGAGGACGAGGGCGACCTCGAGTTCGCGTGAGCCGAGCGGCGAGCGACGCGGCGCGGCACGGCGCGGCGCGGCGGGGTCGAGTCGAGTCGAGTCGAGTCGAGTCGAGTCGAGTCGAGTCGAGTCGAGTCGGCGACGCGCGTTTTGGTTTGGATACGACTGTAATGTACGAGTAGTTGATCGATCGATCGCTCCGCGCGCTTCTCTCCGCGCGGGCGCCCTCCCCGCGCGTATACTGTGGTTCTTTTGAACTTAAAAGTCTTCCCGTCCGAGGAGAGCACGTCAGAGCCACGACGCGCCCCCGCCCCCCCAACCCCGCCGCCGCGCGCCGCCATGTCCGCCGCTCGAGCGCTTCTCGCGCGCTCGCTCGCGTCGCTGACGCGCGCGCATCACCACCGCCACCGCGCTTTCGCGCGCGCGCCGCCCGCGCGCGCGCGCCGCCCGCTGACGCCGCCGAGCGCGAGCGCGTTCCGTCGCGTCGCGTCGTCGCGCGGCGGGGTCGACCGACGCGAGGGCCCGCGATCGCGCCGCGCGATCGAGACGCGCGCGTCCTCGGGAGAGACGACGACGACGCCGTACGACGCGGACGCGCTCCTGAACAAGACCGGTGCGCGGCGCCGCCGCCGTCGTCGTCGCCGTCGCCGTCGTCGGAGGAGGAAGAGAGAAAAACTCACTGCGATAAAAAACTCACGCGCGCGCTCCCCTCACCCCCCCCCCCAGGCTTCCTCGTCACGGTGCAGCCCGGCAAGGGCGCGAGACCGATACACGCGACGACGCGCGCGGTCGAGGAGGCGAAGTATGTCCTCACGCGCGCGATCCGCCCGGTCACCGCGGTCGACCGCGTCGTCGCCGCGGCGGACGCGCTCGGGGACTCGCTCCCGCTGCACGAGAGGGGCGAGGCGCGTTCGATCGATGATCATGCCGCGCTCATCGCCCGCGCCTCGGTTTCAAAACTCTGGCATCCGACCGCGATGCCGTTCGACTGACCGATGAAAACCAACCCGACCGCACGTATTCTCGCCAGAGCGGATGCACGTTTCTCGAGATGAAAGTCTTCGACGACGAGCTGAAGCACTTCAACCCGTGCGTGCCGTACGCGATCGAGGCGATCGACGAGTTCATCGGCGAGCCTCTGCCGCCGATCGACTCCCCGGAGTACCTCGCGCGTTTAGTCCCGATCGAGCGCACGTGCGCCGCGACCGAGACTGCCGTCGTCGGAGCGGTGAAGACGCTGCTGCCGCAACACTTCCGACGGCCGACGCAAACGCCGGCGACGTACTACGATTCGCACAGAGAGCCGACGAAGTTTTACGTGCACTACGAGCACCACGGGAAGAGCGAGATCGATCGAAAGGCGCTCGTGGACGCGATCGCGGAGTTGCTGCCGTCGCCGGATTACGTCGTCGACGCGGAGGCGAGGCTCTTTTTTTTCGTTTGGTTTTCTTTTGGTTTTATTTTTTGGTCTCTCGCCCGCTCGCGCGCTCCGTCGTCGTCTCATCGACTCCCCGCCGCTCGTCGCGTCGCCGAACCCTACGCCTCGTACGCGGAACGAACGATATCCGTGATCGTGTACCACGCCGTCGCGCTCGTCAGCGTCCTCCCGCGGTACAACGAGCTGAGACAGTACAACCTCCGAGAGCTCGTGGGCGCATTTCATCGCGCGGCGTATGGCGGCGACGCGGCGACGGCGGCGGTGGAGACGACGAGCGGCGGCGGGTACCCGTGATCGCGCGGCGCGGCGGGGCGGGCCCCCGCGATGGGAGAGACGGAAGCGCGCGAACGATGAAGACGGAAGCGCGACCGGCGCGAGAGCACGAAGTGCGTAGGAAGAAGACGGAGGACGCTTGAAAGACGATGACTGAATGAATCGTGATGTGCCTCCGCGAAACCGCGGAACCGCGGACGCTTTTTCTCGGTCTCGCGCGGAATCTCGCAGTGCGTCGTTTCGCGGTCGTAAATGCCGCGCTGTGATTGGTCCGTCGCCTTCAACACTGTCAGGGATCGCGGGAAAATATTTACCCTAAAATATTCCCGTTCCGTCGCCGGATGACGTCGACTTGGCGTAGTACGCCTCGCGACGTACTCAGTCTGTTTGCGCACTCGAAAAAAAGAACGTTCGGGAAGCGCGACGAACACTTCAGAAGCGCCCGTTCACGTGGTGGCCTACGCGCACACTGACGCGCGCGGGCACACGATCGACGAAGCAACGACCAGAGCCGGGATTGACATGCAAAGCGAGCGCGGTCTGTTTTAAACACGATGAATTCCGCTGTCACGATATCCCACCCCGGCGCGTTCCGCCCGGGCGCGCGCGCTTTAAAGAGCGCGCGCGCGCGCGTCGCGCGCGGGAGCGCCCGAAAAGCGCTGCGGGTGAGGGCTTTCGCGCTGACGTCGAAGAAGCCGAGCAAGTCCGTGGACGAGGACGGGCGCTCGCTGATGTCCGACCCGCTCAGCGCGATGATGAACTTCATCTCGGAGATGAACCCGCTCGCGAGCGTGTTCAAGTCCCCCAGCGGTGCGTCCGCGTCGCGATCTTTCCTCGCTCCCGCGCTCGCCTCGAAAAACGATGCGGGTCGCAGCACGTGCTCACGTGCCCCATCCCCCGCGTCGCGCGCTCTCCCGCAGACAAGCTCCACGTGCACTTCGGCGCGGGCAGGCTCGGTTTCGGTCTGGTCATCCCCGCGCTGGAGTCGTCGGGGAGCCCGTACATCGTGATGAACCGCCCGAGCGCGGTGTGGGCGCCGGTCGTCGAGCGCGAGAAGGAGGCGCAGCAGCACGTCGCGGTCAAGGCGCGATCCCTCCCTCGTCCCGCCCGCGCTGTTATCCGTTCGCGCGACCTTTTGAAATATCGCGAGGGCGCGTCCGCGCGCTCGCCGCGCGAGCGCGGGATCCCCGATCGCGCGCGAGATGTTTTTGGGGACGCGCGCGAACGCGTGGGCGACGCGAGCGCGCGACGCGCGGCGCTCGAGCGGCGGGTCGGCGCGTCAGATCGCTCGCGCGCGCGGGTCGCTCGAAAAAATATCTCGAAAGCGGTCGAACCTTTTTTCTTCGCCGCAGCGGCGACTGACCCCGCCGACGTCCCCGTCTCTCCCTCTTCTCCACCCCGACGATTCAGATCAACGGCGAGTGCACGTGTGGCGGACGCGGGCTCCACGTCATCACCGAGGACGACATTCGCGCGCACGAAGAGGGCATCCTCGGCATCGTCCACGACGCGCTCGAGAATGGCGCGCGAGGCTTCCTTCTCCTCTCCATGGACGTCAACCTCTGCGCGCCCGTGATCGCGCAGGCGCGTCCCATCTCGCACTGGTCCCCATACGACCGCGTTGGCGTGGTGAACGCCGATCCTTAAGGACTTTTCCCGGCGCATCTCTCCGCCCAGGGTCCCTCGCGTTCAAACCCCGCCGTCGACGCCTTTCAACTTCAACTGACGCCTTTGAACTCCACCCTTTGAACGACCCTCACCACGCGCAGGCGACCTCCTTCTCCTGCGCGCTCGGACCCGCGGTGCAGGTGCTCGCGGATCACCTCATGAACCTCCCGGACGTCGAGGACGAGACGCGCCCGGTGTTGTACGCGTGCGAGAACGACCACAGCTCGGTGGAGAAGCTGCAGTTCGCGTTGCGCACCAAGGTGGAGGCGGTGCCGTGCATGGTGGACAGGATCTGCGTGGATTTGACCGTTTCGGACGACGCCAAGACGGTCAACGTCACCGCGGAGGGGCACGAGGGATCGATCGTCGTGTTGAATCAACCCGAGAGCGCGGACGGTAAGAAGGAGCAGGGGCCGCTCGCGGGTGATTTCGTGCAAAACCCCGAGAACGAAGCCGACAGCAGTTACCTGTACCGCAAGAAGCTGCTCACGGTGAACGGAATGCACACGGTGATCGCGTTCCGAACGCTGTGCTCCTACGCGTCGACGCAGCGAAACTTCTCCCCCCCGGAGAGCTGCCTCGCGCTCCCGCTCCTGTCGGACGAGACGGTGACGGATGAGCAACGCGCCGAGATTTGGTCGTGGGGCGTCGCGCAAGTTTTGGTGTTGATGTGGGAACACGGCATCCCCACCATGATGCGCGTGCACGGCCAAGACACGACGGAGGGCCTCGTGAACATCCTCCTCGATCAGCTCCGCACGACGCTCGACCGGTTCTTCACGATCGAGGACTCCACCGCGCGCGTCCTCGGCGGCGGCGTGAGCCTGCGGTACGAAGGGCGGCTGTTGCCGACGTACGAGACCATCACGAACGAATTGCTCACCGCCGGGTGGACGCCGGACTGCGCGCAGAACGTGCTGCTCAAGCAGGCTGGGCTAGAGCTCGAGTCGCTGCAGACGGACCTGCAGATGCTCGTGGACGAGGCGAGGCCGTTCGCTGCGGTGGACAAGCGCGCGCGCGCGATGAAGGAGCTCGAGGAGGCGATGAAGGAGGAGCAGGCGCGTTCTCCTCACACTGGTCCCCATACGACCGCGTTGGCGTGGTGAACGCGATTCCTTAAGGACTTTGCCCGGCGCATCTCTCCACCCACCCCTCGCTTTCAATCCCCGCCCTCGGCGCCTTTCAACTTCAACTGACGCCTTTGAACTCCACCCCGACGGGCACTTCTCGAGGAGCAGGCGGCTGTGCAAATTCGCGAGCAGCAACTGAGGACGGCGGCGGCGAGCGAGGTTGCGGTGCTGTTCGATTTCGACGGCACGCTCGCGGACACGGAGGTGCCCGCGATGGAGGTGGCGTTCTGGGAGCTCGCGCCGTATTTCCCGAACGTTCAGCCCGAGGATCTCACGCCGCAACGCATGCGGGAGTTTATCCGCGTCAACGCGGGGAAGGCTTTCGACATCATGCTGGCGTCGGTGGAACGCGACAGGGAAGCCGTCGGGCTGCCTCCGGTGGAGGAGGTGCGCGCGAAGTTTCAGGAGAGCTTCGAGATCATCCAGGTGTGCAACACCGCGCGCGCGGGGTTCGGTCTGCGGCCGATCGAGCTGTGCAGAGAGGAACACAAGACGCTGAAGGAGAAGCAAAAGGCGGAGACGTTGGAGGCGCTGGCGAACCTCGCCAAGACCAACGACGGCGTCGTGAAGAGCCTGAACTTCCTCAAGGTGTCCGGGTTCAAGTTCGCCATCTCGACGACGTCGCCGAAGTCGCGCGTCATCGCGTGCCTGGACACGATGCGCCTCGCGGACGACTTCCCCCAGGAGAAGATCCACTCGGGCTCGTCGGATTTCGACCCGCCGCGGTTTAAACCCGCGCCGGACGTCTACCTTAAAGCCGCGGCGGCGGAGGAGGTGGGCGTCGAGGCGTGCATCGCCGTGGAGGATTCGCTCTCGGGCGTCGGCAGCGCCGCGGACGCGGGCGTCGCGCTCATCGTCGGCTACGTCGGCGGCGGGCACATCACGGCGGAGGCGTTGGACGGGTACGCGGAGGCGCTGCTGGCGGGGGGGAAGAGCAAAAACGGACGCGGCGCGGACGTCGTCATTCGCGACATGGAGGATCTCCCGTCGGTGGTGAACACGTTCTTGGACATGCGCATGGACGATCCGACGACGTGCGACAGAGATCACTTCGACTTCGAGAAGATCCGGCCCGCGCTGAGGGATCGGTGCTGGACGACGGCGGGAAAGACGGGGGTGGTGGAGGTGGAGGATCCGAATCCGCGGTGATTCGACGTCGACGTCGACTTCACAAAATTTCAATTCTTGGCGTCGAGGAGGCGGAGGCGGAGGTCGAGGAGGGAAAAAAGACACAGAGACGACGAGGATGCGAGACGCGACCAGCACGATTCGTGGTGTTCGGCGAGTGACGTGTACGATCAGACGATGTACTGTACCAATAGACGCGGAGCGGAACGCCACGGGCTCTGAAAGAGAGAGGAGTCGAGAGACGCGAGTAGAAAAAAAACCAATTCAATCAAACAAAGTTCTTCGAGATACGTGTGGACGTCGAGTCGCGCGCGCGGTGATACGAGTGACAACGTTTATTACGATGAATTCATCAGCGTCGTGATTAAAACGAGCCTAAGTCGCGTGTTATTTCGCGATCGTCGTGCAAGCAATGCGTGCGTTCAATCAACCAATCAGTGTGGCGCCCCGAACACGAGGCGCCGCGGGCTTTGTTATATCTACAGCCGCCGGGACGAGCTTTGCGTCCTTCGCGGCAAAAAAAAATGGGTGGAAACCACGACTCCCGTCGTAATAGAGGTAGTAGTAGTAGTAGTCACCTGGGCGGCGTCGGCGTCTATGATAGGGTGCGTCCGCGCCCACGGAACCGTGGTCGCTAGGAGGGCACCCTCCGCCTACGCCTCGAGGGGAACAAACGCCACCGCCTCGTCCGGCTGCGCCTCCTCCGGGATGCACACCTCGTCCAGGGCGTGGAACGACCCGCTGACCCTCGACACGTCCCGGTGCGCGTTCGCGAGGTCCCCGTTGCTGTTGTTCCCCGCGCCGAAGATGTACCCCAAGAGCGTCGCCTCCACCCCGCTCTGCTCGATGTCGTCGAACTCGCGAGCGACCGCGCTCCTGAACCCCTCGTGTTGCGCCAAGACGCCAAACACCTCCTCAACGTCCAAAAACGCCTCCAACCCGCCGCCGTTGACGGTCCACGGCGCGGAGACGAGCTGCGCGGACGCGTCCTTCACCTTATCGCCGTTCTCGACCGCCTTCTTAAGGAAGTGCGCCCAGGTGGCGACGAACAGCGCGAACCCTCGCACCGATCGCTCATCCGCCAAACCCTCCATGACAACCGCGCGCCCCTGCACGCGGAACTTCTCGCTGCCGTCCATGGCGACGCGGTCCAGCGTGTCCTTCACCGCGACGTTCTCGAACCTGCGAAGCACGAGCTCCGCGTACGCGTCGAGACCGGAGATGAGTTCGGACATCGTCGGGTCCGCGACGAGCGACGCCGTGATCTCATTCGTCATGATCCGCTTCAGGTACGGTCGAACCATCTGGTGCGTCACCGCCTCGTGCACGTGCGTGCACCCGACCAAAAGCCCGGCGTAGCACATCGCGCTGTGCGTGACGTTCAGCAAGCGCACCTTCATGAGCTCGTGCGGGCGAACGTCCGGGACGAGAAGCGCGCCGACGCGTTCCCACGCCGGGCGCGCGCCGTCGACAAAGTTGTCCTCGACGACCCAGTGCTTGTACGGCTCGCACATCACCGGCCACTCGTCCTCGATCCCAGTCTTCGCCTTGAGGTCGATGATATCCTGCGGCGACGTCGCCGGGGTGATCCTGTCCACCATCGTGGACGGGTACTTCACCTCTTCCTCGACGAAGCGCGCGAAGTCCTCTCGGACAGACCCGAACCGCTCGGCGGAGAGAGCGTTCGTCGCGGCCGTCATGCGCTTCTTCGCGACGTCGCCGTTGTGCGGGAGGTTATCGCAGCTCATGACCGTGAACGGCCGCACGCCAGCCTTGAACCGCGCCGCGAGCGCGGCGAGCATGAGGCCAAACACCGTCGCCTTGGCGCACGCGGGGTCAACGTTTTCCGACGCCAAATCCGCGTCCACGGACCCCTCCAGGGCCATCTCAATGAGCTTGTAGTCGCCCTCGTTCAGAGGGACGCGGTACCCAAACTCCGTGATCGTCAGAGACACGATCTTCGTGGTCGGCGCCGCGAGAAGGCGGACGGTCGCGACCGGGTCCTCGAACGAGAGCTGCATGTCTCTCATGGTGACCACGTCTTGCACGTCCATGGTCATGTCCTCCGCGGTCGGGCCGACGCGCGAGACGATCGGGTACTGCCAGTCGTTGTTCTTGAGGTAGTCGCGCATCTTGACGTCCCACTCTAGGACGCCGACGCCGGTGTAGCACCAGTCCTTCGCGGCGTCGAAGTCGAGCCGAAGGAGGTCGTCGAGATAGGCCTGAGGTTTGAGTTGACGCGTCGGAATTGCGGCGGAGAGAGGGAGGTTAACAACGGCGCGCGGACGCGATTGCGCGAGCGAAACGTCGCGAGAGGGCGCGGAAACGCGCGGGGAAGGCGATTCGCGCGCGCGGCGCGATTTCGAGGCGCGCGCGCGGCGCGACGCGCGCGCGAGCGCGCGACGCGTTTCGACGCGTTTTGGGAGCTCCGAAACGCATTTTCAAAGAGCGACGCGCACCTGCTGATGCGAGCGGTGGAACCCGCCGACGCCGAAGTGCACGATCCCCGTGCGCAGCGCGGCGCGGTCGCACGCGAGAGCCTCCCGGCGCGTGAACGCGCGGGTCGAAGCCATGGTGTGGGCTGCGTGCGGTGCGGAGCGAGAGCGCGTGAAAGAATGGGTCAGATTGCGGCGGTCTCCCGAGTGTCGTGCAAAAACGCGTGAAACAATTTTTCGACGCGTTTTGTAGGCCGCGAAAGTTTGGTCGGTCGGTTCTATGGGAGCTTAGACTGGGAAATCTCGGTTCGTTGGAATCCGTCGGAGATTCAACGCGTCTCCGATCTGAACGCCTGGGCACCCCGCGTCGCTTCGACTGCACCGACCGATCAATCACAGCCGCGCAGGGTGAATTGAAAGCAGAATCTGAAGAATCTGACTCAGCGTTCGCGCGCGTTTCCGCGGCTGGCACGTTTTTCCCCCGGTCAGGTCCTTTCGCTTTCCACCCTTTCCGCGGTTCGGGTGCGGACAAGCGTGCGCGCACAGAAGACGCGCGGGACGACGCGCGCGCACGGTACCGCGAACGCCTCCTCCCCTCGCCCGAGATGACCTTCAGCGCGATGCGCGCCGTGGGCATGGCGAGCGCGCGCGCGAGCGCGCTCTCGCGCGGAACCGCGCGCGGCACCGCGCGCGCAGGCCCGCTCAACCATCCTTTAGCCAATCTTTCGCCGAAGGGACGCGGCGGGCGCGTCGCGCGACCGCGGCCGTCGCGCTCGTCCTCGCGCAACGTCGCGATCGTTCACGCCGCGCTGCGCCGCTTGGACTGCCCCGAGGGGTGCGAGCCGTCGTGGAAAGACGTCGCGTTCAAGAACGCGCCCGTCTTCGACCGCTCGGAGACGAGCACCGGGATCGCGCACATCGGCGTCGGGGGCTTCCATCGCTCGCACCAGCAGGCGTACATGAACGAACTCCTCGCGCGCGACTTCGACGCCGCGAAGACGTGGCTCTACACCGGCGTGGGCGTCATGCCGAACGACGCGGGGATGCGCGATTACCTCAGAGGCAACGACTGGTCGTATCCCATCGTCGCGAGAGACGGCGCCGACGGCGGCGAGTTGCGCGCGACGGTGGAAGAGGTGGTCACCATCCGCGACATGCTGCTCGCGTACGAGGACCCGGTCGTCGCGATCGAGGCGCTGGCGGACCCGGCGATCAAGATCGTGTCGCTGACGATCACCGAGTTCGGGTACCGCGTGCCGCTGCACAAGGGCGACTTCGCGCTGATCGACAACGCGCTCAACGGGATCCTCGGCACCGACGCGTTCGACCTGGATTCCATCGCCGAGGAGTGCGCGCTCGAGGAGGAGTGCAAGGCGCCGACGACGTTCGGGCTTATATGCGCCGCCGCCGCGCTTCGGTTCGAGCGCGGGATCAAGCCGTTCACGCTCATGAGCTGCGATAACTTGCCGGAGAACGGCGAGGTGTGCAAAAAACGGATGACGAGCGCGGGGGAGGAGCTCGTGTGCGGCGGGCTCTGCGCGGCTTCGCTCGACGCGTTCGTCGTGTGGATTCAGACCGCGGTGAAGTACCCGTCCACGATGGTCGACAGGATCACCCCGGCGACGTCGTGGGAGGACATCGCGACGCTGCCCGAGCGCTGCGGAATCGAGGACGAGTGGCCGGTGATGTGCGAGCCGTACAAGCACTGGGTCATCGAGGATAACTTCGTCGACGACGAGCGCCCGGCGTGGGAGACGGTCGGCGCCGTCGTCGTGAAGGACGTGATCCCGCACGAGCTCATGAAGGTCCGCCTGCTGAACGTCACGCACAGCGCGATGTGCTACGCGGGGATTCTCGCAGGTTTGACGCACGTGCACGAGGCGGTGACGCACGGGAAGCTGCGCGCGTACCTCGAGACGTTGATGCGAGACGAGATTTCCGCGACGCTGGCGCGCAACCCGGGCATGGACCCGGCGTTGATTCCCACCTTTGACGCGTACGGCGAGAGCGTGCTGAAGCGCTTCGAGAACGTCGCGGTGAAGGATCAGCTCGATCGCATCGCCATGGACGGCAGCGAGAAGTTCCGCGTGCAGGGGCGAGGGGTCGTCCTCGAGGGACTCGCGCTCGGGTTGGAGATGAAGGGCTTCGCGATGTACGTCGCCGCGTGGGCGACGTTTTTGGCGCGCGAAGTCGCGGAGGGGAGAGAGGTCAAGGACGCGGGCGGGCAGCAGGTCACCGCCGCGTTCCAGAAGGGCGGCACCGGTATCGAGGCGTTTCTGGACATGGTGGACATCTTCGGCGAGTTGACGGCGCACGACGGGTGGAGGCGGAGCGTTCGCGACGCGCACGCGATCATCGAGAACGACGGCGTGATCGCCGCGATCGACGCCGCGCTCGGCGCGGCGCCGCCGATCGTCGCGATGGAGGACATGGCCGCCGCGAGCGTGATCGAGGATCACATGCGCGAGGCGCAGGTCGAGGACGACACCGCGCAGGCGAACGGGAGTCTCGTGGAGGAGCCCGTCTCCGTGAACGTCGCCGCGATGTGATCGGAGGCGCGGAAGTACTCGTACGCTGTAACTTATTTATCGATTGATTGATTGATTGATTGATTGTTTACGCGAGCGCGGGGGGGCGCTTCGCGGGGGAAGAGATGGAAAGGGAAACGGGGAGGGAGTCATTCGGTTCAAAAAGTGAGCTTGTATCATAACGACAGCGGTCGTCTCCCGGTCGCGCGGGCGGCGACGCGTGATGACGGTATCTGAAATACAGTACACTAAAAGTTATTGTTCATCCGACAGCCGACGACGTGAAAGCTACAGCTAGCTAGACCAACTCGTAATAAAGCGTCACGTCCTCGCGGACGCCCCTTTCTCGCCGCCACCCGCGCCGCCTCCTTCCCCGTCTTCGCCCACCAACTTCACCCTCGAGAGGTTCCGTCGCACCGCCGGCGGCGGGTCCCGAAACATCCCCTGCGAGTGCCTGAGAAACATCGCGGGAACCCCCGCGGTCGTCGCGATCATGCTCGCGATCGCCGCCGACGGACTCGCCGTGAACAACGCCGCGCACGCGATCGGGCTCACCATCTGCCCGAGCGCGAAGCACACCCTCGATATCCCGGTGATCTGCCCCATCTGCGCCGGCGATAGCGAATCGGATATCGTCTTTATTCGCATCTGATTTGGCGTCTGCGCGCACACGATGCACACGATGAGAGCGAAGACGCAAAACATGAACCCGACCGCCGTCGAGTGCACCGCGGGCACCGCGAAGAGGGTCAACACCGCGCACGTCGCGAACGACGCGTAGGTGAGGCATCCGTGCACGCCGACGTTGCGTATGATGGCGGGCAGGAGCGCGTACATCGTGAGGACGTTCGCCGCGGGTATCGCGATGAAGCTCCACCCGACTTGGACGACGGTCCAGCCCAAGATCTCCTTCGCCATGAGGACGTAGAGCACTAAGAACCCCATGAACAGATACCCGGTGTTGAACGCGGTGTACATGTGCGACGCCATGCCTCCGTCGTTTAAGAGCTCTCTCAGCGTCAGCGTCGTCACGATCAAGGCGACACCGGCGTCGGGGTCGTCTCGACCGGGCCCTTCGGGACTCCGATTCTGATTCGGATTCTGAGGGTCGTTCCATACAAAAACAGTTCATCGGTCAGTTGAAAAGGGACGCGATCAAATATTGAAACCGGGCGATGGGTGAAAAACTTGTGTATACTGTAGACGCACCTGATTCGGATTCGGATTCGGCGGGGGGCCGCCGAGAGGCTCCGCCGCCGCCGCCGCCGCGCTCACCGCCGCCGCGCTCACCACCTCCGCGTCGCCGCCGCGCTCTTGTTTCTCCTCTCCGTCTCCCAATATAACGCCAACGCCATCGCCGCGACCGTTATCGTTGTTCTCGGCGGCGAGCTCCCACACGACGACCAACGCGAGCGCCGCGACGGCTGCCGAAAAGAGGTTCAAACCGGTCCACCCCAGCTCGGAATAAAACAGCCCGACGATCATCCCCGCGAACGCGTACGCGAAATTAACGCTCGCGCTGTATGCGTTCACCCCCGCGAGCTTCGACGCGCCCTCTTCCGTCGCGCGCTCGAGGATGTACATGAGCGACGGCACGAGCGGGGACGCGACGCCGGCGAGGAAACGCACTGCGGATGGCGATCCAGACGAAGCGAGCGACGACGGGGCGGAGTCGGGGTGGAGTTGAAAGGCGTCAGTCGGAGTTGAAAGGCGTCGAGGGCGGGGATTGAAAGCGAGGGACCCTGGGCGAAGAGAAACGCCGGGAAAAGTCCTTAAGGATCGGCGTTCACCACGGCGACGGGGTCGTACGGGGACCAGTGTAAACGAAGAACGCGCCCGAGAGGATCAGCGCGACGCTCCGCGCGAATGCGGTCGCCGCGAAGAAGACCACGTCCCCGCCGAGCGTGCTCGCGAGCGTGAACCGCGAGCCGAGACGGTCGCCCAAGACGCCCACGAACGTGTTCCCGACCGCGCCGCCCGCGTACTGCGCGGTGGTTATCGCGCCCGTCCAGAGGGACGAATCGCGCGTCGACATGCCGAGCTCCTCCTCGAGAAAGTACGGCAGCGCGGGCGTGATGAGCGCCATGCCGAGGTAGTCCGCGAACGCGGCGGCCATCCCGGGGAGGAACGGGTAGCGGACGACGCGGCGGAGGAGGCTCCCGCGGGCGGCCTCGGCCTCGGGGGGCGACGCCATCGGCGTGCGGCGCGCGACCTGGCTTCGTCTTCCGATGACGTGGCGTGGTCTACGTAAGATCGCGCGACGCGGGCGGTGCCCTCCCGTCTCCTCCCCCGCCCGTCTCCTCTCCGCTCCGGCCGTCCGCGTCGCGGTCTGAGTCCGTCGAATTCGCCGGCCCGGCGCGGCGTCTTCGACGCGTTCCCCCGCGTCGGGCGGCGGTCGACGCTGAGACGCGCGCGACACCGCGCGTCGCCGTCTGGTCGTTCCTCTCGACGAAACGCGCTCACGCATCAAGTTTCCTCGTCAGCCCGCCGAAGGGGCCCGCACTCCGCTCCGCGTCGCCGCCGGCGCGCGCGCGGCGTCATGTTCGTCGACCTGAGCGTCCGCGTCGACCCGAGCAACCCGCACGCGCTGAGGGAGCACCTCGCCACCGCGCTCGTCCTGGGTGCGTCGCGTCGCCGTCCGTCGCGTCGCGTCCTCGCCGGGGCTGACCGGCGTTCGCGTCGCGCCTCGACCGTCGTCGAATCTGCAGCATCCGAATCCGCGTCCGCGTCTGACGACGCCCTCCGTCCGTCGTCCGTCCCCTCCATTGCCTCCCTCTCGTCGCAGGGTACTCCACGATCGCGACGGACGCGCGCGTCTCCTGCGGCGACCGGACGCTTCACAGAGACCTCGCGAGCGGCCTGACGGAGATCCCACCGGAGATCATGGACGCCGTCCACGCCGAGGCGGCATCGCACGGCGTCAACGCGCGATTGCGTCGCGTCGCGCGCCTCACCGTGGCGTACTCGGAGCCGAGCGAGCTTCAAGCGCTCCTGCGCGCGCACGCGGACGTGATCGCGCGGTACGACCTCCTCGCGCTCGAGCCGTCGACCGAGCGCGCGTTCTCGTCCGCGTGCGCGAACGCGAGGGCGGACGTCGTCGCGCTCCCGCTGGGGAATCGGCTGCCGTTCAGGCGCGTTGTATACACTGGTTCCCATACGACCGCGTTGGCGTGGTGAACGCTGATCCTTAAGGACTTTGCCCGGCGCATCTCTCCGCCCACCCCTCGCGTTCAATCCCCGACCTCGACGCCTTTCAACTCCGCTTCTGACGCCTATGAACTCCACCCCGACATCGCTTTGTATGGAACGACCCTCAGACTGCGGCCGGCGACGCTCGCGGCGGCGGCGGCGAACGGCATCGCGATCGAGGTGGCGTACAACGCGGCGCTGTTGGACGTCGCGTCGAGGAGGAACTTCTTCGCGAACGCGACCGCGGTCGCGCGAGCGGTGGGGAGCGGCGTCGGCGGCGGCGTGAGCGGCGGCGGCGCCGCGGGGAAGGCGCCGGGGATTCTTTTGGCGGGCGGCAGGCGCGAAGACGGCGCTCGCGCGTTCTCTCCATCGCATCGTTCGCTCGCTCGCTCCATCGCGACCGCTCGATCTTCCACGTCACGTCGGTCGTCAAACAGTATCACGAGCTGACCGATCGGTTCCCTCCGCGCGCACCCCTCCCGCAGCCGGAACGCCACGGAGTTGAGAGCGCCGTACGACGTCGCGAACCTCGCGACGTTATTCGGGATGAAGGCGCGTTCTATACACTGGTCCCCATACAGCCGCGTTGGCGTGGTGGACGCCGATCCTTAAGGACTTTTCCCGGCGTGTCTCTCCGCCCACCCCTCGCTTTCAATCCCCGACCGTGACGCCTTTGAACGCCAACTGACGCCTTTGAACTCCACCCCGACATCGCTTTGTATGGAACGACCCTGAAGGACGAGCACGCGCGCGCGGCCATCTCCGCGCGGTGCGCGAGCGTCCTGGACCGCGCGAGGAGGAAGCGCGAGAACGCGGAGGCGTCGGCGGCGTGACGCGATGCGATAGCGGTAGCTAGGCGAAAATATCACACACGAACTACAGTAGTAGGGTACGCTCGTCGAGTAGCACACGTAGTGATCTTATTTGACTCATCATCAGAAAACGAATTATCGCGCGTCGTCAATCGATCAGTCGCGCGCGCCGCGCGAACGGCGTCGACGACGGTCGCATCGCGTCACCGCCCCTCCGGCAACTCCTCCCCCGCCTGCCCCTTCTCGACGACGCCCACGAGCGCCGCCCCCCCCAAGTACAACGACATCAGCGGCACCGCGAGCAACATCTGCGTGAACGGATCCGTCGACGGCGTCAACACCGCCGCGGCCACGACGCTTCCCACGACGACGTATCGCCACACCGACAGCATCTGCGCGCTGCTGACGATGCCCGTCTGCCCGAGCAGCAGCTGGATCACGGGGACTTGGAACGACAGCCCGGTGGAGAAGAGCAGGACGAGGACGAACTCGAAGTATTGGTCGATGCTCCACAGCGATTCCACCGCCTGGTCGGAGTACCCGATGAAAAATTTAAGCGCCGCGGGGGTGAGAATCGCGTACGCGAAGCCGATGCCGGCGTAAAAGAGGACGCTCGAGCCGAGCACGATGGGCCCCAGAAACTTCCTCTCGTCCTTCGTGAGCCCCGGGAGGATATACGCGATGGCCTCGTATAACACCACGGGCGCGCCGAGGAGGAGGCCGCAGTACCCCGCGACCTTCACCGTCGTGAAGAAGTACTCCCCGGGCCCGAGCTGCAGAAATCGCACGCCCTCCTCCGCGACGGGCGCCTCCAGGAACAAAACGAGGTCCTTCGCGAAGCAGAAGCACAGGAGGATCATGACGGTGACCGCGGCGCTGGAGATCAGCGCGCGGTCGCGGAGCTCCTCGAGGTGCTCCCAGATGCTCATGGAGACGTCGTCCGGGAGCTGGTCCTCGCCCGGGTAGAGGAAGGATCGCACCGCCTCGGATTGCTTCTCGGCGGGGGGCGCCATCGTCGCGAGGGATTGGGATTGCTTCTTCGTCGTCGTCGTCGTCGTCGTCGTCGTCGCGGCCGCGGGTTCGAACCCCCCGCTCGCGACGTTCGCGGTCGTCGTCGCGCCGGTCATCAAACCCGCGTCGCGCGCGGCCTCCTCCGCGAGCGCAGCCTTCTCCTCCGCTTCGAAGCGCGCGGCGATGTCGTCTAAACCCTTCATGTCGAACCCTCCCGCGATGGAGTCCACGTCCAAGAAGCCGTCCTCCACCGCGGCGCCGTCGCCGCGCTTCGCGTTCGCCCAGTCGATCGTGGGCGCGTCGAAGTCCGCGGCGGACGGCGGCGCGAACGCGGGGTCCTCCCCGAGCGACGTCTTAAACGACGACGACGACGACGACGACGACGACGCCGATCCCGCGGGGGCGGAATCGTCGCCGTCGTCGCCGAAGCTGTAGGTGACGTAGTCGCCGCTCGTCTTGCCGCCGGCGTCGTCGTCGTCCGCCGTTCCCGCCGCGCGCGTCCGCATCGCGCCGCGCGCGGCGGGTCCGGTCGTCGCGGACGGCACGGTGAACCGCGCCGCGCGCGCCGAGCCGGCGGATCGCGCCGCGCGCGCTGCGGACGCGGTCGCGGACGCGTGCGTCGCGCGACGATCCGCGACGACGCGCGTCGCCGCCGTCGCGACGCAGAGATCTTTCCCACGCGGCGCCGCGCGGCATCGCGCGGCGGCGCACGCGGTCGTCGTGGCGCTCATCGTGCGCGGCGCGCGCGCGGTGGCGTGAAGCGTGGGAACCCTGTCCGCGCGCGGAGGCGGAGAGGGATCGCGGCGTGCTCGCGGCGCGCGAGGTGTGCGGCGCCCTGCGCGGGGTCGGCGATTATCCAGTCTCTCGAGTCTCGAGCTCTAGCCACGTCCTGTCTGTTCGAGACAGATCTGGCGAGCGATCTCGACCCACGGACGTACTCTTTATACAAATTGCTCGTATGAAAGTACGTTTTCGCGTACTTTCGAAAGCGCTCGATACCGTTTTCCCGGCAAAATAACAGAGCACCCTTCCGCGCTCGGGGGTCGCACATTGACGCGCGGGTCGCGGCGCGGCGGCGGCGGCCGCGGCGGAGACGACCGGACGCGGCGGAGGAGGACACCGCAGCGCGCGCGCTGAACGTCCGCGGCGGTCGTCGAGGGCGTCGACGAGGAGGAGAGGGGTCGCGACGCGCGAGATCTGAGACGACGACGACGACGTCCGCTCCCAACGTTAACACGACTGTCGCTATCCGCTCGCGGACGCGATGGCGACCGCGGACCGCGCGACGCAGATCACGCGCGAGTGGTTCGCGAAGTGTGCGAACGTCATCCTGTGCTCGCGGCTCGCGGACGACGACCCGCACGCCGCGCAGACGCCGACGCGCGCGAGAGACCGATGGGTGCGTCCGCGTCCCCCCCCCCCCCCGCCGGAGCGTCCTCGTTCAAACGCTCGCCGCGCGTTTTTATTCTTCGCGCGCGGCGTGTTCGTTCTTTGACCGACGCGCCGCGTCCCCTTATCCCCTTCCCAACCCGCGCAGTTCAACCTGGATATGGACGAGCACGCGACGCACGCGTCTTCGATCAAACCGTGGAGACGCGGCGGCGCGGCGAGCGTCCACGCGTCCACGCCGCTCGTGATCGACGTCTTCGTGGACGCGAGGATGCGAGACGTCGACGTCGCCGACGACGCCACCGCCGCGGAAGCGGTATCGCGCACGCTCGTGGAGCGCTGGGTCTTATCCCACGACGCGCGGTGCCGCGGCGACGGCGAAGAAGAAGAAGAAGTAGTAGAAGAAGAAGAAGAAGAATGCACTTCTTCGAGCAGCGACGTCGCGGTGACGTATAAGCGCGCGGTGATCATGGTGCGGTCGCTCCTCGCGCTCACGCGCGCGCTGCCCGCGAATCGCCTCCATCGCGCGCGCGTCCGCGGCGGCGCTCGCGACGACGCGTCCTACCGGCTCTCGTGCGAGGTGCGCGACGTCGGCACCCTCGGGACGAATCCTGGGACCGATGAAGGTCGGCACCCGGGTGCCGACGCGTGGCGGACGTACGAGTTCGCGCCCGTGGACGCGGCGGCGGCGAGGTGAGACTGCTTCCCATACGACCCCGTTCGCGTGGTGCACGCCGTTCATTAAGGACGTTTCCCGTCGTCACTCTTCACCCGCGCTTCCCTTTCAACGTTTGACCGGTAAGACGTTCGACTGACCGATCGCTTCACCCACGCAGGGGGTCGGCGGGCGGGTCGCTGCGCGCGGCGGTGTTTTTCGCGGACGCGACGGCGCTGGCGGGGATGGACGCGACGCCGCCGCCGTTCGCGCCGCGCGTTTTGGATGACTACGTCGGTGGTGTTTCAAATTTAAATTTGAATTTGAATCCGACAGCGACAGGTACCCCGCGGCGCGCGCAGTCGTGGGCGGGTCGCGCGACGTATTTTCCGACGGCGGCCGCGGGTCCCGCGGTCGGTCCGCGTCCCGCCGCCGGCGACGCGCCCCCGCCCCCGCCGCCGCCGCCGCCGCCGCCGCCGCTCGCGAGGAAAGGATCTCGAGGACTCCTCTCCGAGGAGATCAAAGCCGCGTGGACGCTGCGCGACGAGGGCGAGGTGTCGACGCCGACGTCGACGCGCCCGCCGCCGTCGCCGTCGGAGTCGCCGAGCGGTCGATTCTCCGTCTCAGGTGCGTCCTATACACTGGTCCCCATACGACCCCGTTGGCGTGGTGAACGCCGATCCTTAAGGACTTTGCCCGGCGCATCTCTGCGCCCACCCCTCCCTTTCAATCCCCGTCCTCGACGCCTTTCAACTCCAACTGACGCCTTTCAACTCCACCCCGACATTCGCTTGTATAGAACGGCCCTCCGTCTCCTCGGCGTCCCCGCCTCTGCCGTTCGCGTGCTCCGCGGGACGCTCGAGCTCGCTGTCGTCGCCGTCGCACGTCTTAAACGCGCGGTTCGGCGCCCTCGGCGGCATCGGAGATGGCCAGGGCGATCACCCGTGCTCGCGCGGCGGAGAGGTCGCCGGAGTCTCCGCGAACACTCCGGCGGCGACGGCGCCCGTCCGACGATACGACCCGTCCCCGCCGTGGAGCTTCAGGGGACTCAACTCGTGTTCGCCGTCGCCGTCGTCCGCGGGAGGGAGGCGGACGTCCTGGTCGTCCCCGTCGTCGTCGCTGTCCGTGAGTTTGCAGAGCAGCGCGGCGGGGTCGGGGTCGTTTCACCGCGCCGCGGCGGCGGGACGCGCGCGCGGGGGAGAGAGGGTCGGCGCGGCCTCCTCAGGCGCGTTCTATCTCACACTGGTCCCCATACGACCGCGTCGGCGTGGTGAACGCCGATCCTTGAGGACTTGTCTTTTCTTCCCGGCGGTCGTTTCTCTCCGCCCGCCCCTCGCTTTCGATCCCGACACACCGCGACGCCTTTCAACTCCGCTTCTGACGCCTTTCAACTCCGCTTCTGACGCCTTTCGACTCCGCCCCGACGTTCGCTCGCGTAGAACGACCCTCGAGTCCCGTCTCGACGGGGCCGCGCGGGAGCTCCCCGGGGGGCGCCGGCGCGCTCGGCGGGCCGTTCGCGCACGGCGCGTGCTCCCCCGGCGCCGCGCTCGCGCTCGAGCGCATGCTGAACCTCCACCTTCCCTCCGGAGATGGCGGCGGCGGCGGCGGCGGCGGCGATTCGCTCGGCGGCGGGGCTTCCCCCTCCGACGGCGGCGGCGGCGGAGGAGGAGGAGGAGGAGGCCTCGCGGACTCGGACGCGCTTTTTCCGTTCGCGTTAGACTGCGACGAGTTGATGACGCAGCCGTCGCAGTCCTCGACGACGACAGAAACGCACGGAGGCGGAGCGTTATCGTCCTCGTGCGTCCGCGGCGTCCGCGGCGAGTACGGCTCGGAAGTCGCGGCGGGTGAGATCGTGCGCATGTCGCGGGACTTCGCGCCCCTCGCGCGCGCGACGCGCGACGACGACGGCGACGACGACGCGGGGGAATCGTGCGCGAACACGGTGGAGTGGGCGATGGGGAGGATCGAACGTTTTAGGAGCGCGGTGAGACAGTAGTACCGTAGGCGCGCTCGGGCACTCGAAAAAAATTAGACGTGCCTTCGTTCCCAGTGCCTTCCACGTGTCCTTTTTGTCGCACGAAAATCGCAACAAAATTAACTATCTTATAGCTCCTAGAGGACTGCGGAAGCGGCGCGGCGGTCACAGCCCCGCGCGCGCTTCGCGGCGGCATCGATCGGCAGGGTCGGTCCTAAACCCCCCTCCCTAAGGCGCGGAGGGCCCGCGCGCGCGCGCCGGCGCGAGAACCCGCGCCGTTCGCGACCGTCGCGAGAGAGGGATTCGCGAGAAAAAGAGCTCGGCCGTCGAAAAAGCCTTCCTTAATCGCGTCGACGTCGAATCCGCCCGTCCGCGGGACGCGAACGCTCCTCGCTCGCCCGCCATGGACGTCCAAGATGGCACGTCGCTCATGTCCGCCGCGTCGTACGAGGAAGCGAAGTGGCGCCGCGTCATCGTCCAGTCTTCCTGCGGGATCGCGGTCTTCGTCGCCGTCCTCATCGTCACGCGCGTGTGGACGTCCGTCTCGAGCACGAGATTCTTGCGCCGGAGGCAGATGAACAAGGTCGACACGTGGTTTTGCGTCCTAGACATCTTGACGTCCTCGGCGTCGCAGTGCTGCTTCATCGCGCAGGTGTACATCCGCGAGTACAACGTCGTGCTCGTCGTCATCGAGCTCGCGTTCGCGATATTCTACGGCGCGTCCATGTACCGACGATTGTGGTTGAAGAATTTTAACTTCAGCGTCGCCTTCACCGCGGTCACGTTCCTCGACTGCTACTCCATCGGCATCGCGCTGTACCAGGAGTTCAGCGATCAGCCGACGTGGCTCACGCCGCTGTTCGTGCGATCCATGGCGGCGCTGATCCGGTACAAAGAGCTCATGAACCTCGGTCTGCTGAACGACTACTTCGGGGAGGTGAAGCAGAGGCTCATCTTGTCCATGTTTCGGTTCCTCTGCGTCACCTTCTTCTTCGCGTCCGGCGGGTTCGTGCTCGAGATTTTGGGCGACCTCAAGATCGACTGGGATCGCAGCGGCGGGAGCACGTTCGTGGAGATTAACCCGGACTACGAGACGACGTTGATGAAGCAGATTTACTTCGTCGTCGTCACGCTCTCCACGGTGGGTTACGGCGACATCACGCCGTCGACGTCGATGCATCAGGCGTTCGCGATCGTCATGATCGTCACCGGCGTCGCGTTCTTCTCCAGCGAAGTGCGCGCGATCATCGACATGCAGCACCAGATCGACAGCGGCAAGGGGCAGTACCGCCGGTCGCGGTTTCGGAATTATCACATTTTGGTGCTGGGAGGCGCCGTGGCGAGCGGGTCGTCCACGCTGGAGATCTTCCTCGAGGAGCTCTTGCACCCGTCGCGGCCGACGTCGTCGCTGCCGGACGTGGTGCTGATGACGGAGCACGAGCCGAGTCAGGGGTTACGGAGGGTGATAACGTCCCCGTTGGGCGCGTTACACGTCAAGTACATTCGCGGGAGTCCGATGGATCAGAGCGCGTTGCTCAGGGCGGACGCGGCGAACGCGGACATGGCGTTCGTCTTGAGCGACCTGAGCGTCCTCGAGTGCGACTCGCACGCGGAGGACGAGGACACCATCCTGCGCGCGTCGTTGCTGCAGCGGCAGCTCCCGGACATGCCCGTCAGACTGCTGCTCATACGCCCGTGGGCGAAGGAGATGGCCAAGATGGCGGGCATCAACCCCATGTGCTGCGTCACCGCCGGCGCGCTTAATTTCGCGCGGATGGCGCTCTCCGTGCGCTGCCCCGGCGTGCCGGTGTTGCTCACGACGATGTACAGCAAGCTCGCGGGGGATTGGTCGCAGCTCCCGAGCAGCATGAAGCCGTGGGTCCGCGAGTACTTTACGTCCATGCGTCACGACGTCTACGGCGCGCAAATCGGGGAAAAGTTCCACGGAATGCCGTTCCTGAAAGCCGCGGCGATCATATACGAAGAGCACGACGTGAATTTGCTCGCGGTGCAGACGCCCGCGAAGGACGGAGGACGGCTGTGCCCCGCCGGGCTCGTGAGCGGACACTTACACATTCTGTGCGAGGGCGACGTCGTGATGTGTTTGGGACAAAACGTGAAGAAGGTGTTGCGCGCCGTCGGGCGGGAGGGCGCGCACCCGGAGGAGTGGCGGCGCGAGTTTCATCGCGTCCGAAGGCACGCGGCGATGATCGGCATGGGCCTGACGGAGGTCAGCGCGTTCGGTTTAGACAGCAAGGCGACGCTCGCGGAACAGCAGCAGAACACGTTTCGAAAAAACTCGGAAGAGGCGAAGCAATCGCGCGCGTGGCTGAGCCGACGCGCCGCGCAGGGCGCCGACACGCCGCCGCAGCAGCCGTCCACGCGCGGCAGCGCGCGAAACTCCGCGGACGGATTGCCGTCCCTCGACGAAGAGCGCGAGCACATCGCGCCGACGAAATCGGGCGTCAAGCACGAGGACACGCGTCGCAGGAACCTCACGGTGCTAAACAGTCGGCTGAACATCTCAGACGCGTTACACGAGGCGGTGAAGACGGTGGAGAAGAAGCGCGAGACTGGTCAAGAAGAGAGCGACTTCACGCCGTGGCACACGGTGGTCAGGATCGCGAAGAACGCGAACGAGCACATCGTCATCGTCGCGGACGGCGAGTTTGACCAAGAGCGATGGGAAGAGCTCGAAGTTTTGTTATACCGGTTGCGAGGGAACGACGGGTGTAACATCAAGCCCATCATCATCCTCTCGACGGACGCGCCCGCGGTGCAACACCTCATCTTGTGGAGGACGATCGACGTGTACGTCACCGAAGGCAGCGTCAGCGACGAGAACATCGTGCGGCATTTGAACTTGAAGGGCGCGCACACGATCATCGTCCTCGCGGAGGGATGCACGAGCCACAACCCGTTGCTCATGGACCGAGCGGTGTTGATGACCACGAGCGTGTTGGAGCGAAACGTTCAACGGAAGATGGAAGGCATGAACATGAACCACGAGGCGATGCTTCGAAAGGTGGTTCTCGAATTTCATCACCCGAAGAGCGTGTGGCACGTGCACGAGACGCGAGGGTTCTCCTCGCTCGCGAGCTCGACGAAAAGCGAGGGCGGCGACGACGGCGGCGACGACAAGAAAAAGCACACCGGCAGGGAGCTTCGCATGTGTCCGAACCCCACGGACGCGTCGCGCCGCGGCGTCAGGCGATCTGAGGACGAGGGAATCATCGACGCGAGCGGCGGGCGCGCGTCGCCGTCGTCGCGCGCGCGACTGCCGCAGGAGTGGCTGAGCGCGGTTCCGCCGACGTCGCCGAAGACTTCCTCTTCTCGGCTGAAATCCAGCTCGTCGCGTCAAAACCTGAACGCGGACCGCGGCTCGGAGAACCAGCTCCCGAAAGGGTGGGAGTCCATGCAGGACGGCGCGAGCGGCGAGAGCACGCGCGGCGGCATCGGAAGCACGATTTCCTCGCTCAAGCCCGTGCGGTACGCGGTCGAAGAGTCGCAAAAGGACACGCGGAAGGCCAAGTGTCTGCGTCCGCTGTTAAAATTCTTCGGGTTCCTCGACCGCGACGGCAAGCCTGTCACCGGCTCGACTTCCAAGAGCGCTTCCAAGAGCACGAAACTCTCCTGGTTCGAGCACCCGGAGGCGCACACGCAATACGCGAGCGGGAAGGTGATGTTCAAGACGGAAGTCTCGAGGGTCATGGCGACGGTGTTTTACACCCCCGGCCTCATGGAACTCGTGGACTCGCTCACGAGAGACGCGAAGGACGACAAGGACGTCGGACACCACCCGCGAATCTGGAACATACCCCTGCCCGCGGAGCTTCACGGGAAGACGATGGGGGAGGCGTTTCAACACTTCGCGGGGAAGGAGGCGCTCGTCATCGGCGTCTTCAGAGGCGTCAGGCGGCGGCGCAAGGACCGAGGAGGGAGAAGAAGCGCGCGCGGGAGCCACCACGACTTCCTCCAGCACTCTGAATTCGACACCCTCGATCGCTCGGACGACGGCTCGAGCTCGGACAGCGACGGCGACGGCGACGACGATTTGTCTCCGCCGGACCACAGCTACGTCCTGACCGCGCCGCCGCACAACGTCAGGCTCACGAAACACGACGGCGTGTACGTCATCGCGACCACGGACTGGGCGTGGAGCAACGCCCCGGAGCTCGTGAAGCTTCGCAAGGTCGCCGCGGTCATCACGCTGCAGCGGCAGGTGCGCGCGCAGATCGAGAAGCGCAAGGCGACGCGTCGCGACGAAATTTTGGAGGCGCAGGGATTCGATCGCGCCGGGAACAACACCGCGAATCCGACGGCGGCGGCGATGCCGACGACCGCGTCGATGCTGCTGTCGAGGAGGGAGAACAGCTGGACGCGCGCGGCCGCGCTCGCGACCCGCGGGCGGAGGAGCTCGCTGAGCGAGGAGACGGACTCGTGGCGGGGGAGTTTCGAGGCGGCGGCGGCGGTGGCGGCGGCGACGGCGCGCGCGCAGACGCCGCCGCCAGGAAAGTAGCGGGCGCGACGCGACGCCACCGCGCGCGCGCCGGCGTCGTTACAGTACGTGTAGTCTATTTATTTATCGCGAGGTTAAGGTTAAGATATCCTGTCTATCGTTCACGGAGACCATCGCATCGTCCATCCGTCGCGCAGGCTCCGACCTTCGGGTGCGCCCCGTCTTCGGCGCGCCGAGTCAGGTCTTTCGACCCGTCGGTCGATTCTCCGACTGATCGGTGTTGACCGAAGGGCACGCGCGTTTTTCAAAGGGAAGACCCGGTCGACGCTTCGGTCGTCGGCGCGGTGCCGACGGCGACGAGTGACGTGGGCGACGATCTGACGTCCGCGCGGCGACGTCCCGTCCGCACTCGCGCGCGCACGCACGGACATGTCCTTACGCGCCGTCGTCTCTCCCGCGCGTTCGTTCTCTTTCCGCGCGCTCTCCTCCACTTCCGCGTCCGTCCGCGCGCACCGCCCGCCGACGCTCTCCGCCGCGCTCCGCCGCGTCTCCGCGCCGATCGCGCCGCGTCCTCGGAGGACGATGACGACGACCACGACCACGACCGCCGCGGTCGCCGGGGCCGCCGACCTCTCGTCCAACCCGCTCGCGTCGTGGCAGCTCGGCAAGAGCGCGGAACAGAGCTCCGCCCCGGACCTCCCGAGGTGGAACAGCATCACCCCGGAGCACGTCCGCCCCGCGATCGACGCCGCGGTCGCGGAGGTCACGCGCGAGATCGACGCCATCGAGGCTGCGCTCCTCGAGAATCCGAACCCGCCCTCGGACTGGAAATCGCTCATGGACCCGCTCGAACGCCTCAGCGAGAAGCTCTCCAGGCCGTGGGGGGTCGTGTCGCACCTCAAGGGCGTGAAGGACTCGGAAGCGCTGCGAGAGGCGTACGACGCGTGCCAGCCGTCCGTCGTCGGCGCGAGCCTCCGCGTGGGGCAATCCCGACCGGTGTACGACGCGCTCGTCGCGCTCCAGGGCGACGCCGACGCGTGGAGCGCGCTCACGCCCGCGCAGCGTCGCGCGGTGGAGTGCGAAGTGCGCGACGCGAAGCTCGCGGGCGTCGCGCTCGACGGCGCGGAGAAGGAGCGGTACAACGAGATCGCGAAGGAGCTCAGCGCGCTCTCCACGGAGTTCAGCAACAACGTGCTGGACGCGACCAAGGCGTTCTCGGAGCTGATCGTCGACAAAGCCGGCGTCGAGGGGCTCCCCGCCAGCGCGCTCGAGATGGCCGCGCAGACGGCGAAGACGAAGGGCGGGCGCGAGGACGCGAGCGCGGCGGACGGGCCGTGGATGTTCACCCTGGACGCACCGTCCTACATGGCGGTGCGATCGCACGCGAAAAATCGCGACTTGCGCGAGAAGGTGTACCGCGCCTACCTCGCGAGGGCGTCCGAGTTCATGGTCAAGTCCGATTCCGACGACACGAAGGAAGCGAAGGAAGGGAAGAAGAAGGGCGACGGCGATAACGCGCCGCTGATCGAGAAGATCTTGAGCCTGAGGAAAGAGAAGGCGAAGCTTCTCGGGTACGACACGTTCGCGGACGTTTCCATGGCGAAGAAGATGGCGACGCTCGACCGCGCGGAGGCGCTTCTGGAGGACATCCGAGCCAAGGCCCGCCCCGCGGCGGAGCGCGAGCTCGAGGAGATCCGAGCGTTCGCGAAAGAGCAGGGCGCGCCCGAGGCAGACACCGGTCTGATGCAGTGGGACGTCGGATACTGGTCCGAGCGCCTGAGAGAGGCGAAGTACGAGCTGAAGGAAGAAGACCTCAGGCCGTACTTCCAGCTCCCCGCGGTGATCGACGGCATGTTCGACCTCGCCTCGAAGCTCTTCGGCGTCGTGGTGGAGCCCGCGGACGGCGAAGTCGAGGTCTGGCACCCGGACGTCCGCTTCTTCAGACTATCCGACGGCGCCACGGGGAAACCCCGCGCGTACTTTTACCTCGACCCGTACACCCGCCCCGCGGAGAAACGCGGCGGGGCGTGGATGGACGACGTCGTCGGCCGCTCCGCCGCGATGGCGTCCCCCGGATCGGACGTCCGACTGCCCACCGCGCACATGGTCTGCAACGGCACCCCCCCCGTCGGCGATAAGGTGCGTTCTATACACTGGTCCCCATACGACCCCGTCGGCGAGGTGAACGCCGATCCTTAAGGACTTTGCCCGGCGCGTCTCTCCGCTCATCCCACGATTTCAATCCCCGCCCTCGGCGCCTTTCAACTCCAACTGACGCCTTTCAACTCCACCCCGACATTCGCTCGTATGGAACGACCCTAAGCCGAGCCTCATGACGCACGGAGAGGTCACGACGCTGTTCCACGAGTTTGGCCACGCGTTGCAGCACATGCTCACCACGGAGAGCTGCGGCCCGGTCGCGGGGATCAACCAGGTGGACTGGGACGCCGTCGAGCTCCCGTCGCAGTTCATGGAGAACTGGTGCTACGACAAGAAGGTGCTGCGAAGCATCGGAAGGCATCACGAGACGAACGAGCCGCTTCCGGACGACCTCTACGAGAAGCTCGTCGCGTCGAAGAACTTCGGCAGCGGCACGCGTTATCTCCGTCAGGCGCACTTCGCGATGACGGACCTGGAGCTCCACGCGCGGTATCTCCCGGGCTCTCCCGGCGGCGTCTTCGCCGCGGAGGCGAAGATCGCGGAGAAGACGACCATCATGCCCGCCATCGCGGAGGATCGGTTCCTGTGCGGATTCAGTCACATCTTCGCGGGGGGGTACTCCGCGGGGTACTACTCGTACCTGTGGGCCGAAGTGCTCAGCGCGGACGCGTTCGGTGCGTTCGAGGACGCGGGTCTCGACGACGAGACCGCCGTCGTCGAGACGGGCGGGAAGTTCGCGAGCACGGTGCTCGCGCTCGGCGGCGGCGTCGCGCCTCTGGAGGTTTTCAAGGCGTTCAGAGGGCGGGAGCCGTCCGTGGACGCGCTGTTGCGGCACAACGGGCTAGTCTCCGCCGCCGCGTGATCTTGATCTGATCTGACGCGACGGAGGAGAGCGAGAGGGAGGGAGGACGAGATGAAGAGAGAGAGATAGAGAGAGAGCGCGAGCGGTTTATACGACGCGAGAGCACTGGTTTCGGAAAACTCGCTTCAGGTGCGTTCTATACAAAAAAAGTTCACCGGTCAGTTGAAAGGGGACGCGATCAAGTGTTGAAAGCGAGCGATGGGTGAAAAACTTTTGTATAGAACGCACCTCACTGACAGAAAGGCTATGAATAACAGGACCAGACCCACGCGAATGACCGTTGGGGCGCGACTCCCCCCTGCGGCATTCCGTCGCGTCGCGAGGTCCCGGCAGTCCACCGCCGGGTCTTCGTCCGGCCGACCGAACCGTCGTTTGGACGCCCCGCGGGCGAGGTCGATCGCTAGACCTTCCCCGGCGTCGGCCTCCGTCGCGATGACGGAGGCCGCGGCGGCGGCGCCGCGCGCGTCGTTGGACGCGACGAACGCCGCGGGCGGGAGCGATGTCGTCCCGTTCGCGTTCGAGAGGCGCCGAGCGAGGCTGGACTGGCGGCTCCTGCACGCCGTGGACGTCGATCGCATGATGCGCGAGGGCGACATCGACGTCTTGGAGAGCACTCTGGTGCGTCTCGCGCTCGCGTCTGGGCGTCGCGCGCGGCGTCGATCCCCGTCGACGCAACGACTCCTTTTGTCGAATTCGTTCGTTCCTGTCGTTCGTTCAACCTCTCGGATTCATTCGCCCTCTCCTTCTCTCCGTCCGCCGTCCATCCATCGTGCGTCCGCCGACCGTCCGTCCATCCTCTCCCCCAAAAACCTCTCCACCGCAGGAGACCGTCGCGTTCGGCGACGTCACCGTGGAGGACAACCGCAACCTGACGTCGCACAACGCGCGGAAGATCTTACGACTGGCGCAGTGCCAAGTCGAGTACCTCCTCCACGTGCAAGAGACCCTCGTGACGCACAAAGAGAGGCTCCGCGCGGTCGCGGAAGACGCGCAGAGGGAGGCGCTCGAGGTGCGCGAGAAGCGGAGGGAGGATAAGGCGAAGGCGAAGGCGATTCGGTTGGAGCTGAGGCAAGCGCGGAAGGCGCTGAGGACGTACGAGCTCCTCGAGAAGATTCGCGCGGGTACCCCCGTGGACGAGATCTTAGCGGGGGAGATCTTGGAGACGGCGGCGAACGCGAACGACGACGACGACGAGAACGCGGACCCCACGCGCGGCGACCGTCTGCGCGTCGGTAAGGAGCTCTTCGCCGCGGCCGTCGCGAGCGGGCAGGTTTCCAAGGGCAACAAGGCGACCGGCGAATCGACGACGACGACGACGACGACGGCGATGATGAGCCCGGACGTCGCCGCCGCGAAAGCCGCCGCGCGAGCGATGGACCAGATGAAAGCCGAGAGGACCGCGGCGAAGCGCGCGGCGGAGCAGCAGAAGGAGCACGACGCCGCGATGCAGCGCTTGCGCGACGAGAAGGACGCCGCCGTGAAGGCGCTGAAGGATTCGGAGGCGGCGCACGCCGAGAAGTTGGCGGCGCGGGAAAAAACCTTCAAGGGAAAGATCGCGGAGCTCGAGGCGAAGCTCCGCGACGCACAACGCGCGGCCGAGGACGCGACGCGGAAGTCCCACGACGCGTCGCTGAGCGTGTCGAAAGACATCGAGCGGATCGAGAACGAGAAGAAGCGGCAAGAGGAGCTCGCGAGGGACTTGGAACGCGTCGCGACGGAACGCGCCGACGCCGCGAGAGAAGCCGCGGAGGCGCGCGCGGATGCCGAGAAGAAGCTCGCGATCATGACCGCGCACGCGGAGGCTGCGGAGAAGCGCTTGCAAGATCTCGAGTCCGCGGACGTGACGGTCATGGCGGAGCTCAAGGAGCGATTGGAAGCGCGAGACGAGGAGGTTGCGTCGCTTCGAAAATCGACGCAACAGCTCGAAGCGCAGGTCGTCGGCCTCTCCTCCAGCGCCGCGATCGCCGCGGACCCCGCGGGCGCGGAAGCGGAGCTCGATCGCTTGCGCGCGCTCAACGCGCAGCTCTCCGGGAGCGTCGCGGACGAGCGCGCGAAGGCGATGGCGGCGAAAGAGGCTGAGCTCGCGGCGCGAGAGGCGGCGGCGCGAGAGGCGGAACTCAACAAGGAGCGCGTCAGAGCCGCCGCCGCGGAGCTCGAGGCGAAGCAGGCGAAGCAGCAACTCGTGGAGCAGTACGCCAAGGCGCTGAGGAAGACGTCGCCGGAGCGTAAGGCGACGAGCGAAGTCGTCGGCGCGGAGATAAGAGCGAAGGCGCGGGAACAACAATCGCGACGCGACGGCGACGGCGGGAGTCCGAGGATCAGCGAGAAGGATCTGGATCACGACGACCTCGAGGAAGGGCCGAGCGTCGAGGAAGGGGGTGAAGGCGCGGGCGCGGGCGCGAGCGCGGCGGCGGCGGCGGCGGTGACCGCGGCGGCGATCGCGGCCGTCGTGGCGAAGAACGAAACGGGAGGAGGAGGAGGAGGAGGAGGAGGAACAACAACATCGCCCGGCGGCTCGGGCGGTGGTCGGGAGCAGGATTTTAAGGAGGCTCCGTCGACGGTCGTGACGGCATCGACGGAGCCCGAATCCAGGGCACGAGAAGGGAGGGACGTCAGCGCGACGTCGCCGGCCGTGCCCGCCGTCCGACCATCGCAGTCGCAGCAGAAAGGAGACGCGAACAACACGCGCACGCCCACGAAGGGCGCGAGCAAGTTCGCGTCGGCCTCGCCGAAAACGACCACACAACCACCACCTCAACAACAACAACAACAACAACAACAACAACAACAGGGCACGACGGCGTCGACCGGAAGCGACGGCGGCGGCGCGTACGACAGCGACAACTCTGTCGTCGTCCACGACACGCCGAAAGCGCCGCCGCTGCCGGTCATTCCGTCGTTGAAAAAAATCGACCACGTCCGCGACGAGCCGCCGCCGATGTCCCCGCGGTCGATATCCAACGTCATCGCGACGCAGGCGAAGGCGATCGACGAGATCGTGGCCACCGAAGGCGACGTCGCGGAGCTGAAGAAGCGCGCGGAGGACGCGGAGAGAGCGGCGAACGCGCCGGGCCTCGCCGGCGCCGACAAGGCGGCGGCGGAGCTTCGCGCAGAAGAAGCCCGCGACGCGCTCGAGGCGCTCGAGCTCGACCGCGCCGCGAAAGCGCGCGAGGCGGCGCTCGCGGTCTCGCGCGCGGCGGCGTCCGCGCCGGAGATCCCGGAGAAGGAGAAGAAGGCGTGGCTGCGGAAGCATCCGTACCAACCCATCGCGCGCGCGCCCTTCGCGCTGAGCAAATACGAGGTGAGACTGCTTCCCATACGACCCCGTTCGCGTGGTGAACGCCGATCCTTAAGGACTTTTCCCGTCGTCACTCTTCACCCGCGCTTCCCTTTCAACGTTTGACCGGTAAGACGTTCGACTGACCGATCGCTTCACCCACAGCACCACGACGAAGAGCTCTTCGACGCCGCGGAGGAGGCTGTCGTGTCGTACCTCGACGAGCAGGTCATGGAGCAGCTGTGCGCGTTCGGCGTCGACGACGACGCGAGCGGGCTGACGGACGTGAAGTACGTGCAGATGATGGCGAAAGTGCGGAAGCACAGGGACGAAGAGCTCGCGGCGTTGGACGAGAGGGAGAGGGCGAAGTACGAGCTCGAGCGCGCGGCGATTTTGGCGCACATCGCCGCGTCGGCGCGCGTGGCGCTCGCCGCGGGGATCGAACCGCAGACGTTGATATCATCCCCGAGCCTGAAACGCGGCGCGTCGTTGTCGACGTCAGACGCGGGCGGCGGCGGGAGCGGGAGCGGGAGCGGGAGCGGGAGCGGCGCCGACGTCGTCGGGACGGAGGAGAAGCGGACGGCGGCGGGGGGGTTGGAGACCTCCGACGTCGTGATGCGAGAGCTCGCCGTCGCCGACGCGGGGGGCGCGTTCGCCGCGAACGCGGTCGCGCATCGCGAGACGCGATGACGTAGCGATGTAATAACGCGCGCGTCCGCTCTTTCACCGTCTTCATATTCTTTTTGTTGATGACTTCCCTTCGTATTAATTTAATGAATGATGCGGGGAGCGCCGCGAGCAGGGGCATTTTTCCCTAGTTCCGCGCGCGCCTCCCTTCAACAACACAGCAATAAACAACACAGCAATGAACGACGTCCCTTTGAACAACACAGCAGTGAACAAACCGTCTGGTCGATGACTAATGATCGGTTGGCTTCCTTCTCGAAGGCCGAGGACCGACGCCCGGTCCTAGCTCGACGCGTCTCCCCTCGCGCGCGCATCATCCTCCGCCGCGCTCTCGCCGGCGAACAAAGACTTCTTCGCCGGCGTCTCGTCGCGCTGGAGCGGCAGCGTCGCGAGAGGATTCGCCGCGCTCGCCGCGATCGGGGAGTTGGTCGCTCCGTTTTTTAAGATGCCCGACCCCCCCCTCAGGCTCCCCTCGCGGCTCCTCGGCCGGCTCCCGCTCGCGCCGTCGCGGTACGACACGTCCCGCGAGCTCCTCGGCGTGTTGCTCCCGCTCCCGTCGCGCTTCGACGCCTCCCACACCTCGTTCGCGGCCGGGGACGGGAGCGACCCGGACTTGCGCCGCGGCGTCCGTCTCCGGCCGAGCCCCTTGGCGCCGACGTTTGCATCTTTTCGTCGTCTCTCGCCCGTCTTCGTGAACGGGATCGCGCCGAGCTGCACCTCGTCGTTCTGCGCCCTCTCCTCCGGCGTCAAGTCTGGTGGCGCGAGGGAGGGACGCGGGGGGCGGGCGAGAGGGGTGGGGTGCGTGAGCGAGAGCCTCGGGGGAAGAGACGACGCGACGATTCGCGGCGGGGGGGTGCTGGGATCAAAAGTCGCGTTCGCGGCGGGGAACGAATTATCAACGACGGGAACGACGCGCACCGACGTAGTACTGCGTGTTGTCCGTCTCCGTGCACGCGACGCACGCGACGATGGGTGCGACTGCGGCGAGGAACGGGAGGAAAGGTATCGAGAGGATGATCGTCGCGGCTTTTTCGCCCTTGGACATCTTCTTGAACGCGGACTTCATGCGCTTCCCCACCGACTCCGGCTTCGCGCACTCGTCGGTGTCCGCAACTTTCGCATTATCGCTCTCGCGCTTCGACGTCGACGCGGCGGCGGACGACACGTCGCGACCCGCCTTCCCCGCGGGCTCGTCGGGTATTATGTTCGGGACAACCTGCGAGGCGTCGAGCGGCGGGTCACCCTCGGCGCGCGGCATCCTCCTCGGATCCGCGCGCGCGGCAATGCGTCGACGCGCTTCGCATGCGGTTCGGTGAATTAGGTCGGGCTTGTGCGGGGATTCGGTCCCTTCGAGCCGCGAACGGTCTTAGTCCACTGCTTTCTCGCGGGAAACATACGAGGTAATTGGATTTCGAGATGTTCCCGCCTAATGTATGCTCATACGGTCCAACGCGTACGTAGTACGTTGTACTTTAAAGTACTTTCGTACTTTCGTACTTTCGTACGAAAGTACTTTCGTACGTTGTAGTTGTACACGGACGACGATCTTTTTGTTATCAGATCTACACACGACGATCGACGCGATCGATCTCACGCGATCGATCCCACCCGATCGATCCCACTCGCCTCCCGCTCGCGGACAGGACCGGAAACCAAAAACTCGCGAGCTTTTGTCCCATCTCGCGCCCGCACCGAGCGCGCGCGCGGGCGTCGTCGCGCGCCTCTCTCGCGTCGACGCGCGCGATCCGCGCCGCGTGCGGGCGACTCGCGGCATCGCGCTCGGGCGTCGCCGGCGCCGGCGAGAACCGAGCGTCTCGGGGGACCGCGGTCGTTCGATCCCGCGCGAGGCGACGACGACGGCGCGGCAATCCGCGTCCGCCGCGCGGAGGAGAGAGAGGAGGGTTTCTTCGCGCGCGCGCGCGCTCGAGACGCGATGGGGCGGTCGCAGTACGCGGAGATCCTCGATGAAGCCGAGGCCATGGAGAGGTGCGCGCGCTCGCATCGCTCGCGCGCGTCGCCGCGACGACGACGCCGCGGACGCGCGCGACGCGAGTCGCCCCAGCGCGCGCCGCGGCGTCGCCACCTAAACCCTCCCTCCCTCGTGCCGTCCGCGTCCAGTCGTCCGTCGCTCCGATCCGTGGAAGTCGTCGTCCTCAACCCTCCCGACCCGTCCCCTCCCCTCCCTCGATCGCCATCGCGTCGCGTCGCCGCAGAAACCAAGCCGCCGGGGAGGTGTGGGACCTCGACGCGGAGGCCGCGCGGCTGTCGCTGACGCTGAGCGAGCTGCCGATGGACGAAAAGGTGCGTTCTGTACACTGGTCCCCATACGACCGCGTTCGCGTGGTGAACGCCGTTTCTTGAGGACTTTTGCCGTCGTCTCTCACCGCCCACGCCTCGCTTTCAATCCCCGCCCTCGACGCCTTTCAAAGCCAACTGACGCCTTTGAACTCCACCCCAAGGCGTGGGAGCGCGCGGTGAACATGGGCTACCGGAGAGCCGCGGTGCGCACGCACCCGGACAAGCACCCGCCGCACCTCCGCGACGCCGCCGAGGCGAACTTCAAGCGGCTGACCGCGTCGCATAAGATTTTGCTCAGGGTCGGGCGCGCGATCCGAGAGGAGGCGGAGAGCGGCGACTACGCGGGCGCGGGCGCGGAGAAGCGGTCCAAGTTGGACGCGGAGAAGGAGGAGGAGGCTCGGAGAGTCGCGCGGCTGGCGACGGTGTTTTCGCTCAACGGGCTCTCCGGCGGGTTCAGGCGCGTTCGTATTCACACTGGTCCCCATACGGCCGCGTTGGCGTGGTGCACGCCGTTCCTTGAGGACTATTCCCGGCGCACCTCTCCGCCCAGGGTCCCTCGCTTTCAATCCCGACACACCTCGACGCCTTTCAACTCATCCGCTTCTGACGCCTTTCAACTCCACCCTGACGTTCGCTCGTACGGACCCTCGACCCTCAGTCGCAGCGCGGGGCATCTCCCGAGCGAGGAGAACCGACGCCGGACGCGTCTGGACTTGGAACGACAGCTCTTGGGGCTGTTATCTCGATGCGGGGAGGAGTTCAAGCAGCGCGCGCGGCGGCGGCGACGGAACCGAATCATTCGCCGATGCCTCGCCGTCGCGCTCGGCGTGGGCTTTTTATTCTTCGTGCGAAAAAACGCCCCCCCGGAGAGCGCGGCGAACGAAGAGCTCCGCGCGATGGCGGAGAGCGTCCGCGCGGCGATCCGGTTCATGGGCCACGAGCTCGCGACCGCGGTCGGCCGCCCGCAAGACGGCGAGGAGATGGCGGACGACCTCGAGCTCGCGTTTCTGGAGGGACGCATGAGCGTCAACCCGGACGGCGGCTTGGAGGTTTTGATCCCCGACGACGAGACCCCGGGGGTGTACTACAAGCTCAACATGAGCGGGACGCCGGACGGGAGCATGCGCGTGTGGACGGAGGGCGAGGGCGGCGACCAGGTGGACGTCGTGCTCGGCGAGGACGATGACGGGGTGGAGAGAGAGCCCGCGATGGGGGTGTTTGGTGTTCCCGTCAGCGAGATGGTTGAGGGGAAAGGGTCGGTGCGTTTCGAGGACGACGACGGCGGCGGCGGCGGCGGCGGGGGCGGCGCGAAGAAGGGAGGGTTCTTCGCGGGGCGGTTCGGGGGGAAGTGACTGGTGACCGTTCGTCTTCCCGCGTGCGTTTCGTACGTTTCTCGGGTAGTCCTCTCGCGCCGTAGACGGCGTCGCGATAGCACTAGCGCACGATGACGGTGGCGCATCGTTCCTCGTGTCTGCTTCCGTGGACCTGACCCGAGCCAACTCCTGTCGCTAAAAGTTGTGGATAACTACCGTCGTCGCGACTCCCTCGCGCGCGGTCGATCCGTCCGTCGACGCCGCGACGCCCGTTCGCATCGCATCGCATCGCATCGCATCGCATCGCATCGCATCGAACGCCATGGCGATGAGCGCGACCCTCGGCGGCGCGTCCGTCGCGTCGTCGCGCGCGCTGTCTTCGCGCGGCGCGGACGACCGATCGGGCACGATCGCGACGGAGTGTCGATGGCGGACGACGACGACGACGACGACGGGTCGTCGTCGCGTCCTCGTCCTCGTCCGCGCGGCGTCCGCGAGCTCCTCCCTCCCGGACTCCCAGCGCGTCGTCATCACCGGCGCGGGCGTCGTCTCCACCGCGGGCCACGACCGCGTCTCGTTCTTCGAGTCGCTGTGTTCGGGAAAGAGCGGCGTTATCGATCTTCAAGAGGCGTTCCCGGGCGTCTTCGACGACCTCCCCACGCGCATCGGCGCGCCGGTCGTGGACCTGGACTACGGCACCGACCTCACCGCGAAAGAGGCGCGGAGAATGGACAAGGTGCACCAGTACGCGATATGCGCGGGGAAGCGCGCGCTGCGAGACGCGAACCTGTGGGGGGAAGATTTAGAAAAGATCGACAAGACCAGGTGCGGCGTCCTCGTCGGAAGCGCGATGGGCGGCATGCAGGTCTACGAGGACAACGTCGTCGCGCTGAAGAACAAGGGCGTGAAGAAGATGTCTCCGTTCACGGTGCCGTACATGCTGACGAACATGAGCGGGGCGATCTTGGGGATGCAGAAGGAGCTCGGGTTCCGCGGGCCGAATTATGCGGTGAACACCGCGTGCGCGACGTCAAAGTGCGTTCGCTCGCGTCCACGCCACGTGGCGTCATCCAATAGTTTTCTTTCTTTTTGCCGCGTGTATTCCACGTGGTGCTGTGCTGGAAAACAACCTTTCCTCTTCGGCCAATCGTTTTCTTTCTTTTTGCCACGTAGTCTCCACGCGGCGCGACGCCGACGCTGACCGACGACGCTCTCGGCGTCGCGTCTTAACCTTCTGTTATTATAACAGCTACGCGTTCATCAACGCCGCGATGCACATCAAAGCCGGGCAGGCGGATCTCATCCTCGCCGGCGGCACCGAGGCGGCGGTCACGCCCATGGGCCTCGCCGGGTTCATCGCCTGCCGCGCGCTGTCCTCGCGCAACGACGCCCCGACCGCGGCGTCGAGGCCGTGGGACAAGGGGAGGGACGGGTTCGTAATGGGCGAGGCGCGTCCTGTCATCACACTGGTTCCCATACGACCGCGTCGGCGTGGTGAACGCCGTTCCTTGAGGACTTTTCTTCCCGGCGGTCGTTTCTCTTCGCCCACACCTCGCTTTCAATTCCGATACACCTCGACGCCTTTCAACTCCCAAGTCTGACGCCTATGAACTCCACCCCGACGTCGCTTCGTATGGACCCTCGACCCTCAGGGCGCGGGGGTGCTCGTGATGGAGTCGTTGGCGCACGCAAAGGCGCGCAGCGCGCCGATTCTCGCGGAGTACCTCGGCGGCGGGATCTCGACGGACGCGTACGACCTCACGTCCCCGCGCGCGGACGGGCGCGACGTGATTCTGTGCATGCGGACCGCGCTGAGAGACGCGGGGATCGAGGCGAAGGACGTCGACTTGGTCAACGCGCACGGGACGTCCACCCCCGTCGGCGACTTATGCGAAGTCGCCGCGATCAACGAAGTCTTCGGCGCGGTCAAGACTAAGGACACGATGAAACTGAACAGCACGAAGAGCATGCTCGGGCACTCGCTCGGCGCCGCGGGCGCGTTGGAAGCCATCGCGTGCTTGCAGTCCATCGCGGAGGTGCGTTCTATACACTGGTCCCCATACGACCCCGTTCGCGTGGTGAACGCCGATCCTTAAGGACTTTTGCCGGCGTCTCTCTCCGCCCAGCCCCCGCTTTCAATCCCCGCCATCGACGCCTTTCAACTCCAACTGACGCCTTTGAACTCCACCCAGGGACGCGTGCACCCGACGATCAACCACGACGACCCGGAGGACGGCGTCGACTTCGACGTCGTCGCCAACGTCGCGCAGGCGTTCGACGTGAAGATCGCGCTGTCGAACTCGTTCGGTTTCGGTGGGCACAACTCCAGCTGCGTGTTCGGGAAGTTCGAGGCGTGATGATAGGCGCGTTGAGAGGGGGGTTGAGAGTTGAGGTTGAGGTTGAGTACAGGTACTCGTATTCATCATTTCGAGTCTGGTAATAACAGAAAGTAACAACAAACGAGAAACCCTCGCGAGCTTCAGATGCTCCGCGCGCCCGAGCCTCCCCTCTCCGGAAGCAAGCGCGCGGCGCGCGGCGGGTCTTCCTCCGCGCCGCGCGATCCCGACGCCGCGGCCGGCACGAGCGGCGGCGGCGGCGGCGACGGCGCGATGGCGCGCCCGTTCGCGCGGTACCTGCTTCGCATCCAGTACGACGGCGGCGCGTTCCACGGATTCCAGCGTCAAGCGAACGCGAGGACGGTGCAGGGATGCGTGGAGGAGGCGATGGCGAAGTTCACCGGCGTCGAGGGCGGCGTCCACGCCATCACCGGGAGCTCGCGAACGGACGCGGGAGTGCACGCGCTGGACGCGACCGCGCACGTCGACATCGTCCGCACGACGAACGCGTGCAGGAAGAGGCTGAAGAAGAACGCGAACGCGAACGCGAACGCGAACGGAGGGGCGGCGAAGGACGACGGCGACGCGGGGGACGCGCCGCCGCCGCCGCCGCACAGCGCGCGAACGGTCATGAAAGCCGTGAATCACTACCTCCGCAAGACGGCGCCGATGGCGTCGATCGCGTCGTGCGCGCGCGTCTGCCCGGAGACGTTCCACGCGCGGTACTGCGCCACGGCGAGAACGTACCGATACCTAATCTACCTCGGCCGAGACGAGCCGTCCGTGTTCGATCGCGGGAAGGCGTGGCACGTGTACGACGGTCGTAACGCATCAGGTGCGGGGGTTAACACGCACGAACCGTCCGGCGGATGCGCGCTCGGCGGCCTGGACGTGGACGCGATGAACGCGGCGGCGCGCCGATTCGTCGGTGAGCACGACTTCTCCGCGTTTCGCGCCAACGGATGCCAGGCGAGCTCGCCGATTCGGAGGCTGCACGTCCTGCGCGTCGACCGCGCGATGCCGTGGCCGTCGTTCCCGAGTATCGCGTCGCAGGATTCTATGGTGATGCACTCTTTCGACGTCGCGAAGCCTATGGAAGAGGACGATCTGTCCGAAGTTTTGGTTCCGGAGGCGGAGACCGAAGGAAAAAAAGAGAAGACGCCGCCGCCGCCGCGAAAGCCGCCGTCCGGTCGCGTCACGAGCGGGCACATCGTCATAACCGCCCGCGCGCCTTCGTTTTTATACCACCAAGTTCGGCTCATGGTCGGCACCCTGCGCGCGGTCGGCGCGGGCGAGCTATCCCCGGACGACGTCACGGACTTGTTGGAGGGGACGACGGACGCGTCGAGAGCGCCGCCGATGGCGCCGGCGCACGGATTGTACCTCGAACGCGTGCACTACGACGGCAGAAGGCGGTGGAGATCGCGCCGCGCGGGGCAGGGCGCCGAGGGCGACGTCGTCCCCGGGGGCGAGGAGGGGGAGGAGGAGGAGGACGAATGGTTGGACGAGGAAGGATCCGAGCGCTGATGACTGGCGAACGAACGACATTCGAAGTCTCTTATTAGCTAGACTAATATATCTACGAGGTATCTCATCGTAGCCCTACTCGCTACAGTATCCACGCTCTCCGCTCCGCGGGCGAGAGCTCGGGGCACATCGCCGCCAGCGCCGGGTCCGAGCTCGCCATCACCCGCGCGTTCACCGCCACGGTGGCGTACCTCTCCGGCGTCGCCGGGCAGCACAGCGCCCCCGCGACGCACCCCGGGCAACCCCCCGCCCCGCACTCCGCCACGACGTCGCGCGTCACCCGGACGGCGACGTCCCTTCCGCCGCCGAAGAAGGCGTCCCCGAAAGAGTGCACGCCCACGAGTTCGCCGCGCGCATTTATCAGCGCGCCGCCGCTCTCGCCGTTCGCGACGACGGACGTGTGCAGCACGTGCGTCGTCGCGAGGGGGGCGAGGGAAACGTTTTCGTTTTCGTCGGCGGCGTCGGCGTCGCGGGAAGGCGGCGATTGAGGGCCGTTCTATACAAGCGAATGGCGGGGTGGAGTTCATAGGCGTCAGTTGAAGTTCAAAGGCGCCGAGGGCGGGGATTGAAAGCGAGGGGTGGGCGGAGAGAGACGACGGGCAAAGTCCTTAAGGATCGGCGTTCACCACGCGAACGCGGTCGTATGGGGACCAGTGTATAGAACGCGCCTGAGGCGCGTACGTCGCGAGCGTCGTCCCCCACCGCTCGTTCTTGTTCTTCTCTTCGCCGCCGTCGCCGCCTCCTCTGAACGACGAGAAGAGGGTCTTGAACGCGCCGCTCCAGCCCATGGGGTATCCGAGCGCGGCGACGACGTCGTCCGGCCGCGGCGGACGCGTCGCGATCGGCATCGGCGTGAACTCGTCCCCGAAGACGCCGCCGCTCGCTCGCGCCTCCGCGCCGGATCCTCCCTCGCGCGTCGCGTCGTCCACGAAGCGCAACACCGCGACGTCTAACGTCGGATGCACGCCCACGACCGTGGCGATGCGCGTCGTCTCCTTTCCTTTCCCTGTGCCCTCGGGCGTGCGAACGCGGAGCCGGTTCCGAGGCCCCGCCATCGACGCGACGTGCGCGGCGGTCACGACGCGCGTCGCGTCGTCGCCGCCGCCGCCGCCGAGCGCGCCCTCGATCGCGACGACGACGCCGCTGCCGTGCCGCGAAGACCCCAAGAACGGGACGTCGGATCGCACGCCCGGGGAGACGATCACGACGCTGCGCCACGCGCGCGTCAGGACGTCGCCGGCGTCGTCGTCCGCGAAAACGGCGATCGCGTCCGGACCCGCCACCTCGTCGTATGGGTAATTAGTCTTCAATCGATCGCGTCCGGGTGCCGAGCCGCGGTCGTCGTAACTAGCATCAACGACAGTCTGTCAGTATCAAGGAACTATCTATCAAACTTTCTGTCCAGTTGAAGAACCGTTACTTTATGTCGATCCACGACAGTCTGTCCGTTACGGAACTATCTACCTGTATCAATTTTTTTGTCCAAATGAAAGCTGTCGTCAAAAGACATGCGACACCGTCGTGAGCTGCAAAAATGTCTGGTGCACGGAATGTAGTTGATATCGTGAACTTTGTTAACAATATACCGCTGATAACCCGTATTGAACCACGTACTGGTGACACTCTTCTCAAAGTTCCTGCGAGCACTTTCGTCCTCAAAATGATAGAGAAATGCGTCATGGTCTTTGCTGCACGGAAATATCGGTGCGTACGATTTTTTCACAACAGAGTGCTCAGTGAAAGCATGTTCAACCTGCTCGCGGCCAGAGAGGGCGAACACTTTTCGGAATGTGCTGATCGGAAGCACTCATCACGAACTCGTCTGCGCATAACATAAGATGCAGATCTTCAAGTAAGTCTTCCCCTACACGTACCTTTATAGTTGGTTCGATCCTTTCAAGCTTTTAAAAAAAGGCACACGTGGGGTTATCGTCCGTCTCACAGAAGATTATGGTCTTTAGCATGTGCTTTCGACCTTGGATGTGTCGCCAGGCAGCAGCGTAGTACGAGGTCCTCAGCCTCCGCGCGACGGCGTCACCGAAGGAGACGTGCGAGCGCCGCGTCTGCCGCGGGTGGATCAACCGGACGTGCGGCGGCAAGGACGCGCGCGGCCGCGCGTGTCTTCACGGGTCGCACCCTGGCTTGGCCGCGGACAGGCGAGCGACCGCGGCCGCGAGAGAGGAGGCGCGTTAAATCCCGCAGTAGTTTCGATCCCCAACCTCCACGACGCCTTTCATCTCCAACCCTCCAACCGACGCGCCCCTCACAACGCCACCCCGTCGTCGGTTTGGTCCAGAGGGAAGAAGGGTGGTGACGAATCTTTTCGACTCTGAATTGGCTAAACACGTTGGTGAGGCCAATGCTCTCTCGGGTGTCCCGCCACCGACTCGCATTATCCCAGATGACACTGGACTCCCAGATAACCATAGTACAGGGGGTGCCCTCTCGCTTGATCAAAGGCGCTTGCAACTTGTCGGGGCTGCGTTGCCTGGCGGTAGCGCTACGGTTCCTCCCGCCGATCTCGTGACTTCTCCTACTGTTGATTTGACCGGGGCCTCGCCTTTGACACCTCCTAACGCTCAATCATTTACTCCCGAAGTGCAAATCAGCCCTGAAGATATGGTAGATAAAAGTTCGCGGACGTGTTTGACAAGGTTGGAAATCATTCTCCTCGTTTAATTGGAAAACTGCTGCCACTCTGCGGATACGACGTAGACAATACTGTCAAAGCTGTTTCGATTGCCTGCAAGCTAGATGATGCCTCGTCTGCGCTTTCGACCATAACAGATTTGCTGAACTGTGACAACTTTCGTGAAATGAACGGCGTTGATGTCCGGCAAGCGATCGATGCACTTGTTGACGGCAAAAAAACGATCAAAGTTTCCCGAAAAACTTCTGATAACGTCGCTGCCAAAGATCTGACCCATGTTTTAAAGTCTTGCGGTTCTGGTGCATTGGATGCAGTTACCCTTGCTGATCATGCTACTTCCTGTCTTTGCTTCATTGATAACATTGAGGAAGCCATACGAATGTTCGAGCCGACTGTCCTTACTAACTCCTGTGATTATTGGGGCGAAGGATAGGTCGAAGGCGCCGCGGTCTCCCACCAGCACCGCGGGCGCCGGCGACGATACGTGTAGCGAGCACGACTTCGATTTCGGATGGAGCGACGGCGACGAGGCGTCGTCGACGATCGCGGTGAGCCCGGTCGGGAGTCCCAATTTACATGAATGAAGTTTACGCGGCGTGTTATTTCAACACGGCGAAAGTCGGGCGTAATCCCGAGCTCTTCATGGCATACAGAGTAGTCTCTACGCCTACGGTCGCTGGGATAAACTTCGGCGATCGTGGAAATGGAAACGCTAGCACGCGGGCCGGCGGCGCGGCGGCTAAAGGGTGGATTACTAACTATAACATCACCTAAATTATTTTCAAAAAAGTCCACCTCATCGTGAATCACCTTAAAGCCCAAGGTGCGTAGCGTGTCGCCTGACTTTCCATCCCCGTAGAAGGCTTCCCAAATAACCTTGTTCTTTGGTATGTACTTTTGTATTGCCTCCCACGCTGAGGGAGGGGTCATATATTCGTCGGTGGGGTTCATACAATATATAAGAAACGCGGGGGAAAAAAGGCAAAAGGACTTCGCACAGTTCTCGTCTTAAAAATAAAAGTCGACGAAGCTCTGTATTCGTGCACCCTTGACTCGCCTCTTGCATTCGTAGAAGACTTCAAAAGGAGAGTGCACGGCAAATGGAGGCAAAAAAATATCACCCTGCGCAACGTGACTACCATATTCTCTTGGAAACACCGTATCGGGACCGTTCTGGCGCGGCGACCCAAACCTGCAGCTAGCAGCGATATCATGAATTATCACTTCATCAGAAGATTTGTGTGAACTTTCCGCGCGTTCTTGATGGAAGTTTCCTTCAGAACGAGAACTCCTCTTAGAAGGGGGCTTTCGTCCCACTAGAGACTTGCCACACAGGCTAACGAGCTGTTCAAATGACCTGGTCCCCTCAAGCTGGACAACCTCATCAATTACTTGAGGGTGACAAAATGGACTTTCAGAGTGGCCAAGCTCCGTCCATTCATCCTTGTAGACTCCTTTCGGCGGGAACCATAACTTAGAGTTGAACAACAACAGACGCTCAACTTTCTTTCCGACCACATCGGAGATCGAGCTGGGGTGGTCCTCGGGATTTTTTATTGATTGTGTTCTATTATCAACTGCGAACGCTGAACGTGGGTGTTCCGATGTATACGAGTGATACACGACGCAATCAAAGTCGAAGAGACTCTCACGTACAAAGTCACCATTGTTTCTTTCGTGCCAAACGTGTAGTCTCCAGTATTTACCAAGTTTGCGGCTCAAAATAGTTAAGATAGCTCTCAGGGCGAAATCATAATAGCCCTCCGCGAAGTAAATGAGAGCATTCGAATCAGCGTGCACGGAAGAGCACCGAGTGACTTTTCTTGGCACTTTCACTCGCGCGTCTACACCACGTTCAAGCCGACGAACCCTAGTGCGAAGTGTGAACCATACTTCCGTATTCTGCGGTGTCAAGCGTTGACCAAAGATCGTGAATAATTTCACAGACGCTTCGTCGAACTGCATCGATAATTTGTCGGCACGCTTCATCGTCATTGTCCTGAGAGAGTTGAGCTCATCTTGCCCTGCTGATATGATACGCCTTGTGCTTGCTGCAAGCTCCTCGGTCGACGTGACTTTAAGGTAGTCCAGGAAGCCGCGCAAGATTTCGCTCGGACCACCCCGGTCCACGACGACCGGGATGAGCCCTGCGCTCATGGACTCGAGCAGACCAATGCCGAAGTGCTCCGCATCCGCGGGGGAATATATGAACTCCTCAGAGCATAGACCCGTAATCGACCAGACGATATCCCCGTTTTCGATGGCGTCGCGCATCTCAGTTTCAGTAGCGTCGTCCTTCACGAAGACACCTTCCACGCTCCTCGCCCGTCGCTTCACCTGTAGCACGTAGGGTTGAAATCCTTTAAGTACATACCCTAAAATGTGCAGCTCAATCCTTAAGGAAGCTGCGATATTTTTCCTCAGAATCGAAAAAGCCTCGATCGCCGCGAGGTGACATTTTCCTTGGTGTCCTGTGAAGAACCTCCCGATGAGCACGATGCGAACCGCGCGCTTTCTCGCGTCCCCTCTCCCGCGCGTCGAAGAAGCTTTTTTAAATCGTTTTGTAAACGCAGGCGCGTAGTAAATCGTTCTCGGCGGGAGAAACATACCATCCGCGATCGCTGGTGTATACTGATCGATATACCGTTGACTGCTGACGCTGAGAGGGAGAACTCCCATCCGAAGCGATTCGAGCTGACGGTCGTACCACGTCTTGGTGTATTCGGAGTTTAGGTACACGACATCGTACGTACTTAATTGTCTCAATCCCGAAAAAGGATGCGCCATGTAACCCATATCGAATGGGAACTGACAATGGTAGATGCTCGTGCGACCCCGGGCGGATTTTTTCGGAATCAAAGTGTTGCCAATCGTAAACCAGATGTTGTACCAAGGACGAGCACGACTAAAAACTTTGACGGAGAGTCGAGCCCAGTCGATGCCATCGACGGCCAGCGCACGGGCAAGCTCTCTGACGCACTTCAGCCTCTTGCAGACGTTCCGAGGTTTCACTAAGAGGTCCACGTGTCCACCAGTGAGCTCCTGGAATTTTCTGGCGAAAGTGAGGACAACCTTCTCCCCGCCACCGGGAGTGAGCTTGAAAGGCGTGAACACCGCTGAGTGCTGAGCGTCGTGTTGACTGATGAGACCCACCGGGGCAGATGGCCGATTCGTTAATTTCTGCGAAAGTAAGTACAGAGCAACGAAAATGCAGAAGAGCATGGCGGCACTTCGTATCTGAAACAGAGCCCGCTGCCGCCGTCTCGTGTTCGCCAGCCTTCCCAAGAATCGACGAAACCTTGTTGACATAACGACAAGTTTCTTCCACTAGGATGCACACAACACAGTATCCGTGCTCTTTACTAGGAGAACGAATGGTAAGTCCTGATGAAATAAAAATCATGAAGTCGGAAGAACTGAAATATATTTGCGAACGAGCACGATAGAGGGAGACCGTGAACCCTGGCCTAAACTGGGTTCGGAACGAACTGGAAAAAACGTGCTCGGCCGAACGATCGCTTGATCAAAGTCAAGAAATGGTCGTGAGCAGACCGACGCGTACAGAGATTCACCAGAAAGTTGTCTGAACCTGCCTCGAACAACATAAAGCAGTGCGAGAATATAAATCAAGAGAGCGTCCGTGAACACGAGCCAAGCGGGACAAGAGAGTCCCCGATCGGTCAAACCGAAAAACGTGCTCGGTAAAAAAATGTAGTTTGATCACCGACGAAAGTTTACGAGCGTCATCTAAAGACGAGGCGCGCAAGGATTCACCATCGAAATGAAGTACTAAAAGAAATCGAAAAGAAGGGATGTTGGCGTACCTCGTGTAGCTGTGGCTGGAGTGTTTGTCGGCGACGAAGATCGTTCGGGATTTTATCAAGGGAACGAGAAGTACTACCACGTGTATTAGATGTATTAGATAACTACTTTCACGGTAAAATATAAAGATTTTTTGAGATTTTATCCCATTGATTTCAGTCAGAGCTTTTGAAACCCTGTAATTTTGTAATTTTGTAAGAGTAGTAGTAGTAGTAGTAGTAGTAGTAGTAGAGTATTACAGAATTACAAAATTACAAGGTCTCGGGAGCCCTCGTCAAAATAATAAAAAACTTATTTTACGTCGAGCTCTGCTCCTTCTCAGGAATAAGCCACTCTGTGTAGTTCACACGGAAGGGACTGAGGTGTTCCTTCTTTGGTGTCAAGTCTATAAATAAAAAGTTGTGCCTGTTGTCGGGTTCCTTGTTCATAACGTAGTCATACGCTTGTACTATTTGATGTTTTGGTATGACCCCACTTAGCTCGGTTGCGAGAAGGTCAATTTCTTTCCAGTTGCCGGACTTCCAACACGCGCAGCAGTTAATATTCCCGCGTATAGATTTGGGGATGCCCTCATTTCCTGAAGCTGTATAGTTTTGTACACATACGAATATAGAGCATCCAATGGGTGCTTCCCCAGACTGAAATGACCCTATGTGACGGCACTTGATACAAAGGTTTTTGAAAGCCTTCGACCCTATCAGCGATGAGCTTTGGATGTCATCTGCGAATATCCCAACGACTGGTTTGCGTCCGTTTAGTCGCCCGCGTCCGCCGCGCGCGAGATCTTCCCCGTCGCCGCCGCGCGCGCCGACGCCGCCGCGCGCGGTCGCGTCGTCGCGCGCCTCCTCCGCGCCGCCGCCGCGCGCGTCGGGGGCGCCGCGAAGACCGCGCGCGCGACGCGCGTCATGCCTCGGAGCCCCGCGCGCGCAATCGCGCGCGCTCGAGAATGCGCGAAGAAGAGCGCGCTTTTCGCGTTTCGCGGCTGAGAGCGCTCGACGACCGATGACGGATTCGAGATTCGGGCTGACGTGTCAGCCTTGCCGCGTATTTTGGTCCGTTTTATCCGCGCCGTTCCCTGCCGCCGCGCGCGCACAACGCGCGTCGCCGCACGCGATACCGATCCCCGAACGACACGATGTTCACCCTGTCGCCATCCTTCGCTCCCGCCGCGATCGTCGCGAAGCCGTCCGCGCGCGTCGCGCGCGCGCGCGCGACGCCCGCGCGCGCTTCCGCCGCCGCGTCGGACCGATCATCGCCCCAATCTAGGGTAACAACGACGCGACGCAATCATCAGTCGCCGTCGCCGCACAAGTCGTGCGTGGGCGATTGGTGCGAAGAGTCCTTCACCGTCGGATGCGTCGACGACTTCTGCGACGAGTCGTTCGTCGAGGACGAGGGCTGCGTCGGCGACTGGTGCGACGAGGCGTACAAAGAGAGCGCCATAGGCGTGAAGATGCCCGTAGCGCCGATCCCGGGGAAGTCGCCCTCGGTGCGCACCGGAAAGAAGTCGACGTCGGCGGCGATGCACGTCTGGGCCGCGGCGAAGAAGAGCGACGACGGATGCGTCGGCGACTGGTGCGACGAGCTCGACGGCAACAACGACGACGGATGCGTCGGCGACTGGTGCGACGAGGGCTGCGTCGGCGACTGGTGCGACGAGGAGAAGAACGACGACGGATGCGTCGGCGACTGGTGCGACGAGTCGTGGAACGGGACCCTCAGGCGCGTTCTATCTCACACTGGTCCCCATACGACCCGTTCCTTAAGGACTTTCTCTCCCGGCGCATCTCTCCGCCCACCCCTCGGTTTCAATCCCGACACACCTCGACGCCTTTTAACTCCCGACTGACGCCTTTCAACTCCACCCCGACGTCGCTTTGTGTGGAATGGAACGGCGCTCAGATCCCGCCGCGGCGCGCTCCTCTCCGCCGTCGCCGTCTCCTCCGCGATCGCGACGTTCTTCTCGTCCCCGCCCGACGCCTACGCGCTCGGGGATGTCGGCAGCGCCGCGCCGAAGTTCACGCTCCCGGCGACCGGCGGCGGGACCGTCGCGCTCGAAGACGTCCTCAAGGCGAACAAGTACACCGTGCTGTATTTTTACAACCAGGACTTCTCGCAAGGGTGCAGCATCGAGGCGGAGCGATTCAACCAGGCGCTCCCGGATTTCGCCAAGAAAGGCGCCGAGGTTGTCGGCGTGTCCATGGACAACATGGAGAAGCACGAGGAGTTCTGCACCGCGAAAGGGTTAGGGTTTAAGCTTCTCAGCGACGGCGACGGATCCGTGTCCGCGTCCTACGGCGCGGATCTCAAGATTCCGATCCTCGGCAAGTTCTCCGACCGACAGACGTTCCTCATCGACGCGTCCGGGACGATCAAAGGGCACTGGCTCGAGAGAGACGGGAGCATGGGGAACGTGAAGACGCCGGCGCACACGCAGCAGATTCTCGAAGCGATCGACAAGCTTTAAGAAGAGAGCGAGCGACGACGACGATATTCTTTTCAATTCTTTTTCTTCTTCCTTGTCACGAGTAAGGTTTAATGAAGTAATACAAGTCATCATCAGGTGTACGTGTAAGTTGTTACCGCTTCTCTTCTATCTAATAAGTTCATCTACCTATCCGGGTGCATCGCCGCGTACTTCTTCTGCATCTTCCGCAGCGCGACGAGCTCCTTGTGCGCCTGCTTCCACGCCGCCTTCCGCACCGCTTTCAACCGCTTCTCCTCCAACTTTTTCGCGCGTCGCACCGCCCGCACGCTCTCCGGAGGCTTCGGCGGCGGCCGCCCGACCCACCGCCGCATCATCGCGTCCTTATCTTCCAACAGCGCGCCCGCCGCGAGGTGCCTCGGGAGATCCTTCGACGTGATGCTCTGCCCCGCTCCCCCCGCAGACGCCGCAGACGATAACACCGACGCGCGCGCGTATTCCGGAAGCGATCGCGGCGCTCCCGCCGCGTGTCCCGTCGCGCGTTGGATCGCGCCGTAGCCGACGCGTCTGGCCTCCGCGGCGCTCTCTTCGCCCCACGTCTCGTCCGTCACGCGCACGCGCTCGAGATCCTGTATCACCGCCTCGCGTCGCATGTCGATCGCGGCCCACCAGGAGAAGACGCGGTGCTTGGTTTCGTCGTCGAATCCGTCGACGTTTTCTCGCGTCGTCGCGTCTCTTCCGGCGCGGAGCGCCCACGGCGGCGGCGCCTCATGTTTCATCCACGCCGGGGTCGGCTTCGGCGTCCACGCGCGCGCGCGGCCGTATCGCTCGCGGTACTCCCACTTCATCATCTCGTTGTACTCGTCGAGGCGTTGTTTGAGGAAGTCTACGTACGCGCGCGAGCGCGCTTCTTCTTCTTTGTCGTAGTTTTCCCACCGGAGGGACGCGCCCGCGCGCGCGTACGAAACTGGGGTGCCGTCGAAGTTGATCCGCCGCCGTCGTAACGTTTTCGGAATAGACGTCATATCTTCGTCGTCATCCAAATCCGTCTCGAACGTCTCGTACTCGAGCTCGGAGTCCGAGTCCACCTCCGAAAACGCGCGTCCCCAGTCGTCGCGAAGCGGCGTCGACCTTCCCGGCGTCGGCGTCGGCGGACGCCGCCGCGTCGCGCCCGGCTCCCATCCGTCGCCGCCGTCGCCGTGTACCAAGTCCGAGGGGTCGTGCTTCATCGGCTCGCAGTCCATGCTCGCGATGTGTGGCGGCGTCGCGAACGCGGGTCCGTCGCGCCACCTGAGCGCCGGCCCCGCGCGTTTCTTCTTATCGGGCAGACCGAACGCCAGCGAAGCCTTGGCGACGCCCCACTTTGATTTATTCTGTAGTCGCCGCGACCCGTCGGCGTCGGCGTCGGCGTCGGCGCGAAAGTCACCTCCTCCTCCGTTCACGGCGTCCGAGCGTTCGCGCGTCGCGTTGAACAGCGCTCTCATGACCTGCCGCTCCTTCGCCTTGCTCCCTTTCGCGGCGGCGGCGATCATCTTCTTCCGCAACGCCAAGAACTCGGCGCGGTGCTTGAGCTTCATCGCCTTCACGTCGGCGGGGTGGTACTTTCGGAATCGCCCGTTGATCTTGTCGAAGTGCGTCGGGTTCAGCCGCCGCTTTTCCTCCTCGGTGAGGAAGTATCCGCGCTTTTTGAACGGCTTCATGACGCGGCGTTTGATGGAGTTCTTCACCGCGCGAGGGACGCGCGCGATGCGCGACCAGAAGCCCATCCCGTCGCGACGACGACGCGATTAATTAATGAAGAACGCGGCACCCGACGGGGATGATTATTAATTCTGCCGCGACCTCCACCGCTACCGAGACGTCGTCATCGCTCGGGAGCGGCGCGTCGTCGTCGTTGCGTCGCGCGAACGAACGGACGAACGGACGAACGAACGACGCGCGAAGGAAGGTCCCACGGCGAGCGCGCGATGTCGTGGGCGCGCGCGACGACGAATGAGACGGAGGGGAATAATTATTCTCGTCGGAATTTCCGAAACAGCGGAGGACGCGGAAGCGGATGTCATCAGATGTTCACGGAGGTGGGGGGCGTCACACGATGGCCGCGCGCCGCGCCGCGCCGGTGCTCGCCGTGCTCGGCGGCGCGTGCGCGAGCTATTACGCGGCCGAGCGCCTCAAGGTCGCGGACAGAGCGCGGCTCGAAGCCCAGGCCGGGACGTCCCGTTCCTCCTCCCACTCCTCGTCCTCGTCCCGGTCCCCGTTCACGTACCCCGAGCTGACGAGATGCCTCGAGGCGCGCGCGGCGCAAGAGCGCAAACTCCGCGCGTACGTCGAGAAGACCGCCCCGCTCGTCGCGACCGCGCGCGCCGCGATCGACGACGCCGCGCGAAGAAACGACGCGGTCGCGTTGCGCGGCGCGCGGCATCGTTTCGCGGTCCTGATGGGTCGAGTGCACGACGAGTCCGACGCGATCACGTGGAACGGCGCGGCGAACGCGGCGAGCCGCCCGGCGTTCGTCGCGAAATACGGCTGCGTCGCGTGGACGGACGAAGCTCTGGACGAGATCGCGTCGCACGCGCCGATCGTCGAGATCGGCGCGGGGTTGGGGCAGTGGCAGCGCGCGCTCACGCGCGAGAGACGCGTCGACGTCGCCGCGTTCGACGATCACAGCGCGCTGCCTCTGCCTAACCGCGTTCATCAGGCGCGTTCTGTACACTGGTTCCCATACGACCGCGTCGGCGTGGTGAACGCCGTTTCTTAAGGACTTTTGCCGTCGTCTCTCTCCGCGCACCCCCCGCTTTCAATCCCCGCCCTCGTCGCCTTTCAACTCCAACTGACGCCTTTCAACTCCACCCCGACGTTCGCTCGTATAGAACGGCGTTCATCACAAAGACGTTTCGCGTCGCATGGTCGGGGACGTCCGCCGCGGCGACGAGAGCGCACTGCGAGGGAGACGCGCGCGAGGAAGGACGCTTCTGGTCGTGTACCCGGAGGGTCAGCTCTTGCGGAAGTGCGTGGAGCGGTACGAAGGCGACGTGGTGTTGTTCGTCGGCGAGGGTCGCGGCGGCGTCAACGCGTCTTCGGACGAGGCGCGTTCTATGTCACACTGGTCCCCATACGACCGCGTCGGCGCGGTGCACGCCGTTTCTTAAGGACTTTCTCTCGTGCCGCCGCATCAGCGTGCGCCCAACACCCCTCGCTTTCAATCCCCGCCCTCGACGCCTTTCAACTCCGCTTCTGACGCCTTTCAACTCCGCCCCGACGTTCGCTCGCATACGGAACGACGCCCTCAGACGTTCGACGCGTTGGAGAGGACGCACGAGGTCGTGAGGACGACGGAGGTGAGGCCGTTCCCGGGCGGGTGCGAGAAGCTGTGGACGCTACGGCGCCGGCGAAAGAAGGACGAACGAACGAGCGCCGCGAAGTAGCGCGCGTAGACGACCTATCTTATAGCTAGACTAGCTCTTTCGGTACTCGTAACAACCAGACAGAATACTCTCGAAACGAAGTCCCGTCGCCTCAGAGACTCGCTTCGGGCGGCTTCGGCGGCGGCGGCGGCGCGAGCGCGCTCCACACCGCCGCGCTCGCGCGATCTATCATCCCGAACAACGACGCCCCAATCCCGTCCCCACTCCCACCCGCAGCCTGCCTCGCCTCGAGCGCTCGCTTCCGCTGCCGCGCCCGCCGCGCTTCCTTCATGCGCGGCTTCGGCGCCCTACAAAGCGAAGTCGGGGTGGAGTTGAAAGGCGTCAGTTGGAGCTGAAAGGCGTCGAGGTGTGTCGGGATTGAAAGCGAGGTGTGGGCGGAGAGATGCGCCGGGCGAAGTCCTTAAGGATCGGCGTTCACCACGCCAACGCGGTCGTATGGGAACCAGTGTGAGATAGAACGCGCCTAGCCTCCGCGGCGGCGGCGACGTCCGCCGCCGTCGTCGCCGCCGCCGCCGCGCCGCCGACGCCCTCGACGACGCACCGTAACGCTCTCCGCAGCGACTTCTTAAACCGCGCCGCGTCTTCGCTCCCCGGCTTCGCGCGCGCGTCGCACAGGATGACGCGGTCGGGCGTCACCCTCTTCAACAGCTTCGCGAGCGCGGCTGGCGCGCCCTCGAGGTACGCGTCGAAATGCGACGCCCCCTCGAACGCGATCACGTCCGCGTGCGTGAAGACGACGATCGTTCGCGCGTCGAACGCGTCCGGTCCGAAGCGATGCCGAAGCCACTCCGCGGCGTCGAGCTCGTCCGCGGTGACGCGCCCGGCGGCGCTGAACACGAGCGCGAACGCGTCGACGCCCTCCGGCGCGAGCGACGCGCAGCGCTCGATCTCGACCAGATTCGCCTCCACGCCCCCCTCGCGCTCCGCGGCGGCGTCGTCGCACGTCCCCGGGGTGTCGATCACCCACCACGTCACCATCGCGGTCGTCGCGTCTTCCTCGCCGTCGTCCTCGCGCCTCGCGTCTTCGTCGCACGGGATGGAGAGCCCGCCGTCGCAGCGGTGGACGTGGCACTCGGTCGTGACCCCCGCGGCGCTGCGTCTGGAGACGAACACCTCCTCGGGGGATCCGATGGATGCCGACGACGCCGACGACGAAGCCGACGACGACGACGCGCCGAGACGAAGGATCGCGTTCCCCGTGGACGACTTCCCCGTCCCGGTCTTCCCCACGAGCGCGATCGCGCGGTGACGGCGACGCGCGGGGGCGGGAGGGTCCCCCGGGTCCGCGTCCGGCGGCATGACCGCGGCGCCGCGCGTCGACGTCTGATGACGCGGCGAACGTCTGCCGCGTCGGATTCTTCGCGAGCCGGCCAGTGTCGCGCGCGTCTCCGCGTCTCCGCGTCGTCTCCGCGTCTCATCCGCGTCTCATCCGCGTCGTCCGATCCGACGATCGTCATGGCGTCCTCCGCGATCGCGTCGACGTCCGCGCCGCTCGCGTCGTCCGCGCGGTGGACCGATCGGCGTCGTCGTCGACCGCGCGACGAGTCGCTGCGAAGGACGCCGCGATCGATCGCGCGCGCGTCCGCGTCCGCGTCCGAGCCGCCGCCGCCGCCCGCCGCCGGCGCCGCCGGCGCGAAGCAGCGCGTCGTCATCACGGGCAGCACGAAAGGCTTGGGCCTCGCGCTCGCGCGCGCGTTCTTGAGCCGCGGCGACGGCGTCTTCATCACGTCCCGAGACGCGGAGAACGTGCGCGCGACGGTGGCGGACCTGCGATCGCGCTTCGGCGACGCCGCGGTCGTCCACGGGCACCCCTCGAACGTCGGCGACGCGTCCTCCGTGGCCGCCTTAGCGGACGAGGTCGTGAAGGTCTTCGGCGGCGTCGACCTGTGGATCAACAACGCGGGGAGCAACGGGTATCGGTACGAGAACCTCGACGACGCGGACCCGGCGACGATCGCGGAGGTGGTGACGACCAACTCGCTGGGATCCATCTTGTGCACGCGCCAGGCGATCATCACGATGAAACGCCACAACGACGAGCGTTCACCGGGGCACATATTTAACATGGAAGGCGCCGGCAGCGACGGCGGCGCGACGAAGAAGTACGCCGCGTACGGGCACACGAAAGCCGGCATGGCGCAGCTCGCGAAGACGATGCGCGAGGAGCTAAAGGTGAGACTGGTTCCCATACGACCCCGTTCGCGTGGTGAACGCCGTTCCTTGAGGACTTCGCCCGGCGCATCTCTCCGCCCATCCCTCGGTTTCAATCCCCGACCGCGTCGCCTTTCAACTCCGACTGACGCCTTTCAACTCCACCCCGACTCCACCCCGTCAACCTCAAGGGGGAAAACGTCGCCGTGCACACCATATCCCCGGGCATGGTGTTCACCGAGCTGATCAGCAGCGGGAGGTACGCGTTCGGAGGGCAAGGGCGGATGTTCGTGAACGCGCTCGCGGAGGACGCCGACGACACCGCGGCGGTGATCGTCGAGAGGGTGAAGGAAGCGATCGCGGCGGCGGATGCCGTGGAAAAGACCATCGCCGTCAAAGTGTTGACGCCGGACGTAGCGCTTAAAAAGATGTTTAATCGGTTCGTGCGGGGGGTGAATAAGGACCGGTGGTACCCGGAGAAGGACGAGCGCGACGCGTGAGCGCGAGCGAGCGCGTTCGCGAGCGCGCGCGCGCGCGTGATTTATTAAAACGGATGGAATGTGAACGTTACGTCGTGTCGTTGCCGACATTTAATGCGCCTCGACGCTCCGAGGGCGTCGCGTAGTCCGTGAGCAAGCAGTGCGATCCGTCGTCGCCGTCGTCGGAGGCGAGATCCCAGAGCGCGAACACCTCGTGCCTGGACGCTTCGAGCATTTTACGCGCGAGGAGCGCATCGGAAGCGTTGTCACCGAACCAGTACATGTAGTACCGCACGCCCGGTCTCAGCGCCGCGGGCTGGTTGTAGTTGTACGTGTACTCGCAGCCGGGTGTGATGTTCTCGAATCTGTCTACTTGTTCGTGGTAGAAGGACTTGCACGACGTGATGTGCAACGCGTCGAAATCCTGCTCGAGGTTGAACGTCATCGTCAGGAGCTGACCCGCGCGCTCGACCGCTCGCGCGCACTCGCGCGACGCCGACGCGAAGTCCGCGCGTTCCGTCGTGTTCAAACGCGCGAGGATCTCGTCGGAGAGAACGCTCTCGGGGACGCGGGCGAGGTCGCCGAGCTCATCGCGTCCCGCTCTCGAAGTCGACATGCACGGTGAGCGCAGCGGCGTCGCGGCGTCGCGTCGTTCTATGTTCTCGCAGGGCGCCGTCAGATCCGACGAAACGCTCGAATGATGCGGACTGAGGGGACGGTACCTCACGCGACGCGCGCGGCGCGACGGAAACGAACGCGACGACGCACCTCACGCCGCGGCTCGAGTCCACTCGGGCGTCGACGTCTCCGCGCGAACGTCCGACTTGGATGCGGCTCGAACGACGTCGTCGCGCGCCGCGTTTTGGGCTCGGAACGCTCAGATCCTCGTCACGGCGTGTCCAGCTGTTCAGTTCCTCGGAAAAGCGCCAGTGCAGCTCCGAGAGAACCGATGTTGCACTTTTGCCCTCGCCGCGCCGCCGCCATCCGCATCCGCCGCGCGCGATGAGCCGCCTCGCGGGCGCGCAGGGCGCGGAGAAAGTCCTGAGACAGACGTCGAACGTCCGCGCTGACGGCAACTTCGAGACCCCCGGGGCGACGTTCCAAGCCAAGGCGCCGTCGCGCTCGAAGAAGCGCCCGCGACGCGGCGCGGTGCGATTCTTCGTCAACAACAAGACGAAGATCGGCGTCCCCTGCTTCCTCCTCGGCTTCGCGACGTGCGCGTGGCTCAACATCTTCAAGCCCAAAGTCGTCGTGAAGAAAGTCCGGAAGAAAGCCCCGAAGCTCACGATATCGGAGCTCTCGGACGACGAGGACGACGAGGACACCTCCGCGGCGCTGATACCGCACGCGTTCGTCCCAAAGGTGGACGAAGAGATGAAGATGGTGCTCGTCGTCGACGCGAGCCTCGAGATGGGCGCGGGGAAGGTCGCAGCGCAGTGCGCGCACGCCGCGCTCGGGGCGTACCAGGCCATCGAGCACGTGCCGAGCCAGCGCGCGTCGCTGAAGCGCTGGGAGAGCGAGGGGCAGAAGAAGATTTGTCTGCGCGTCGACGGCGCCGACGCGCTCGCGGCGCTCGCGGGAAAGGCAAAGGAGAAGGGGCTGGCGCATTACGTCGTTCGAGACGCGGGGAGGACGCAGGTCGCGGCGGGGTCGAGGACCGTGCTCGCGATCGGGCCCGCGCCGGAGATGGCGATCAACGAGATAACCGGCGGGCTCAGGTTGTTGTGATGAGCGCGATGGTGACCACGCGTTCGTTCGACGCGCGCGCGGACCGATGATGAGTCAGCGTCTGGAAGAATGGCTAAATTTTTGCTTTGTCAAATTTTAAAGCGAAGAAGGGCGGTGTGCACCGGCGCCTCCGTCGCGCGTTCTATTCGTTTCCCGTCGTATCTATTCTTCTTCTTCTTCTCTTCAACGCATCCAAATGGAACAAATCAAATGAAGAGATCCTCGCGGTCCGCCTCCGCGACGTCTTCCGCGCCGCCCTCCGCGCCGCCGCGGTCGCCGCCGCCAGCCTCCGCGCCCGAAAACTCCAAAAAGTGCGTCGGACGGTGACTCTCGTGGTAAAACTCCTTCGGGTTCGCCAAACGCAGCGCGTACTTCATCGACGCGGAGTGCTTCACGCCCTGGAAGTTGTAGTTCCAGCTCCCGCCGTCCGGGACCATGAAATACCCCAAGAACCTGTCCGACAAGAGCATCTGCACCTTTTCGTAATGCGACGGCGCGTACCCCTGCGGGTTGGCGCTCGAATCCTTGTTCGCGCGACCCCACTCGTACCCGCTCGGAGTGAGCTTGTACGCCGTCAAAGAGCACGACCCGGGGGTGAAGGAGCACGTCAACACGATGCACTTCTCGCCGTCCCACGACCGGTTCCCTTCCAGAATCTTCGCGTGCGCGCACACGTCCCCGGGCGGGAGCTGCGGCGACTCGTTCGGCTGGGTGTGCAGCCACCCGAGCGGCTCCAAGTCTTCGAGGTAATCGTGCTCCGGCAACGTCTGCGGCATGTTCACCCCGGCGTGGTTCCCCCACTGCGGCGGCATCACGACGCATCGAATTTCCTTCACCTGCGGGTTATCCGGCGGCGACACGCCGTACATGTACCCCGCGATCTGCGTCCGGAGATCCGCGACGGTGATAAACTTCTTCAGCACGTTTTTCGGCAGCACGTACGTGTACCCGCTCTCTTTGATGTCGTCGCTGTTGACGTAGATGTGATTCACGCGCAAGTGCAAGTTCGACGCGCTGATCGCGCGCACGCGCCAGTCCGTCTTCGAACCGAACGTCGCCTGCTCGTACGGCGACGTCGTCGTCACGATGAGCTCGTCGCCGTGGACGTTGGTCGTCTTGGTCGTCACCGCCGTCATCCCCGCGGCGTCGCCGCCGGCTTTTTCAATCTCCGCGATCTGCTGCCGCTGTAAACTCGGCGGCGTGATCTCCGCGCCGAGGATGATGTCTCTGATCTCACTCTGCGTCAGCGCGCTGACGTTGACGTTGTTCTTCTTCGCGTAGTCGCCCAAGATGAGATCTTTCAGCGCGATCTCCACCTTGATCCACTGCTCGTCGGAGAGATCCGGCCAGACGTGATGCGGCTGGGTGATGATGGTCTTGTCCGGCTTGAGTAACATCTTCGCCTTGTCGGTGTTCACGTGCAGCGCGCGGAGGATGAGTATGAGCCTCGAGAACGCGGTGTAGGACGAGATGGTCTTCAGCCAGTCGTCGTAGATGTTGAAGAGAACCATCTGCGGCTCCGTCGCCTTCAAGATGAGGTCGCCAAACTTTTCAATCTTCATGCACGCCTGGAACGGCATCTGCAGCTCGCTCCCTTTGATGACGATGTTCGGGAAATCGAGGAGGTGCACCTCCAGCGGGTCGAGCATGCCCTTACGAGTGACGATGATCTGCTTCGGCTGCTCCTCCACGGGCAGGGACCGCACGAGCGCGGCCACCTCCTCCGCCGTCTTCCACTTGGCGAGCTGCCCCAAACGCTTTTGCCCCGCCCACACCGACGTGTGAATCACCTTGAGGAACAGCTGACCGGTCCTCGGGTTGAAGATGAAGATGGCGCCGTTGATCGGCTTCGTCGTGAGGTTCCCCTCGAACGTCTTGTGGATCGTGACGCGGTACACGTTCGTGTCGTCCACGAACCAGATCGTCTGGTTCGAAAACAACTCGCCGTAGTTTTGCGAGTTCAGATACGGCTCCGTGGGCTCAGAGGAGTACAGCTGCAGACCCTTGCGCACGCGCTCTCGCAAGACGTAGAGCGCCGGGTTGGCTTTCATGATCTTCGCCATCGCCTGCTGAATGAGCGGCTTCGACCCGGGGAACCAGTTTCCGTACGCGGCGTGGAGGTTGTACGCGAGGTCGATGCCGATCATCACGCCCGTGGGGGACGGGTAGATGGACATGTTATCCGTCGTGTAGTCGAGAAATTTCGCGCGCGTGTACCGCTCGATGTCGTGCGAGTCGAAATCGCCCCACCGAAGTTGCACGTCGAGCCAGTACTTGTTCGAAGACTTCTGATCGAACGCGTCCTTGCTGTCGCCCATGAGCGACGGCTTCGAGATCTGCCACTTGTACGCGGCGAACAGGAGAACGTCCGCGCACGACGAGTTCATCTTGTACGACTTTCTCGGGTGAATCGTCTCTTTTTGCACCGTCTCGATCTCGAGCGCGTCCAGCTCTTGGTCGAAGACTTGGCACAGATCCATCACCACGGACTCGTGAATCTTCTGCCACAAGTGCGCTCTGAAGATTTGAATCAACGAAATCTTCAGCGTGGGGATCTTCCCGTGCATGAATATGCCGGTCAAATCCAGCTGTACTTGGAACCCGACGTAGACGTTGGCGCGGTTGATCGTCGGCGACCACCACAGCGTGAACCGACGGTTCGGGATCTGGTTTAGACCGCTCCGCTGCGCGTTGGTCAGCTTTTTGTACTTCATGCTCTCCTCGAACCCCGAAGCCTTCTCCCAAAACAGACCCTCCCACGTCGGGAAGTACGTCCCCTTGAACAGCGTGTGCTCCAAGATGCCCTCGACGCCGCCGAGCGCCTGAATCACGTCGGTGCGGTAGTTGTTGAGGTTCCACAGCTTCCCGTCGTGCCGCTGATGCGTCCACCAGAACGGGTTCTGCCGGAGCAAGCAGTGCTCTTTGAAGTGCGTCCGCACGCGCCACCCTTTGTCGTACGCGAGCGTGTGACGATCTTTTTGGAACAGCGTGTTGATCCTCGGAATCCCGCGGTCCCACGAGTCCTCGAGATCCTCCAGCGTGAGTCGCCGGTTCTGCGCTTGCGCCTCCTGCCGCTTCAACGCGTATTCCGCCCACACGCGCTGCGAGTCGTTGAACTCCGCCTCCCACGGCTGAATGTACCGATACAAGTTTGGAATCAGCTGGTCCTCGTCGTGGGACATCCCGCTGCGGAAGTGCGTCACGCCGGTATCCGTCTGCACGCTGTACTTCAAGTCGGACTGCGGGATCAAGATGTGACCCATGGACAGCATCCCGAGGCCGCCAATCTCCTTCGGGGTGTAGAACACCACGGGAGGGAAACGCGACGGCATCTTGGAGTTCAGACCAATCTTGATGCGCGTCTGGATCTTATTCTCGCACTTCACGAGAAGATCCAAGAGCTCCTGGGTGTGCACCACGGACTCGCGGTAGTACGTCATCAATCCGATGAGCGCCGTGTTCCACTTGTTGGCGATCTTCGTAAACGTCGTCGCCCCCGAGGACATCAACACCTGCCGGACTCGGTTCTCGAACTGCTTGAGGGCTTCGTCGTCCACGCGTAAGAACGCCTGCGCGGTGCGCTCCTTCGTCTGCTCGTTCTGGAGGTTCCACACGCCGTCCTTTTGCGCGAAATACTCCGTCGCCATTCTCACCTTGGGCATGATTCGCACCTCGAACCCGCACATGTTGAAGAGCAGGTTCGGGTTATCCCGCGAGTACACGGAGACGAACCCGTTGTCCCACTCCAGCGTCGTCAGCGACCGCGGAAGCCGGTTCCGAATGTCCCAAAACACGGCTCTGCCCAGGTTGACGTCGTGCTTCATCAGACGCATGCGCGCGTCGCGCGGCCAGCACTTTTTGTTGTTGTACCCGACGAGGTTTTCGTTGTTCGGATCCGGGTGCTCGGTGAGATACCGCTGGATGAGATCCTTCGCCTCCTCCGCGGTGAAACGGAACAGCATGTGGATCTTGTCGATGTACCTCGAGTATAAACGGATCGGATGCCTCGTCTCCGTGCGCACGTCCCTGTACGAGATGAACTCGTTCGGCATCTGCGGCGGTCCCGCGATTTCAGAGGCGCGCGTGAGACCGAGCACGAGCAAGTCCAGGACCAAGCCGTAGTACTGCGACACGAACGACGCGAACTGCAAGCCGCGGATCAGACCGTACGAGTTCGTGTGGCTCATGTCCTTGTACGAGATGACGACGTTGTTCTTCGCGGTGATGTAGTCCGCGATGTTATGATCGACGATCAGACGCATGAGGCGGTTGAGCATCGTGAGGTCCACCTTTTCAAACATGCGTTCGAACCTCGTCTGAAGCATCACCACGCACTCGCCCTCGTCCGTGTCCCACACGTCCGTGAGGTTGTTAATCCCCTGGCACCACTTGTACACGAGCAGCGGCGGTGGCTCCGTGTCCGCGGGCTTGATCCAGTTCGGGAACAGGTGCCTCTTATCGGACTCGTACCAGATGTACTGGTCGAGGTACGCATCCGTGATCTTCTCCAGAGGCTCGATCTCGTACACGGGAATGAGGTGCGAGTACAGGTCCATGAACTCGATGCCAACCTCCTTGAACGCCCTCTGCGTCAGCAGGTGTCGCTTGATGCGCGATAGCGCCTCGTGCGGGTTATCGAACGCCTGCTCGATGAGCCCGAGCTCCTCGCGTTGCGCCTGGTTTAACCGCGCGGAGATGGAATAATTCTCCTTGAGCCGTTCGAGCGCGAGGATGAGGAGCTTCCTGTCGTGCTTGTACGACAACGGCGGGAACGGAATCGGAGAAAACTTCCTCGACTCGAGCCAGTGCACGGTCGTCGTGTATATCGCGACCGCCTCCTCCGGGGTGACGTACGGCCCGTCCTTGAGGTAGTTGTGCTGGCGCTCTTGCTCTGCCTTGAGCCACAGCCGCGTGAGCCGCCCGAGGTTCTTCCGGCACACCGTCTTGTCGACGGTGGCGCCGCGGCGAATGCGTTCGCGGTTGTAGTGCGCGACGTTCGTCCACCAGTCCGCCTTGGACTTGACGTACCTCAAGATCATGTTCTCGATCGGCGCGGGCAAGCCCGGGACTTTCCACGGGATGTTCGCCTTCCAGCACCGCCACGCCTCGGAGAGATGCTGCAAGATCGTCTTCGCCTTGTTCGCCTTGACCCCTTCCGGCATCATGTCGAGGATGTCGTGCATCACCGCGGCGCGCAGCTCGAGATCGAAGTGCGACTCGATGCGCTGCTTCGTGACCGTCTTCGCGACGCCCTTGCTGTGCCTTCCCTCGAACTGCCTCGCGAGGAGGTTGCCTAACCATCGCTCGAGGAGCGGGACGATGCCGCGGAGGAAGAAGAGCCACACGCGCCACATCGGCGCCCAGAACCCGACGCCCGGGCCTTTGCCGACGGGACCGGTGTTGAACCGGTAGTAAATCAGGTGCTTCAGGTCCTTGCACATGCGGATCTGACGCATGAGCCTGTACTTGTACCGGTACATCCCCGTGAGCTGACCGACGTGCGAGAAGATGTACTGCAAGCCGTCCGCGAGTTGAAACGCGTCCACGTTTCCGAGCCTAAACTGCACTTGCGAGTCCACGACGAGCTTCGTGAGGCGCAGGATCTCGCGGCACAGGTGAAACGCGTTCCCGAAGCGAGACTTCTTGCGCTCCTTCGTCGTCAGCGTCTTCACCGGCTTCAAGTTGAAGTTGTAGTCCAAGTGCAAGTAGTTCAAGTTCTTGCGGTGAATGAGCAAGTTGAGCATGTTGTACCCTTGACGGCACACCTGAAGCCCCGCCTCGACCCAGTCGAGCTCCGTGCACTGAAAAAACTTCGTCTTCTTCAGCGCCTTGAACAGCGACTTCCGCTTCAACCCCTTCGGCGGCCGCTTGTGAAGCTGGTTCAGGACGTAGCACTTCAGAAGCTTCTGGTACGACACCCTCACCTTCACCGGATACCCGGGCGGGCAGTGCTCGTGGAACCACCCGTTCACGAGCGGCACGTCGATCGTCCGCCGCGTCTTCCCCGACCGCATGTTAAACGGCCGCGGAGAAAACACGAGCGCGATGCCGTTCATCGTGTTGTCGCTGTACAGCTCCGCCTCCGCGATGAACGCGTCGCACCCTTCCGGCAGCACGAAGTCGTCCTCCTCGTCGTCGCCCACGCCTTCCATCGCCGCGCTCCTCGCGCTCCCTTCGCTCTTGTAGTGCGCGATGGGGTGGATCAGCGGGTCGTAGTAAAACGCGGGGAGATCCGGGTCCTCCGTCTTGATGTACATCACCATCGGGGTGTGGTACGGCGGCACCGCCACCTTACGCGGGCGGTTGTTGTACAGGTACGGGAACGCAACCTTGTACTCCGTTCGAAGCGCGGACCGAATGATGAGCTTGTTGATGTCGTTGAACTCGTTCCAGTCCTCGTCAGCCTTGTCCATGTCCCGGAACAGCGGCTCATACTTCGGCCCGCCCGGAATGCACATGTTCAGCGCCTTCGCGGTGAAGAACGACTTCTTCTCGAACAGGTAGAAGTAGTTCGGGTCCGTCAGGTCGGACAGGAGCTGCCCGGCGAGTCGATAGAGCGTCGCCATCACCGGCAGCGGGAGCTGCCACTTGCGGTAGCTCGTCCCGTTCACAAACTTCGTCCACTTCAGCGGGTTGTGGTCGTAAAACCACTCCGTCACGGCACCGTCCTCGTCCTCGTCGAGCTCGAGCTCGATCGCCTCGAGCGGGTCCACGTCGAGGAGGTTGTCCGCGTAATCTAACGGCGGTTCCTCGTCGTCGAACGGCGGAAAACGCATCCGCTTAAAGTGCCTCCGATCGCGCTTCTCCCGTCGCATCATGATCCACATCGTGCCCCACTGCGCGATGTACAGCGGCTCGATCACCTTCGGCGTCTCGTTCACGAACGTGATCGCCCCGGTGATGTGGTAGATCACCTCGCAGTGCCGCACTTGCTCCCACGGCATCGGCATGTTCTCGAGCAGCTTGTACACCGCGTGAGGGACGTACTTCAGAGCGCCGAGGTACACGCGCTTGTCGTGCCGGAATTTCCTCGAGGACATGTCGCCGTGGTCTTTCACGATCTTGCGCACGTGCTGTTGGTTGGTGAAGAGAGGGCGGGGCGGGGTGGGGTGGGGTTAGATCATCGGGTGGGGCGAGATCAGGTCAGATCGGTCGACCGCGAGGGGCGATCTCGATTTCGCATTCATTCTTCGCTCGAGCGGCCGTCGGCGGGCGGCGATTGCGATCGGCGATCGATCTGGGGGGGGGATCGGCAGGGGCGACGAACCTCCGGGGGCATCTCTTCCTTCTTCGGCTCGGAGTACCCGAACTTCCGGGACGTCCCGTATCTCTTCGCGTTGAGCTGCTGCCATTTTCGCGCTGCGAGGCGAGGAAGAGGAGGGCGGGGCGGGGCGGGGGGGGGGAGGGAGAAAGATGTCAGCCGCGACTCAGAGCGCGCGAATAGGGTTAATGCGCGCGAATGGGCGCGCGGAATCACCCCCCCGGCGCGCGATGCGACGTCGCGACGCGCGGGACGAGCGCGCGATCGCGCTCTAGACGCCGTCGACGAAGTACTCCCGCGGACCTTTCTCCTCGAGCATCGCCTCGTGCGCCTCCGGGTCCGCCATCGTCGCCGTCTCGCCGAAGCGCGGATTAACCGGCACTCTTCGGCGGACGCTCGCTCGACGCCGTCGCCGGTTCTCGCCTCCCGCGTCGCCGGAGACCCGCGCCGCGCCCGATCCGCAGTGCGCGCGCGCCGTGCGTGTCCCAAGCAAGCCGCCGCCGCGAGCTTCTCTTCGTCCTCGCTTCGACCGCGTCTGACGCGCGCCGTGAGTGCTCCGCCGATCACCCGGCTTTCGCTTTTCAGACGCGAGCGCGCGAAAACGACGACGTCGCCCCCGCGCCGCGCCGCGCCGCTGCGCGCGCGTCGGTCGCTTCGCTGTCACATTCGTTCGCGTCCAACGTTCACTCCGCGCGGCCACACCCTCACCGCGCCGCCACGCGAGCACCAGGCACGTTCGAGTCCCCATCGCGCGACTTCTTCGCGCGCTTCCCGCGACGCCCGCGCGCGCGTCTTCCGCGTCCGCGCGCGCTGACCCCGCCGTCCCTCCCTCCGCGTCGCGTCCGCGTCGCCGCTTCGAAAAAGATCGACAGACGGACGCGTTTTCCGGTTCAACAGCGCATTCATGGCGTCTCGCGGCTCCTCCTCCCCGCGGTTCACCGCGGTCCTCCTCCTGCTCTTCGTCATCGCGTCCGCGTTCTTCACGATCCCCGCGATGGCGGCGGCGAAGGCGAAGGAGTGCAAGTCGCTGTCGTCCTGCCGCGCGTGCGTGACGGAGAAAGGCTGCGGGTGGACCGCGAAAGATCTCAAGTGCGCGGCGAAAGGCGTCTTCGCGGGGAAGCAGGTCAAAGCGCAGAGCGACTGCACGCCGCTGCGCGATTCGCTCGTGCGGTTGGGAGACTCGCTTCCCGCGGTCTCGAAGAAGCTCGTCGGGGCGTACGACCAGGTCAAGAGCAAGATCACGAAGTGATTCGCGGCGACGAGAGCGGAGGGACGGGGGGGACGGAGGCGACGAATCTTGCCAAAATAATTAATTACCTTATTCTTTGTCGCGGACCGATGGTTGTGCATACGAGGAGACCACTCTAACTTAAACGACGCGACGCGACGAACGGATGAAATGTAATAGGTTGTTTCGAATTGAAATCGCGTGACCCTATAGTGCGTACTGTATGCACACGGCGGCCGCGCCCGTCGCGAGCCGCCGGTTGTGTAAAAAATTAGAATACCCGGTTTGGTTTGGTCGTTGAACGCCGCGCGTCGTCGACGTTCGCGAACGAACGAACGAACGATTTACGGCACCGGGAGCGGCTTGATGTCCCAGATCTCCTTCGCGTACTGATCGATCGTGCGGTCCGAGTTGAACTTGCCGGAAAACGCGGTGGAGATGATCGACGACTTCGTCCACCCCGCGGCGTTCTTGTACGCGGCGTCGACGTCAGCCTGGCAGTCGATGTACGACTTGAAGTCCTTCGCGACGAGGAAGTAGTCCCCGCGGCCGAAGCCTTCGTTCCCCTCGAGCGAGTACAGGAGCTCGTCGAACTCGCCCTCCTCGCCGAACGCGCCAGACTTGATGCAGTCCATGACCGCGGTGAACTCCGCGGGGGGCACGAACTCGCCGGCGGCGCGCTCCGCCCTCGCGGGCTCAACCTCCGGCTCCTCGATACCAAACAGGAAGAAGTTCTCCTCGCCGACGCACTCGCGGATCTCGACGTTCGCGCCGTCGAGCGTGCCGATGATGAGGCAGCCGTTCATCTGGAACTTCATGTTGGACGTGCCGGACGCCTCCGTGCCGGCGGTGGAGATGTGCTGGGAGAGCTCCGACGCCGGGATGAGCGTCTCCGCGAGAGAGACGTTGTAATCCGGCACGAAGACAACCTTGAGGAGGTCGCCAATCTCCGGGTCGTTGTTCACGACGTCGCCGACCGCGGTGACGAGCCTCACGATGCGCTTCGCCTGGAGGTACGTCGCGTACGCCTTCCCGCCGAAGACGCAGACGCGGGGGGTGACGTTGGCGCGCTCCTCCGGGGTCATCGCCTTCATCTCGTTGTACCGGTGAATGATGCCCATGATGTTGAGGAGCTGGCGCTTGTACTCGTGGATGCGCTTGATCTGGATGTCGAACATCGCGTCCGTGGAGACCTTCACGCCGGTGGTGCGCTCGATCATGTCCGCGCAGAGCGCCTTGCGCTCGAGCTTGGCGGCGCGCCACTTCTTCTGAAGCGACTCGTCGTCCGCCATGGGGCCGAGCTTCTCAAGGAGCGCGGTGTCCGTGACCCACTCGTCCGTGCCGATCGCCTCGGTGATGACGTCCGAGAGCTGCGGGTTGCAGAACGCGAGCCAGCGGCGCGGGGTCACGCCGTTGGTCTTGTTCTGGAATTTCTCCGGGAAGAGCTCCGCGAAGTCTTTGAACGTGAACGTGCGGACGATCTCCGAGTGGATCGCCGCGACGCCGTTGATCGCGAATCCGGCGATGCAGCACAGGTTCGCCATCCTCACCATCGGCGCCGGGATCGTCTCCTCCTCGTCCTCTTCCTCCTCCTCGTCCGTCTTGGGCGCGGTCTTCTTGGCCGCCGCCGCCGCCTTGGCGGCCGCCTTCGCCTTCTTCGCGTCGGCGATGCGCTTCTCCTCCGCGACGAGCTCGGCGGGGGTGAGGTAGTTCTCCAGGATCCGCATCGTGTTGATCTTCGCCTCGAGCTCGTCCGCGGGGAGCTTCGGGTACGCCGCCTTCACGGACGCGACGAACTGCTCGTCGATCTTCTTGATGATCTCGACGTGACGCGGGAGGAGCTCCTCGAGAAGCTCGAGCGGCCACTTCTCGAGCGCCTCGGGCATCACGGTGTGGTTCGTGTACGCCACCGTCTTGGACGTGAGCGCCCAGGCGTCGTCCCACGACATGCCCTCGACGTCGACGAGAAGGCGCATGAGCTCCGGCGCCGCGAGCGTCGGGTGCGTGTCGTTCATCTGGATCGCCACCTTCTCCGGGAGGTCGTTCCAGTCCGCGTTGCCGCGCTCCTTGAACCGCGCGAGAATATCCTGCACGGACGCGGAGCACAACATGTACTGTTGCGAGAGGCGAAGCGCCTTACCCGCGCGCGTGCCGTCGCCCGGGTACAGCACCGCGCAGAGCTGCGACGCGAGGTTCGTCTCACCCATGGAGGCCTCGTAGTCGCCCGCGTTGAAGGACGCGAGGTCGAACGCCTTGGGCGCCACCTCCGCGTCCCACAGTCGCAGAGAGATGCAGTTCTTAGTCTTGTAGCCCGGGATGGGGGAGTCGTACGCCACCGCCTTGATCGTCTGCCCGGGCGTCCACACGCCGTCCTTCACGGAGCCGTAGAAGGAGATGTCGTAGGACGTGTCGCGCTTCATCTCCCACGGGTTCCCGAACTCGAGCCAGTCGTCCGCGTATTCCATCTGCTGGCCGGTGACCGGGTCGATGCCTTGCTTGAAGAGGCCGTACTTGTACCTGAGCCCGTAGCCCCACGCGGGGAGGTCGAGCGTCGCGATCGAGTCGAGGAAGCACGCGGCGAGGCGGCCGAGACCGCCGTTGCCGAGGCCCATGTTCCTCTCGACGTCCGCGCAGGACTCGAGGGAGTATCCGAGCGTGCGAAGCGCGTCGGAGTACTCGCCCTTGAGCCCGAGGTTGCCGACCGCGTTGGTGAGCGCGCGGCCCTGGAGGTACTCCATGGAGATGTAGTACGCCTGCTTCGGGTTCTGCGCGTGGAAGTGCTCGTACGTCGCGGTCCAGTTCTCCACGAGCTGTTCCTGGACGCTCTCCGCGGTCGCGCGGTACATGTCGTACACCTTGGAGGGCCCGCCGGTGACGGGCATCGCGCCCGTCTTGGTCGTCTGGTACTGGATGTTCTCCGCGATCTTTTCCGCGGATTTGGGCGCGAGCGGCGCCTCGGGCGCGGCCGTCGCCTTGGACTTCGCGTCTGCGGAGGCGAGGAGATGTGGACGGCGTTCGGAGGGAGATGCGCGTCAGGGAGATGCGAAAGCGCGGGGAGGGCGCGCGGGAGACGAGATCGGGGGAGTGGGGGGACGTCGACCGCGGACGCGGCGGCGACTTTTTGCGGCGAGGCGACGGGAGGGAAAAAAAAAGATTGATCGCGAAGCCGCACCGCGAGGCGTCGCGGAGCATCGGACGACGCGCGCGTGCGTGCGCTTCGGCGCCGCGAGCTTCTGCGGCATCATCACCGCGGGGGAGGTCATCGCGAACATTTCGAAAGTTCCTAGTGGAAGGCGGAGGCGGGAGGGAGGCGGACGGAGAGCGGATGTCAGTCGATCGCCTTTTCCGAGTCGCGAACCGTCGTTTAAAAAGACCCGGCGGCGAGGGCGACGGACGGCGCATCGCGCGCCGCGCGACGCGGGATCGTCCTGAAAACGCGCGGCGCAGGTTGAGGGAAGCGCGGACGTGAGGGCGACGTGCCGTTGAAGAGTAAGCGACCGGCTGCTAGCGTCGGCGCGAACGGATCTGAGCGCGCCGCGACAATCGCGCCGTCGAAATATCGTTTCGCGACGAGAGCCACGAGATCGCGCCGAACTCGTGAATCAGAGCGCACGAGCGCGCGAGCCTGTTTGCTCATACGCGTGACAAGTGTACATTTTCTCGCCAACTCGGATACATTTAAATCCAGAACAACGGTTCAAAAAACGCACAACGGTCGAATACAACTTTTTACGCGTCGCCGATCGTCTCACGCGCGCCTTCCTCGCCTCTCCACGCCTCTCCACCACCCCTGCGCGCTCCATATGGCTACCACACCTGCGCGTCCGTCCGTCAGAACATGAAGCACGCGTCGATCGGCGGCAGGGACTGGATCTTGTCCACGAGCAGCGACGGCATGCACGCGCCGTTCGCCGCCGCGTCCACGTCTTCCCACACCCGCGACACCGGCGTCGCCGCGGTCTCTCTCCCTGCGAACGAAACGCCCGCCTTCCGGACGTTATCATCGTCGTCGTCGGCATCGTCGTCGTCGTCTGCGCCCGCGCACGACGCCGCGAACTCGGGACCACTCGGGAGCATAAACAGCGACGGCCACGCGGGGACGGGGATCCCCCCGTCGATCGTCTCCCCGCCGAGCGCCGCCGTCAACGCCTCCGCGGGCGGGAACGGCCTCGCGCTGCCCTTCGGCCAAAACGACGACGACCCCGGGCCCTTCGCGCGGCGTATCTTCACCTTATCCCAGAACGCGATCATGAGCGTCGCGCGGTGGCTCCCTTCCGGTCCGGGGACGTCCCCGGGGACCCCGGGGACGTCGCCGCGGCCGGGGACGACGCCGTGCAGCCGCGTCCCGTCGAAGACCACGACGCGCCCCGTCTGAGGGTCGTCGCCCACGCGAAGCAACGAATGTCGGGGTGGAGTCCACGGGCGTCAGAAGCGGATTTGAAAGGCGGGCGTCGAGGTGTGTCGGGATTGAAACCAGCGAGGGGTGGGCGGAGAGTGACGCCGGGAAAAGTCCTTGAGGTACGGCGTTCACCGCGCCGACGCGGTCGCGCGGGGAACGGTGTAAGGAGGACGCGCCTTCGGCCGCGCGAGCCACCCTCTCCTCGCCAGTCTCCGACTGCTCGGCGTCTGGTCCGTCACGAGCGTCGGACCGCCCGAGCACCCGTTCACGAAGATCACGACGCTGCAGATCGGGTGTCGTATCTTATCGTCCCCGCCCCGCGACGCGCGCGAGCCCTCGTCGTCGCTGTCGAAGTGCATCTGAGAGTAATTGTCCATACGAGCGAACGTCGGGGTGGAGTTGAAAGGCGTCAGAAGCGGAGTTGAAAGGCATCGCGGTGTGTCGGGGATTCAAACCGAGGGAACCTGGGCGGAGAGACACGCCGGGAGAGAAAGTCCTTAAGGATCGGCGTGCACCGCGCCGACGGGGTCGTACGGGGACAAGCGTGATAACCAAACAGAACGCGCCTGATGGCCGCACGCGTGCGGACGCGCGTGCGCCCACCACTCCGCGCGCGTCGCCGTCGCGCACGCGGGGAACGCCAGCCGCGCGATCCTCCACGCGTGACGCACGACGACGTCCATGACGTTTTGAGGCGGCGTCGGGGTCGCGAGCTCGTGGACGTAGGAGAAGAAGCCGCAGTCCGAGCGCGCGTACGCGTGTTCGCGCCAAAACGACGACGACGGGCGAAACGCGTCTCGGAGCACACCGAGCATCGCTTCCGGCACCGCGTCGTCGAACACGCGGACGTGCTTCGAGTGCGTCGCGATCGCCTCGGCGACTTCGTCGTCGTCCCTCTCGTCCTCGTCGTCGTCGTCTCGGTCGTATCGCAGCACCTCGCGCGAGAGGCGGTATCGGAATCCGCGTCGCGCGAGGATCGTTTTCGCGTCGTCGTCGCGCCCTTCTTGGCACAGGAGCAGCGCGAGCTCGGCGTCCGCGGCGGCGACGGCGACGGCGTCGCCGGCGTCGTTCGACGCCGCCGCCGCGCGCAGGAGCGCCTCCGCGGTGGAGACGTCGGCCGGGGCGACGCGCTTGACGCATCGCGCGGCGTGCACGAGGCTCAGGGCCATTCTATACAAGCGAAAGTCGGGGTGGAGTTCAAAGGCGTCAGGTGGAGTTGAAAGGCGTCGAAGGCGGGGATTGAAAGCGAGGGGTGGGCGCAGAGACATGCCGGCAAAAGTCCTTAAGGATCGGCGTCCACCTCGCGAACGCGGTCGTATGGGGACCAGTGTATAGAACGCGCCTCATCGACGACGACGACGACGACGACGACGACGCGAGACGCTCGCGGAGGACGTTCGCGGGCGGCGACTCGCGAAGACCGAACACCTCGGCGTAGACGTCGAGCGCGGCGGCGACGTCCCCGGACGCGTAGAGCGCGTCCGCGCTCGCGAGCGCCGCGGAGGTCGCGTCGTCGCCGCCCATCGCGCCGCGCGGGCGCGCGACGTCGCGCACTGACGAGGCATCGTTTATTTACAGTGCGAGTTGACGAGGCGAGGCGCGGTGAAAACTTGCGGCTGCGGCCGGAATTCCCGTCGCAAACCCTTCGGGGGGTGCTGTCGCGCCAGTCTGACTGGTCACCGGCACGACCGAACACCATGATCATCCCCGTGCGCTGCTTCACGTGCGGCAAGGTACGCGAGCGACCCCCGCTTCACGTCCGTCGATCGCCGTGGAGGACCGCGATCGCGCGGGCGAACGATCGCGAGCCGCCCGAGGAGAATGAATTAATCGTTTCCTTCTCGCCAGGGCGCCCGCCCTAAACGCCGCGCTCGTTCGCAGATCCGCGCGCGCCGTCCTCCGTCGCCGATCGACCGCGACCGCGACCCCGCGCTCGGTCATCGCGCGAGCGACGCGACGGACGTCGGCTTCTCTCTCTCGCGTCGCGTCCGTCCGTCCTCCCCCGGCGTTCGACCCCGCGACCTCGTCTGACCGCGACCGCGGCCCTCGTCCTGCGTCGTCCAGGTGATCGGAAACAAGTGGGACACGTACCTGGACCTTCTCCAGGCGGACTACAGCGAGCGCGACGCCCTGGACGCGCTCGACCTGAACCGGTACTGCTGCAGACGCATGTTGATGTGCCACGTCGACCTCATCGAGAAGCTTCTGAACTACAACACGCTCGAGCGCGTGGACGCGAACGCGCAGCAATGAGCGAGGACGGGAAGCGAATGGATGGGTCTCCTCGTCGAGCGTCGACGAGGGGGCGGGGGTGGCGACAGCATAGGTCACGTACGCTCTTAGAGGGATGTAACGTACGGTGCTAGAACGTTAGACATAAAAAACTACGATGCTCGTCTTCGGGCGCTCTTTGGGGCTTCGCGCGACGCGACGCGTTTCTATTTTCCTCTTCAGCGTCGTCGAAATCTCGGCGCGGCGGCGACCGTTCCGCGCTTCGACTTCTCCGAAGCCTTCCACGCCTTCGCGCCCGTGAACACCTCCCCGGACGCGTCCTTATACTTTTTCTGACCGTCCTCGGTGAACCACCGTCCCTCGCGATCGCCGCCGCGGCCGCCGCCATCGCCGCCCCCGCCGCCCCCGCCGCCGCCGCCGCCGCCGCCGCCGCCGCCCCCGCCAAACTGACCGAAATAATCGACGTACACCTTCTCGCCTTCGTGATACTCCCCTTTCCGTAGCTCGCTGACGGGGGTGAAGTGCGGGAGCTCGCGTCTCCACGGCGCGAGAGGCGGCGGCGACGGCGCGCGAGGGAGACGGGACATCGGGCCGCCGAGGCCGCGCGCCGGCGCCGCCGCGGCGAACGGGTCGTCCCGCCGTCGCGCCGAAGCGCCGCCGCCGCCGCCGCCGCGTCGGTCGTCGTCGTCGCGGAAACAGTCGTACCCCTCGAACTCTTCGTCTTCGTCGTCGAGGTCGTCGCTTCCGCCGTCGATGCGGTTCCCGAACGCGTCGTACGACGGTCGGTGAGAAGGCGCCGCGGCCGCGCCGCTCGCGCCGCCGCCAGCGACGCGCCTCGCGCTCGACGGCTCCGTCGCCGCGCCGCCGACGCCTCTGACGCCGCCGACGACGGCCCCCGCGCTCGCCGCCGCGCGCGTCTTCGCCCGCGCGCCCTCCAGCGACTTGTTCGCGCGCTCTATGAACCTCTCCAGCGGGCGGTCGTCGTCCTCGTCTACGTCCGAGTCCGGGACGACGTCGGAGTCGGACTCGGAGTCGTCGGTCAGGGCCGTTCTCCGCGCCCGCCGCGGCGGCGACGCGACCCGCCTCCGCCCCGCCGTCGCCGCCGCCGCCGTCGCCGCCGCCGCCCTCGGGGTGGACGTCCTCCTCTCTCGTTTCACGCTCGCCACGATCGGCGGCGGTCGACGCTTCTTACGCCGCGCGTTCGACGTCGTCGCGATCGGCGCGAGGTCCGAGTCCGAGTCCGAGTCCGAGTCCGAACCGAGCTTGATGACGTCGTCGTCTCGAGGCGGCGGCGGCGCCGCCGCCGCTCGCGTCGTCGTCGTCGTCGTCGTTCCCGTCCTCGGCGTGCGTCCGTTCGTCTTCGCACACGCGTCCGCGACCGTTCGTCTTCCCGCCGCCGCGTCCGCGGACGCCTTCTGCTTCTTCGCGACGCGCGCGAGCAGCCCGTCGTTCACGAGCGAGTCGTCCGAGTCCGTGCGGACGTCGTCGCCGCCGCCGCCGCCTCGCGGCTCCTCCGACGCCGACGCCGACTCCGCGGGCGCGAGGACCCTGCGTCGTCGTCGTCGTCCCTCGCTCGCGGTCGCGGTCGCCGGCTTCGCGCGATCCTCCTCCTCCTCCTCGTCGTCGTCGTCGTCGTCCTTTACGAGCGGCGGCGGCGGAGGTTTCATCAGAACGGGCGCGGCGGTCGCCCACCCGCTCTTCCACGCGGGCCGACGACCGGTCCCGGTCCCGCCGCCGAGACCGCTCGCCGTGCGACCGTCCTCGAGGACGCCGGGGGCGACGGGCGGCGCGGTGGTCTTCTTCGGCGATTTCCGAGCGGTCGCCGCCGTCGCCGCCGGCGCCGGCGCCGGCGCCGGCGCGTTTGTTTCTTCGTCGCCGGCGTCGATCGCCAGCAGCATCGCGACCGCCTCCGGGTCGAGCTTCGAGAGCTCGCCGCGGAGCTTCTTCGCGGTGTGCCCCTTCGGCGGCGGGCGTCCGTGCGCGGCGGTGTACAGCGCGCGCATGCGCGACATCCCCATCGTCTCCACCACGGAGATCGTCGTCGTCGTCGTCGTCGTCCCAGCGGGCCTCTCGAGATCGGCACCCTCGATCGCGTGATGACTCGCGGTCGGCGCGTCGTCGTCGTCGTCGCGCGGCGGCCGCGTCGTCGTCGCGACGTCCTCAGCCTCCTCCTCCTCCTCCGCGCGACGATCGCGATGATGCTCCGCGGCG